AACACTATGCTACACAGTGGCAGTGGGGGTCGCAGAATGCCGATGCATTACTAATAAACCCCAATGATAGCGGATTCCTCCAGTGTATATCCATATTCTGATCCTGATAATAAAAAAAACTATCCCGATTCTGGGGGGGGGGGGGCGTGTTGGGTCCAAGCGACTCATCGCCTGCCTCTGCCCCATACGCTGCTCCCTCCCCTCCTCGCCCCCCGCTGTCACGCCGAGCCGAGGCGGCCTGCTCGCCTGGGCCTCTCGCCCCTTCGACGTGGACGTCTCTGGAACTCCGGGACGACACCGGCGTGGTCCCGGGAAGCTGCCTGAAGTTGGGCCCCACGTGGGGTTCGTGGCACCAGCTTGGAGCGACGCTGCGGCTCGCGCGGCTCTCACCACGTGGCGATGTTGGCCCAACGTTAGCTCGTTTATTGGAGATTTCCTCCGGTAAATATCTGTTGCTTAACAAAACCCCCGTTATTTCCATGCAGATCAATCTTGTCCCATTTATACCTTGTAATGTAATGTAACGTCATTTCTTGTTATTTTAGTTGTTTTTTTATATAATTTATATAACAATTTATATATAAAGGCAAATTAATGAGGTTAATAAAACCAGGTTGATTAATGAAACCACAGAGACACACAGAGAGACACACAAACACAGAAAGAGACAAATAGACACAGAGAGAGACACACAGAAAGACAGATCTGACATTAGGCGTAGTCCCAATTATGTCTTCACAAATATGGAGCCCTTTGGGCTGGTTGGGGCGCAACGCTTTTTTTGTTTGAAACTCGCTCAGATCAGCTGCCTGCACAAACTCAAAGGCACGCGTCACAACCGCGAAAAATGCTGACAGAGAAAATATCCGAAACCCTCACGTACCACGTCTTCCATCACTCACAGCCTCAGGGGCGAGAGTATTTATCAAGCAAGTCGCTCTGGACGTCATCGCTCAACTGAGTTATTGCCTGCAGCCGCTTTGTCCACATCTGAGCGAGTGGTTGTGCAATGAGAGGTCGCGAATGCCCAGCAGCAGCATAGCGCCACCACCACCACCGCTGCCAGACACGAATCAAGTCTCGATTTAAAGCTTTCGTGACTGCAGGGATTCATCTTCTTAGTTGTTTCGGTAAAGTCACGTAGAAGGAAAGTAATAAAATAATAAAAAATGTTTATGTTTTATTTTTATTACTTTATTATTTTCCTTCTACGTGACTTTACCGAAAGAACCAAGAAGACGACTCAAGTCATCAAACTTGTAATGCCTTCACATTTACATTCGTTTGTTGTGCGTGGGTGTGAATGGATTGTGTGTGATTTCGGTTTAGTTGCAATTTGGTCAAATATTTAATAATAATGATGATTAATGAACTTGCAGTCTCGACACATTCCTCCGCACACACGAACATGACCTTCGCGTCGCTCCGGCAGACACCACGCGCGCGTCAATGACTCCGACGTTCGAGTTGATTGATGATTGTCAACTGTGAGAGATTCGTACACGTTGCGGTATTCGCGCCCACGTTTTTATCATCGCCAACATCACCACCACCACCATCATTACCACCATCACCACCATCATCATGACCACCATCACCACCATCACCACCATCATCACGAAGGAAGGCGCCTTTTTGTTTCACCGTCGGGGCGGGCGGGGGTGCCGCTGCCGCTGCTGTGTGCGTGTGATCCTGATTTGAGTGATTTACGGGTATCTAGAAGTTTGCAAACGCGTGCCGTGGCGCGGGGCACTCAAAGGCTTACTCTTGCGAATGACGCCACGGGAATCTTTAAGGTCCACGTGGCTAAACCCAGCGACTCGCGTCCTGTCCCCTCGTCGACAGCTCCTCCACGCAGCTACACGAACCCCCCTCCTCGTGTTGACCCAGGATTGTATTCTCTAAACAAACCCAGTTCATGATTAGCAGCCGCTGTATAACCGAACAGTCGCTACGCATCTGTCCTTTTGGAGAGCGGTGGTGCAATGATTAACGGCGTGCGCCAATTGCATCGGGCGCGATTTCCGGCCACGGTCTGTATCTACCAGGGCCTCCCCTAGGTCGACTCAGCCTTAATTAACTAAGCAGTTCCGGGGAGACAAAGGCGGCCGGGCGTGGTTCTGGCCACACCAACCCTTGGTGCAGGTGTTGCTCGCTAAGATCACTTGCCCCACCAGTCTGTGTAGGCTGCACGGGGCATCTTTGCCTTTGTGTGTATGCGTGTCATTCCTTACCCAACGCGCGTCGTGGAACACAATCACCGGCGCTGCGTTAGAGATAGACAAAGGCTGTCGGGGGTGTGTGGTCCCAACCATCACCTATCTGCGTGTCCTACCCAGTCCTATCAGCACATGCATGCCAACACGACAGCGGATATCTCTAAACTTACTTGCATCGTGGCTGTTTCAACTGAACGCTTCTCAAAATAATTCAAGATCCTTTCATTCGTGTTCACATCATCGTCGTCGTCGCGATGTGCCGTGATCTACCCACTGCTGGATGAAAGGTGACTGGTCTCTGTTTTGCGCCACGATGATGGTCATGTCAGCGGGTGGGCGGAGGATCGGTTCGGATGTGTCTCTCTGTCTCTCTCTCTGTCTCTCTCTTTCTCTCTCTGCCTCTCTCTCTCTGTCTCTCCCGCGTGCCATCAAGGAGTGGCGTCTGAAGCTGGAGGCGCCGGGGGAGGGTGCCCCCCCCCTCCTCCTTCCCGGAGTTGTGCGTCTCCTGCGCGCAGCCCCCAGGCCACAGCGACTCCGGCAAGCTACTGAAGCTCCGAGGCTGCAGGAATGTGCCCCTGAAGAGCGCCCCGAACACGGCGCTCTACACGTGCTGTGTCAAGGCGCTCTACACGTGCTGTGTCAAGGCGCTCTACACGTGGCTGTGTCAAGGCGCTCTACACGTGCCGTGTCAAGGCGCTCTACACGTGCCGTGTCAGGGCGCTCTACACGTGCCGTGTCAAGGCGCTCTACACGTGCTGTGTCAAGGCGCTCTACACGTGCTGTGTCAAGGCGCTCTACACGTGCTGTGTCAAGGCGCTCTACACGTGCCGTGTCAAGGCGCTCTACACGTGCCGTGTCAAGGCGCTCTACACGTGCTGTGTCAAGGCGCTCTACACGTGCTGTGTCAAGGCGCTCTACACGTGGCTGTGTCAAGGCGCTGCATTCCCGGGACCTGGCCGACCTACTGGACACAAAATGGAGATACCATTTTTCTCCCCTCATTGCAGCCGCCCCTCAGTGGAAACAAATGTACAAGTCTCCCCCGTAGCCAAACGCTGCGGTGACCTCCAGTGGAGGCTGGCACACTGCACGTTGCTATCGGCCGTGTGGCTCAGCCGAATCTCTCCAGGGGTAACAGACTCGTGCATTTCCTGCGGTGCCAGGGAGGATCTGCCCCACCAGTACTTGCGCTGCCAGTACCTCAAACCAATGTTCCGCCTTTTGGGGGACATCTTCAGGAAACTGGGGGTGCCCTTTTACAACAGCAGCTTCGTATATGGGGGGTGGTGTCTTACCTGGCTAACAAGCGCCATGACCTCGACAACTTCGCCTGTGCTCAGGCGAAGTTGGCAGTGTACAGAACGATAAAAGAGATGCTGCAAGGTGACACTGACGGCTGCTCTGTGCTGCTTCCAGTGTTCAGGGGCCTGCTCAAGGCGCGGCTCCGGCTGGAGCACGCATACCACACACATGCCGGTGATGTGCACGTCTTCCTCGAACGCTGGGGAGCCGGACAAGCCCCTCTCTGTACCAGCGTGGACGGCACCCTCGTGTTCACCTTCTGAAGCGCTCGCTCGTCACCGTGGCGTGCGCGATGACCACCACGTGACTTTTCTTTTGTGTTGTGCGCGGCACATTTAGCGCCACAACGCGTGGATGTATCGTGTCTGTGATTTGTTTGCTGGTGGCTTTGTGTATTTCGTATCGAAATCGCCTCCAGTGCTGTTGCTGCTGGCGGCAATAAAAGTTGTTTAAAAGTCAAAGTCTCTCTCTGTCGCGGTCTCTCTTTTTTTACGATCAGGGGAAACAAGCAGATGCTCTGTGTAGTTGGCACTTTGCTTCGTTCATCAGTTAGTTTTTTTTTATCTTTGCTTCATGTAACCCCCCCCCCCCCTCTCGCTTTCGCTCACTCTCTCTCCCTCTGTCTCTCTTTCTGTCTGTCTCTCTCTCTGTGTCTCTCTCTCTGTGTCTCTCTCTCTCTCTCTGTCTCTCTCTCTCTGTCTCTCTCTCTCTCCACCACTCACCCGCCACTTGTGGCGGGAGCCGTGGCCCGGGATCGAATTCGGGCTGAGCAGACTCCATAGCGCAGTGCGTCAAATATACATAATGTTGTCGGGTGTCTCGTCTGATTTACACAGATACAGGCGCGGCCCTGCAACTACTCACCCACGCCACTGCTGGTGGAAGGGGCCTCGACTAGAGAGAGAGCTCGAGACAGCCCCCATAGACGGTAGTTGGCCAACTCTTCCACGAGGCCGAATGCGTCTTGAAAGAGGTGGATATCGCCCACACTTTTCCACTCCGCACGTGCTTTTTACCGATCACGGACATCAGCGAGAGCGGACGGATGCGGAGAGACAGGGGGAGGGGGGGGGGCTTTGCCCCGGCGTTTCAACTCCCGCGACGGGAGATCGAATAGATCAGCACCCGCTGTCTGGTAACACGCACACACACACACGCGCGTGATGGATGCCATCTCTTTATAACCGTACTCGTTGGTTCTTTCGGTAAAGTCACGTAGGTTAAAAATAAAATAAATCACGACGTTTCGGGCGCAACACAAGCGTGAATACATTTTATTTACGACGATTACACTTCTTCAAATGCTGTAATCGATATGTATTCCAGAAAAACAGCAGCTGAGTTAAGTGGACATCCTGGGATTGAGAGCGGAAGCCCATGTGCCCCTCGTGACGAGGGGAACGCGAACTTTCTCCCACCAGCGGTTCAATAGAGGATCTTGCGACAAGACGGGGATGAGTTCGGCTGTAGAGCACATACCTTTAAGTTGATCCGTCGATTGCCCATCGCTAATCCAGGTAACGTCTCCACTCCAGTTCGCGTATCACCTGACTCACCTCGCCCCACGGCTCAAGCAGGTAAATGAGTGGCCCCGCCTCGTCATCCCCCCCCGCACCCCCCCGCACCCCTCAATCTCCCCCTCCCCCTCAGCAACTTCGCATCCCTCCCCCTCAGCAACTTCGCATCCCACCTCCCACGTGTCGTCACCGCGTGCGTAATTGCAACGCGCCATTTGTCGCCACCGCAAACGAAATGTTCCACCTCACGGATTACCCGGGTCAACATTTGAATAAATCAGATAAACAAATATATAAAGTAACGAATCGCCTCCCACGCCATGCCATCACCACCACCACTCACCTCTTCCGACCACGTGTCGCCTCCTCGTCCCACCTCCCACCACCTCCCCCAACCACCTCCCACCTCCTCCTGTCTTCTCCCATCACTGGCATCTGTTTGAAGAGAGGACCCGACTCAATGTTCTTCACAGCTCATCGGCTCCCTCCCCCCACTGCCGCCTCTCCCTGCCACCACGTGTCTCCCTCCATCACCGCCACCCACGTCCTCCCTTCGTTACCCACCTCCTCTCACCTCTTTTCACGACCCCCCATCCACCCCCACGTCCTCCCCCCCCCCCCCCCGCTTCCTCCAATGAATCGCATCTCTCGCTCGGCTCAAAGGTCGCTCCTCTCCGGAGGTTTCCTCATTCTTATTCTTTGGGCTTTTAGGTAAAGTCATGTAGAAAGGTTCAAAGAAAATAACAAAAAACTAGTTTCTGTGTTATTATAACCAAAAAACTAGTTTTTTGTTTGTTATGTTATTGAATAAAGGATGAGTTCAAAGAAAATAACCAAAAATAGTTTTTTTTTATTTTCTTTGAACCTAAGTGACTGTACCGAAATACCCAAAGAATATGAATTCCTGCAGTCACGAAAGCTTTAAGTCGAGATTTTATTCATCATTCTTGCTTAGGTGACGTCACGGTGGAGGGGTCCGGTGGGGCTCTCCATTCAGCTCGTTTACCGAACGGGCAACGTTTCAAACAATGGCCCTCCTGACAAAGTGGTGGGCCCGTCTCCTCCCTCAGTTCCTGGGGAAGATCTCGGGACGTGGAGTGCAACGTCGGACAAAACACAGCGGAACAACCGGAAAACATCGGTCGTGAATGGTCCACGTCGCGGGCGGTCTGTGGCGATGTGTAGCTCACTGATGACCGGTCAAAGTCAAGGCGATTTCCTCCTCAAATCACGCACTGAGGCATTGGTGCTCAGCTACCCTTTACAGACCTTGGCCAGTGGTCCAAGTGCCACATTCTTGTGGTGCGAGCGGGTCTCACGCATCGGGTATCCACCACTGACTTCCCTACAATGTAGTACTGTACTGTAAATGTGTATCGCCCCCCGGCGGGGGAGATGATGAGCTGAGTTAACAGAGCAGCGGGGAAGATGTATGCGACGTTGTCTAACACGACGGGCCCCGCTTGTTGTCCTTCCCCCGCACATCCGATGAGCACGGTTGGCTATGTACGGTGCGAAAGAAGTTCACCATACATGCATTGCTCCGTGACATGTCCAAGCGGACTCATTTCGTGGCAAGACATCGATGGCACAATGGGGATGACTTGGGGAGAAAGATATCGAAGTGAATACAAAATAATATGGTAGTATGACGATATGCTACCACCTGGCTTAATATTGTTAGGTATGACTGACTTAATTCTTCTAGATAACCCTTTGTCTACTACTCGTACTTATTATTTCGTTTGTGTTTTATTCAAGATTGGTGATTTAGCATTATTATTACCACCACGTATTTTCATAGAGTTTGCTAACCTTCGTTTCACTGCCTGTATCCTGGGTTTGTGCTGTTTGTTCTCGAGTCATTATTATTATTATCTGATATCCCGAGGCTAGGGAATTCGTTTTGGCTTAGGAACGACCCTGACTGCCATAATTATTCTTTGATGCTTCGGTCAGGTCGCGTAGAAAATGACTAAAGGTAACAATAACATTAGTATTTATTAATAAATGAGGAATCATGATCCACTGGTGTAGATTGTAGCCTGATTTTTAATTGGAGTGTGAGGATCGATAATGTTCGCTTAATCTTTGTCGCTAAGTTTTGGATTTTCGTTATTAGAAGAAACATGAAAAAGTTAACCAAAGCGAAACGTCTGTGTTCTTTCGTTGGGGGGGGGGGGGGGGCGTGTGTGTTTTTTTATGACTGACCCTTCCGTTGGCGGGAGGGTGGGTGTCATTATCTTTTTATGGTTCAACACCTGCCCTCTGGCCTGTGAAAGGCAGCTGTGGTGAGGGTGGGTGCTACAACCTTTGTGGCCCCGCGATTGATTGAAAAATATTTTGGCAGAATTATTCTTAATATGAATTTTGGAAAAAGGGTCACATATACAACAGGAGAATGGGGCTGGGTGGGGAGGGTGGGGAGGGGCTGGGTGGGGTGGGGCTGGGTGGTGCTGGGTGAGGAGGGGCTGGTCACCACGTGGTGCCCTTATAAAACTCAACGTTTAACCTACTCACGCCGGCTTGTGCCCGCCCTCACAATCGGGCATATTTGCGGAATACACCACGCCGCCGCTGACCCTGGCCATTGACCGAGCAACCCAACGTTCCTACCAGCTCCCTCCGCAGGAATGTGTTAAGGGGAGGTAGACGCTGCTGATTGAAGATCAGGGTCATACTGTGCATGACATCAACTCCCCCTCTTGGATACGTATAACCTTCGAAGAGTCCACGTGTCACGATGGCGGTGGTTGATGATGGGAAATGATTGTGGTGGTTGTAAGAGCACTATTAGTGGTGGTAGAATATGATGTGCATGGCGGTGGTGGTGCTTTTGGTAGAATGGTGATGGTATATGATGGCAGTGGTTGTGGTCGAGATGCTAGTGATCACGGCGAAGGTCGTGGACTTGTGGTAAGTACAGTGATATCATGGTGGTGGTGGTGATGATAATATCGATGGCTGTTGTGGAATGACGGTGATGGTACAGATGATGACAATGATGGTGATAAGAGTAGTTGGTGACAACAATGCCAGGTTGTGGTAGAGATGATGACACACTCCCAATGCACACAGAAACAGGGACAACTCCTTCCCCATGAAGCACTCTCGTATGTGGTTTATTATTTATTTACAAATCAAGAGCAAATTAACGTAGAATCATTCGATGCACTTAAGCGTAACAGCAACGAAAGGGGATTTAATTACAGAAAGCCAAATTATGTCGTGTCAAACACAGAGAAAACCAGCGTCATTACCATACAAGGGGGTGGAGTCACGTGTTATATACGGGACCTATGGACCTACAGCAAAGCATACGTGTATATGTAAATATTTATATATGTATACCGTCCCTAAATATCATTAAGTACCAACGAACCGTCTAAAAAAAGAGACCGGGCCTGGTGCATTGCGCAGTGTGACCCACGTGAACGCACGGGAACTGAGGGTTCATGTTCGACTCCCCCGGTCACTGTTAACAGGAATCAACTTATCATGAACTGATCGTAGTCGAGGCGGCGGGTGCGTTCGCCGAGCGGATCATGGCTGCGTGCAACTCAATCGCTGCTCGTGTGTGGACGTAACCACAACCAGAGACGTCCACACATTAGCGACCCGGTTGCGCCGAGACGTGCAACCACCTGGTCGCCCAGGTGTGGACCCACCCCGCCTCATCAAAGGGAGGGACCGGAGGAAATTCGTCGCTTTCGCTGACAAAGTTGCCAAACTTGCAGTGTAGATGATTGATACATCGAGGTGCATCGCTTGCTAGTGTCACTCCTGGCCCTCGGGGCCTCCAATCGAGAGCTCCTCCAGGAGGGTAATCGGCTAACTCTTCCACACGGACCAAGATGTCTTGGAAGAGACGGGGAGTACTCCCAATTAACCCCATCGCCAAAACGTTTCACTTTTGCCCCTCTCTGCTCCCGAAGAAAGATCGGTGGGTCGGCAGGGCAGCCTCTTGTACACATGTCCATCAAAGCAGTTTTAAGTCTTGTATTGACAGAAATGGCAGCGTCTATACACACCGCCTCTCCCTCCCGAGCTAATGCGGCCAAGTACTGCCGACACCAGAGGCAAGCTAATGCCCCATGAACGACGACTTCAGCAATATTTAATGAGCTTAAATCCGATGGTTTTTAAAAGATGTTCTTTAAAACCCCCCAAAATCCCCCATGACCGTTGTCATGAACCATGCCAGGGTGACAACTCCAGCTACAGCCCTGACATGAAGGCTGAGTTGAGTTGTCCAGGGCTGATCTCTGGGAAAATTCTGCACAACTTCAGGTTAGACCAATAGCCACGAACCGTGACTCTAACCTGAACACATCCCAAAACCAGACTAAATCATAGCCCTGTGACACAGCTAAACAAGCGGCTTAACATGCTTAGAACCAAGGCTGTTTTACTGTGACCGGTTGCATAAAAGTGGGGGTTTTTGTCTCTGCTTAAGATGGCAAACTGAAGTCAACTCGATAGATTTTATGCAGTAATGTAGCGTCGTGGAACGGGCCCTGGTGAAAATAATGAAATGAGCCCCGACCACCATCTCCCTGTCCAATAGCCCCCCCTCCCCTCCTTTGATACCCTCGCGCCCATGAGCCAGTGCTATTGGACCGCCTGACCGCTCGAAAACGACGTCACTGGTTTTTATGCGAGCGAACATTGGCCCTGGGCACGATGACCAGCCCAATACGAGGCTTGGGCCCACGGCTCCAGCCCCGACCTGTTCAGCCACTGCCTTGTTCGGGGACAAAACAACAACTGCGTGGTCCTGCTTCCTTCCGAACGAGGAGCCAAAGCTTTAACGAGATCCCAGGGTGCCGACACCCGTGCGAGTTTTGGTGGCATCAGCATGGGGCGTGAAGCCCGCGTGTGAAATGTACTTAGAACCAGGTAAGACCCAACCGAGACGTAATACCCATTGTCCACTAGCGCAACAAAGCCACACCAGCATGGGGCCAAAACGATCGGGTAATTTTCCACTGGTTTTTTGCCAGGCTAAGCCAGAACCAAACCGTGATAATCTGGCCCCACAAGACACCTAAATCTGTCTCGAATCCAAGCAGGACCATGACCAGGGGTGAGCCATACAGTCATCGGCACAGCTCGGTTTCTGCAGTGGAAAAACCTGGCCCCTCCTGAGCTGCGCTGGCTCGCCACGGCTCGGTTGTGCAATGGGAAAAATATTGGTAAAACGGGTAGATCACCTTCGACGAACTTTCATTATTGTCAGTTATTGTAACGAGTACAAATGTCTCCATCACCAACCATCGGTGGGAGGGGAAGAGGGGGGGGGGGCAAACTCGGAGAGCCTGACGACTTTCGGGTGCTCCGTCAACACGAGTTTCTTCCTGCACAAGTTAATTTGGGGCAGGGTGGCGATGGCCCTCTTGAGCCCAGTGACGTCCCGAGCCCTTACGCGTTTACATACCACGCTCGCTTTTTCATTCTCACGAGATAAACGAGTTCCCGTCTCTCCCAACCACCCAAACATCTTGCAGCATTTAACTACCCCCCCCCCCCCCACACCACTGTGGAACGTGCCGTGCACCCCCACGACACGGCCCGTTCCTCGCAGCCTTTGTCGTAATCGCGCGTTAATGTAAAACGCCACCGTTCTTGTACGAATCACCACCGGGGATGAGAGGGGGGGTGCAAAGCCGCGAAGCCACTGCTATTAAATCAGGATCTGCCATGGCGAATTACTGCTGCTCCGAATAATAAAGCAGCATCAGCAGCAACCAATCATCATTGTTCGTGTGACTTGCACAGCAATGGTGATAGACGTTGCGCAACCAGGAAAGGATAATGACCGACAGCGCTTAAAATGGGCAGCTCTATCGATTGGCTGCGCCACGATTCTCCAGAGCAGTCGTGTTTTGCACGATAAAAAGCCACCTCACGCATGCAAGAGGTGTGAACACCAAAAAGTAAAGAGTGATAATATGGGACGGTGTGAAGAGTCAGCGGTGGGAATCGGATCGAGACGAGCACCACGGTCTGGTGGCCTCGATGTGGGTGAAGGGCCACGCCTGGCGAGGTTGCGAGTGAGCCAAGGCGACTACTCGTGTTGCATCGGTAGGCGAGCATTAGTTTCTATCAAACTTAAAAAAAGACTTGTCACGATTCTGGGTGGTGCTTTCGGAATAGTTTTGGGGGTAATTTTGCGGTGAATGGAGCACCTCGAGCGGCTGCAGGGGTCACGTGAGCGCGCTCCGTACAACCTTCGTCGCAGGAAAAAAATGATTGCTTGCAAACACGGTACGATGCGGATAACACGAGCGTAATAAATTACTTTGATCAACACATCGATGCCTTGTCGACTCGTCGCTGGGGTTGGAGCTCGAGCGTGTCGAGATGGTTGGTTCGGGCTCGTATTGGGCGACCCGTGTGCTCCGCTCCCCTACTAACCTCTACCTCTGAACAATGTAATCTTCTGGAATTTATAAAGGACTAACTCTCAATGTCACAGAGCAATTCACATCAACACGAAGCACAGACAGAAATGCAACGCAACACGACCACCTTATTTCAAAGTACGACCTTTTCATTTCGTGTTTTCCACTTCACTGTCGGGTGTTTGAAGCGCCATACCATGGACACGACCGGCTGGGCTCGAGTGCGCCGTTCCGAGTGTGGCGCGCACACACACAACGGTGTGGACTCAAACCTATGTCCCCCCACCACCACCACTCTTTTAGTGTGACATCAGCTCCGGCGTTTAACGATAGCCAAAAGGACCCGAAGAGGGGAACACACAATCGCGCCTCCCTGTAGATTGCATTTTGTACAAATATGCGCTAAATATAATTCCTGGTTTAATTCATAAAGTCGCAGAGAAACACAAAACAGGCACAGGTCTAATCACCTTCAGGGCACGTGTCATATATATGCACGGTCTGTTCAACTCAAAACATGTGGGGTCATGGGAAATTACGAAGGAATCGTTATGAATATAATCGTCATTATCGTTCTACTATAGACCTCCTCCTTAAAAGATAACAATGTACAGCGGAACACCCCTCAAGTTTTGTACAGTGGTACACGGGTGCAAATCTTAAGACACTAACCCGGGAACAGAAAGACAAAGGGGGGGGGGACCAGGAGAGGGGTTAAGAGGAGAGCGACCAAAGCTATCCCATAAAGAGCAGCACGCTTGCAAACGAGGCCGTCAAAAAGTCTAAAGAATCGAAACCAGATGATAAAGATTGGTCGATATATATTAATTTTATTTCCGTATTGTAATTTAATTTACCAACCTTCTCCACCTATAACTTCCACCTCAAATTGCAAGTTAAGCCTGTGAAGGCCGGCTCTTAAACAATAGATCCCTGGCGTTTGCACGGTGGGCGCGGTGCATGAGCTGGGGACACCAAAACTGAATAGCGAGGGCCACATTGACAAGGGGAGGTCTGGCACAGTATGGGGTGGTGGGCTTATCGGTGGGGCTCGTACTCGCTGCCGATTGGCCAGTTCGTTACAATTATGGGTAGAGAGATGACGAGAGGCTGGTTGACGAGAGCTGGCTATTGCTTGGCAAATGTTCTATAAATGTTGCTTTGCCCTTCTGCACAATTGTAACATTTCAGCTTTTGGCCGCATTTAATTTCTGGTCTCGACAGTGTGGATCTCAGAACTTTTTGACCGCCGGTCGTGCGTGTGTGCAATTTTTTTTTACTTGACACAACAGTACACAGGACGCAAAAGGTGTGACTTTTATGCTGTAAACGCGATGTCGCCATGCGAAGCTTTCTTTGAACAACAGAGCCTCATGCGGAGTTTACATTATAGATCTATCGAGGCTCGCAAAACCTCACAAAAACCGGGCCGATTGAAGTGCTCACAAGGCAGTGCCATTAGACGAGGGGACTGCCAATCAATCTTCACAAAATAGTGGATTGCTCGAACTAGACTCAATTACACGGAGTGGTGGAGGTGGTGGGGAGGAGGAAGTCACCCAGCGCTCGGGAACTCGAGAGATGCCCACGGCAACGCGCGCTCGTTGCCGTGGACGGAAGTGAACCGCGCCGTAGTGTTTTGAGTAAATTTTACATCGGCGGCGGTCGGGGATGGCGCAACGTCAAACCTGTAACGGCCGGCCCCACACGGCGACGGACAAGAGAGGCCCCGGTATACGCAGGGCATCGCTCCAGCGGTGGCGCTGCCGCCGCAGACACGGAGTTCACCCTCCTCCCTCTGCACAATGCCTCTCGCAGATTCGTAATGCATTTTCTTTTTTTTTAAAAGCAGAGCACGGTGAGAGAGAGAAAAAACAAAATACACACAACACCAAAAAAATTTAAACAAAAAAATAAAAACAAAAATACAAATCATCAAGACCACCTCCAGTGCAACAACGGAAAAATAACGGTACTATTATTTTGGACTCATTTAAAACGTGTAGCGCCGCGCCAAGCATATTCCAAGCAGTTAACGCTCTTTAGTACAGCTAGCGTACAACATACGTGTGTGGTCTACACCCCCCAGTGGCCGAGCCACTCGCTTCAAAGGTGCTAACCAACAAACACTCTTCCAACTCGCAGCCACACGCCAAAGGGGTACCCACCCCAGAAAGCAAACACTCAGTCGCCACAGTAACTTTCACCCGGGGCGGTAATGTACATGCGCAGCACGCAGCAGCGATGACTCCCCCCCCCAACCCCCACTGGCTCGGTCACCTCGCAGAACCGGCAACTGCCGCCCATACCCGCTCAAGGTCTGACGCTGGCAACGCTCGTGCGGTAGCGACGGCGTGTCGGCAGACGAGCGCTGGTGCAAGACACCACGAGTGGAGGGGAGGGAGGACACGGCCGGCAAGTCGGTCAGATGGGACGGACGGCAGTGCCGTGCCGTGCCGCGGATAAAAGGACGAAAATAAAAGTCGGCCGCTTGTCGTCAATCCCGATACGCGTGTGCACGCGAACACGCAACGGCGGGAGTTGGTTTACCACGGAAATGGAACGAGGAGGGGGAAATTAAAGCTCCCTGACAAGCAACAACCAGCCGTGGTCCCTTCAGCCCTCGCACACAGGAAGAAGACGGAGTTGCTGTTTGAGTCAGGGGCATGACGAGGAGGAGAAGTGAGGCAGGAGCGGGAGGAGGAAGGAAGAGCGGGTGACCAGAGCGCGGTAGGTGACGCGCACAAGGCACGTCCCTCCGTGGCCTTGAAGCAGGGCTCATAGGACATAGCCTACCGGGTGACGTATGAAATGATGAAGTGAAGCACAGAGGAGACAGTGGGGAATGAGATGAAGACCGGAGGTGGGTGGGGAGGCCAGAGATGCCGAGGTGATATGGAATGCACGTTGAAGCCTGGCAGGTGGGGGGCGGCATGGCGGAGGTGGCGTGTGAGCAGCTAGCGTTGGTCCCGGGCGGCTGGGTGGGCCCGGGTTGATCTGGGGTGGGGGGCGTGGCAGGACGAGTGGGAGTCAGGGGCCAGGGCGAGTGCGAGGAGGGGCCAGGGCGAGTGCGAGGAGGGGCGGGGCTCCGGCCTAGCAGGAGCAGCTGTCCTTAGCAGGCTGAGCGTCGCTGGCGAGGCGGCCGGGCTGTGGTGTGGCCGGCTTGTGCTGCACGCCTGACTCGGCCGCGTTCAGGTCCAGGCTTCCGTCCTGGATGTTCTGGTAGATCTTCTTTGCCGTCTCTAGGAAGGCCTCCTCAACGTTGTCGCCCCTGGGACAGGCGGTGGTGGGGTGCGTGGGAGGGGGGGGGGTGCAAAGACAGCGTGAAAACATTAACACTCTACGCTCTATCAAACAGCGAAGGCAAATGGTGCATCTTCTAAACGTGTGATTTTCCTCGGATATATTTACTATAAGTACAGAAGCCCAGGCGGTCCCCGTGCATTTGCATAACTGCATAAAGTCCTTTCCAGCACTGGTTTGCTTCTGAAAGTGTTGGGTTGACACTATTTGGCCGGTTCTCTGCAGGGTCCCTAAGAGCAATCAGGTCATCTTTACGCGAGTTATCGTGGCGACAAGTTACAGAGCTCACGCGTTAACGCCATTAACCTCGTGTCAAAGCATTAAAAACGATGTAACTCAAGCAACAAATAGCTGTATTTCAGAGATATGCACAAGTTTAGTTGATTATGAAAAAGCGTAACATTCACTTTTAGAGGCGTTGTCAATACACACGACTAGTAAGATCACTCCACTCTGCTGTCCATTCTGAGGAACATAAATGCCCGATACAGTGCAGGCAGTGGTGCACGCTCGACGCATCCATCGGTAACACTTCCTCTCTGCTGCGACGGAGGTTTATTGCTCCAAACACCGTCTAATACTACGTTTTCCTCTTTCAGGCAGTGCCATCTTATTTGTAAAAGATCGTCCTGTCTCAATAATATTAATACACAGCTAATCGGCCGCCTTCCCATTCCTGTCCTTCCACAATTGTTTTTTACACATCCCATCCGCCATAAACTTCTGGGAGTGCACAATCTCAGAAGACATCGCAGCGACGATACTCTGCTGCTGCTCCTCCCGAAGTGGTTGTCTGGCTTGAGCAACTGAACGTGAAGTTGTAGTTGTTGCTCTGCTTCCACATCAGCCGTAGGACAAGACTACCGCAGTGTGCAGTGACAGACAGATCCTGGCTATCATTCTCAAGCATTAGTCTCTCTAATACAAAGCTGGAAACTTGGGAGACGCAACATAAAAACGTATCTGTGAAAGTATTGTTTCTTTGAGGTGCATCTTCCTTTAAGCCGCTTGAAAGCAACACACTAGCGTTGTCATGCGTGCTACATAAAGCTTCTGACGCAAACGTAAAATTGTGACATTCCGAGCCCAAGGAACCATCACAAATACCACTGCTGAAAAACGAAAGGAATCTGCGATGTTCGGGTCGTCTCCTCATCTCCCCCGATGGTCACAATCTATTACAAAAAACTGAACACCACGGCCTTAAAAATAAAAACATAGAAAATTGGAGACGTTTCGGGCAATGCCCTTCCTCATAGCATAGACAGAGAGACAGTGGAGAAGAGTTGGAGACTGCATTTGACACCACAGGGTCTAATTTGAGTGTCTTTTTACAACTTGCTGTCCTATTTTACTGAGGAATCAGCCGTGTTAGGTAAACAAATGTGTATTTCAAGAGGTATTACACTGTATATGAACCTACAAAGGAGAGGGTTTGTCGCTCGATCAACAACTATGTTTGGAGTGAACGGTGAGTCCTGTCGGCTGAAAGATATCATTCAGTTTGAATGAGGTGGCCTTCTCTCCTTTGTCTGGTCTCATTGCCAGCATAACTCAAGTAAAGGTCGCATACCGACATGCCACTGGGGCTAAGGTCCCCACTGTTGAGGTGACGAGCCAACGGGTGGACCTAGAAAGAGCTTGGTCAATTAATAAAAAAAATTGTAAACAATGAAGAACAGTTTTTTTTACTTGGCCAATAGGGGCATGCCAACACTTACAAAACGAGCTGAGGTGTGTGCTTGCGTGAGCGTTTACAAGGATTTCATTCGGCGCTATGTGACATTTTTGAAAGGCGTTTTGTAAAACTATTTTATAATTATTGTGCCTTTGAGTCAAATAATCACCTTCCAGGAGCACAACCACACTGCTCAAAATACCAACCTTACTCGAAAATACCATACGTAACAGAAGCTGTCCCTTGAAATTGTTGTGTTAAAAGGTAGTGTTTCAAATTATGATGTAAAAAAAATGAAGGTGCAGCTATGCATTTTTTTTGTTCATGCCACTGCTGCTTTAAGGGCCTCCTCACGACAGGAAGCTCGAGATGGCCTTTCCAATCAGGGTATTTTGGTCTACCCTTCCACGTTCAACAGATGTATTTGAAGAGGTGGAAGTACCCATTATTTTCCCAACCACAAAACAATTTCAGATACCCGAGGTTGACATCTCGGGCAGTGACCATCGTACCCTGATTGAGGAATGGACAGTCTGCCAAATGTACATATTTGCGTCAACTGCGGTGCACCTATTTATACTGCTGGCGGAGGCATTAAAAAAAACTTGTTTCAACTGCTGCGGGGCAGGAGATTGAATTGGTGACCTATGAAATGCATATCATTCTTTTCAAGTAATGGAATGAAAAATTATAAACAGCTTTTATCATGTCGATAAATATCTCAGTCATGTCACAGGCTGTCCTTTGAAAATGCCTTTCAACCAAATTACATTCCAATTGTGCTATCCCACATGTCGGGAGATACGGAACCTTTTCATTTGGAATTCTGGCTGCAAGCTGCACATCGTCTGCTTTCATCTCAGGTGACCAAAACACACGTATTTGAATCCAGATCATCAGCATTGGGAAATACGGTGAGTGTGTAGCTACAACAGTCGTTAGGTTTATTAGGTTGGGTATTCATTGAATTGAACCGTTCTCTCTCGTTTCATACTAATTCGCAAACAATCCCAAGTGAGGGCATCACTTACGTCTTGGCGCTGGCTTCCAGGAACAGCAGGCCTGCGAGGACCACACGGAGACAGCACACAGAGACACTATTAACCAATACTACACTGCATACAAGGATGTCACTATAATACAGGAGTTGTTCAATGTGTTAGTTCATTATATGATGTTGTTGGTTAGTCTTGGAATCTACTTTAGATTCTGAGTTTGTAAATGCTACTGTGTGCAGTGCTCTGTTCAATTGTGCTTCTGAATTCCGTTGGCCCTCTGGGCCGTGTTTAATTCTTGTACGAGGTGCGACATCAATACATGATTATAATGAGTTTATATTATTACACAATTGTGTCCAAATTCCAATTCAACAGGGAACAGGTAGTTCTGATGAGGAGTTTGCTTTCAACCATTAAACAGCTATGCACTTTGCCTCTCCCCCAAAACAAATAATGTCAGTCAGGGACCCAGGAAATATTTCCTCACTCATAACACCACACCCGGTGTACCTCTCACGATGGCTGCGGCTACTAGTCATGCGCCCCCTACTGCAGGCTTCACACGACCCTGTAAATATTCAGTGACAACTTACGCACTGCGGCCAGTTGCGGAAAACACCGAGTGAAAAATCTCCCTTAGCCGACACCGATATATACAAGAGCTAAGTGCATCCATCGCACGCAAGTTGATTTATGCAACCAACCCCCGGCCTAACGGAATGAGATAGATGACCGAGCAAACGGTAGGCGGTGTGTCGATTGCAAGTGTCCGATCGTGGCGATTCGCTTGTGGCCGAGCGGCCCTTCCCCACCATTCTCCTCCGCAAACTGCTTCGCCTCCTCGTACGTGACGTCCCTCTGCGCCTCCAGGTCTGCCTTGTTGCCGATGAGGAAGATCACCTGGGCGGGCAGAGAAGCCAGATCCACACCGTTGTGGGGTTCATGCACTGCTGAGATATCTGAATGGAGTTGAGGGTTGAGTGTGGTGTATGCTTTATCATTTCGGGGCTGGCGAGGGGAGAGAGAGGTGCGTGTGTGAGATGTACGCTGTATAGTTTTGGGGTTGGTGAGCGAGTAGTGGTGTGTGCTGTATAGGTTTGTGTCTGGCAAGTAAGTAGTGGTGAGTGTGCCATATGCTGTACCGTGTTCGGGTTGGTGAGGTTCCGAGCGTCCGTGAGCCAGCTGCTGAGGTGGTTGTAGGTGCTCCTCCTGCAACGACGGCGCTCATCAACAACCAAAAGCTACCGGCACACTCGTGATGGCACAGCGGCAAGTTGGATGCGCAACCATCACTATTTTTGACAGCAGATACAGATCATTATTGTTAGCCGATTAAAAAGAACAAACATACGATTTTAATGGTGACGGTGGTCATCTTTTGTGGCGAAAACGGTGATAGTGATGACAATGATGGCAATGTTGCTGATAACGATGAGCAGCGCAGTGGTGTTGATGATGAAAGCAGTGGTGGCAATGTTGGTAAAGATGGACATGATGACAGCAATGGTCTCGTGACAGTTGCGATGGTGGTTAAGGCAATAATGGTGTTGATGGTGGCATGTTGTTGATGGCAAGGATTATGGTGGTGGTGGTAACTGCGGTGACACGGACTGTGACGATGGCTGCAATTCCAGTGAGTGGCGATGATGACAATTATTGTGACAGTTCCACGACCATCCCTCCCATCTCCCCTGACCTTGACGAGATGTCTTCCACTTTGCTCATGAGCAAAGAGAATTGTTTCAGTACCAACTTTGGGTGCCAAATACCACCAAATATCTGCCATGAGCAGTATCCATCATGTGAATACACTGTATTATAGACACTTGTCATATTTATTCTAATATTCTGCAGCTGTTTCATATCACATTCGTTTCTTTTCCCCCCCCAAAAACATTCTCTATCGAACATACGACAATAAACCTTCTTCAACTACCATTTTCTCATAAAGAGTTGCCATAATGACTTTGCCACCAAACACATTTGTGACTTAGAAGCAAATTGCTCCAATCAAATCCGATAAAGGCATCTTTGGGGGCACCGTCTCAAACGCCTCGCACCTGGTGATGTCGTAGACCATGAGGGCGCCGGCAGCGCCGCGGTAGTAGCTGCGCGTGACGGCGCGGAACCGCTCCTGGCCGGCCGTGTCCCAGATCTGCAGCTTCACCTTCTGCCCGGACACCTCGATGATCCGCGTGCCGAACTCCACGCCGATTGTGTGGGGACAGTCCGCCATGACTGCACGCGAGAGCGTCGCACGGGAGGGTAAACGCTCACACGTGCGCACGTAGCGAGCATACTTATGCAAGCGCGCACGTAAGAGTGCGCGTGTACACACGTGTACGCAAGCAGACACAAAATGCAAATAGCCCCCGGATCGCCTATACAGGGTTGGGGGCAAGTGCTGTTCACAAGCAACTATGAAGGCCAACACGGCGCACGTGGGGGGTTTGTGGCCGGCACCACGTCCAGCTGCCTTTGCCTCACGAGTGGTGATAAATACACACCACACGAAGCACTCATTTAAGGCTGAGCTGACCAAGGAGAGGCCCAGAATCGGTTTAGATATTTGTCACTCATGTTGGCCAAGCAAGAATCGAACGCGGGACGCAGGTTCATACCACAGTGCGCTAACCACTGCACACAGATTACGAACACACGTAAGCACACATGTGGATGTGTTCCTTTTTAGCATCTTAATCCAGGGATTTTTACAGCTGGTTGTATTAAAAGAGGTTTCAACACGATGTTTCATTACTTATTTTAGTCTTAAGCAAAGCTCTGTCGAGCGTCTTTAGTTGTGGTAGCATGTAAACGATTTAAAAAAAGATTTTTTATTTGATCAGGTAAGGCCCACTGAGCTATGTAGCCTTTTCAAAAGCGACCTGGCCACAAATTATAGCTCAGCCAAGTGGCTTATCGTGGAAATTTTAAGCAAATACTCTAAACGCATGTTGATGCTAAATGTGGACAGAAAAACCAGAGGACCCGGAGAAAATCCACGCGACCACGGGGAGAACATGTAAACTCCAAATATATAGGCCTCAAGTGTCGAGATTGAACCCACGACCTCCTGCATACCAGATGAGGTCGCTAACATCAAGCCACCTTGGCGCCCTTAAAAATGCTTATACAAGTTACATTTGTCTTGTACAAGTAGAAACAAACACATCCAATCACACATGTACACAAGCACACGAGAATACCAGGCTCAGGCTGACAGATGTCAAGCAGATGGCAGTACAGCAGTGGATTCCCGAACCTATGTGCGTGTGCTACGCGTGTGCTACGCGTGTGCTACGCGTGTGCTACGCGTGTGCTACGCGTGTGCTACCATCGTGTGCGTGCGAGTCTCCCCCGGGTTCTCCGCCTACATGAAACTCATTGATGGAATGGGCCAAACAGCATAACGCGGGGCGCTTCTGAAAAATAGTCTGGAGACTCACGTCGTTATCAAACTGTTCTTATCTTGTCAACGGCCAGTCAGGGGAGTTTTGTGGAAGGTCGGACAAGTCAGGGGGCTTCGAGGTAGAGTGAGTGGCTCACAGTCAGTAGGTTGCGAGTTCAAATCCTGGTTGGGAGTTGTCTCAGCCCATCATCCCGAGGGAGTTGATAAAATAAGTAGCAGTTTGTGGGGAGATCAACAATTGCTTTGCTAGGGATAGACTCTCTTCTGCCACAGGAATTGGGAATTTACACCGCTGGGTCTGGGGCTGCGAACAAGAGATTAGCACCAACGCAATGCTCATTCGAGCTGGAAATCACTTTAACATTGACAGAAGATCCATTAATTTGCCTTTCACCCACACAAGGTTCATTACACATTCTGACTCCCCTTGCCATAGAGATGTCAGTTGCACGCCAACATGAAATTTTTGTAGCCCTGAAGAGATGGGACTAAATTCCAGGGTATGTGTTTACATGTGCTCATTCGTGATCCCATCGCTAAGCCCAGAACTTACATTTCTTCTCTGTGAACTGATGGAGCAAGCAGGACTTCCCCACTCCCATGTCACCTGGAACGTGCGGGAGGAGGGGGGGATGGGGGACAAGGGCACACGCGGTTCAATGCATGAAGCATGAATTGCAAGGATAAATTACATTCAACAAATCGTTATAGCCCAATATTTATACGGCACCTTTCACCGAAGACTCGCACCCCAGATAATCTTACAGTGTGCGGGTGATGCACACACTCTATGACATCACTGCCAGCGCTGTCGACTGCTAATCATGCAAATTAACCCAGGGTGATGCAATGTCAGCAACGACGCACACTGGCAAAGCCTGCGCTACAAAAATGCCCGGAGCAGCACTAAAGGCGACGGCATATTTGCGGATTTATGCAAAGCGACTGTGTGGCGCACGGATCGGTTTAAATCAAGAGTAGATTTGGTATTTGTGCCATTCTTATTGTGCAAGGCCATCACAAAGGCACTGTTTCCCAGTCTGCAATACTTTTGCAGTATGGGACGATGTTGCTTTGTGCAATCCCAATTCATGAATCTGCGGATACACTTTTCAAAGGAGGCTAACTCAGACCGTGACACCAGCACACGTGGCCCGCTTTCATATAACGTTGCAGGATCTTTGAATCTCCATTGTGAACCAAATGGCACGGAGGCACTTGATGGTTATTCCACCCGCAGCGTTAACCAGGGCGGCGGTGGGACTCGCATCGTGAATCTCTGCAACGAGTGGCGAGGCGCTTCCGAAAGTGTGTCCGTGATTGTTGTAATTTACACGAGCGACAAACAAGACCGTCCTCGTCTCCCCTCCGCCTTCCCCCTTCCCCTGAAATAATAACAGCGGAAATAACTCAATCGTGTCGTGATGAGTCACTGCAATTTTACCGCATGTTATAAATACACCAAGTTGCGGCGTGACGCCAGAGGCTGGCTCCTGCTCCCCCTACCAGGGGGCAAAGGGCTTTAAACCCAGGCAAGAGTCCCGATTTAATGTGCGACTTGCGCCCAACAAAAAAAAACTGAATTTTCTTGCCTTTGCTAGACATCACAATAATCACGTGCACTTTGCGTCGTAAAAACAAGCGTCGGTAACTGCATGGCGCAAGATGGGAAGCAAGTCCAATTAACCCAAGCCTCGCTTTGACAAAATCACTGTCGAGTTTTCAGGAATATGCAAGAATGAATTTGACAAAGCTCTGTCTGGGTAGGCAACGAAGAAAATATTTCCACACCCAGGCACGCAATATTCAGTATACCTCCTCTCACTATGGCCATGGCTTAATGGTCACACACCAACTACTCCAGTCTACCAGCGACCAGGAAAATGTTCCGTGCGACATTCATCCGTAGTTACTTGCAAAACTTAAGGGCCATATCCTTAGTGACGGCTCATCTCTGGCTTGTCCGGCGAGTACATTTCAAAGATATACAAGTGAGCGGTCCAGCCATGGCTTGGCTCAGGCTCAACTCATGAAAATCCTAAGCATGCATGGGACCCACCTCAGAAACGGCTCAAGTTTAGTGTGGCTTTGAGCCAGCTCAATTCAGCTACAGCCAAACGTGAACGAAGCACGGCCCAAAGTGTTTATTAAGGGAAACGAAAGTGATGAAAACGAGTCACTTTTGAAACCCACCGTTTAAATATCGCCACCTGTTTGCACAGCAAGAGGCAGTCACTCACGGTTTACTCACCTAGAGAAACGCGTGCACCTCAGCGGCAAAAGTTAATCATCAGAGGCGGGGGGGGGGGCTACTGTGCGATAAACGCTGGCACCATAGAGCCGGCGGCAGCCTGCATGTAACTCACCGATGATGATGTACTTGAAGATGTACGAGTAGTTGTAAGGAGCGGCGGCCATGACTGCTCCTGGCTTGCACGGGGCGCTTGCAACCCTGAAGCAGAGCAAGTTCACAAGCACACAAAGTTCAGCCCGACATGCAGTGTGAACAGCGGGAACAACAGTGTGGTGCAGGAAGCCTTATATCTCATCTCAATAATTTCAAAGCCAGGAGACCCAATGATGACAGCGGTCCCTGTGCTGCACAAGGTGACGCAGCACCGGCCTGCAAGTCTGCATTAGTTTGTCAGTAGGGGGCAATGTTGCTATTGGCTATTATAATTATAAGTAATTTGCGAGTGGCCTTTGGTGCAGGGAATGAAATGGGGCCCCACTCTTTTCGTAGCCGGCGCTCGTGTCCCTCCAGCCCATGGATTCTCAAGTGAAGATGCACTGCTCGCATGCTCGATAGCTCCGCCACTGGCAAGGGCTGGTTGATTACAGAGTTGTCAAACTCCCAAACCTGCTGTGCTGCGAGGCTACCAGGAGGTGGCAGTATCGAATGTGAGAATTGTACATACAGTCAACTCGGTTTACGCTGCCATCGATTCACGATATTTCGATTAACGATCCGCCCTCCCATAGGGGTCCCATTGTCTCTATTAACGATCTTGATTTGAAGCTTTCGTGACTGCAGGAATCCATACTCTTTGGTTCTTTCGGTAAAGTCACGTAGGTAGAAATTAACATAAATCGCGACGTTTTGGGCGCAACACAAGCATCCGTCATCAGGTGGGAAAGCATGATCTGCTGCTGATCGTGATTTATTTTTATACCTACTTGACTTTACCGAAAGAACCAAAGAGTATCTATTAACGATGTTTACAATATCACGAGGCTGCCAATTTCTGGCAATCGGAGCGCTCCTAAGAGGACTCAGCAGACCTCAGCCAATCAACGAGGCCCTTTTGAGCGTTTGGAGAGCAACTGACTGCTCGCTTTCAACGTTTGATGTTCGTTGCTTATGGAAACAGCTCTTAAATACTTCGTGTTTTTTTTACTTAAAAGCTAAATAAGATCGCTAAAAATGGCCCCTAAACTGAAGGTGAAGAAAGACGAGAGAGTGAGGAAAATAATTATTGTGCAAATTAAGCAGGAAATTAATCCATCCATCTTCTTACCTGAAGGCAATAATTTTTATATCATGCTCTATTTATTAATTATGTATCCATGTTCATAATAATATTAATGATTTAATATGTTCTTGTTACGTTTATTCATTAAAATTGCGTGCTTAAATATTATAAAATATGTTTTAGGGTGAAAAAGGTCAACTTCCAATCGACTTGGAACAAATGAAGCCTTTAACGTGCATTTCCTATATTCCATAAAAAATAATTTCACTTAACGATGGTTTTTGTGGAACCAAACAATATCGCTAACCGCGGGAACACTGTACTCTATATACTTTATTTATATTTAATTATGAATAGTGACTTGCTCACCTTTTCTCTATTTTGCACTCGTTTTTGTATCGTTTACTATTGTAACTTTCTGACCCGCCCCTACTGGACATTTGTGAAAAAGGCCTTTATAGCTCATCGGATTCCGATTTCACCATCTTTCCATGTACATGAGGACGTGCCAATTGAATCGCTCCCTCTTTCCAATGGACATCCTCTCGGGCATGCTCCTTCCTTTGGCTATCGCCGTCATTCATCTCAACCACCAAACAACATCCCTCCGAGCAAAACGTCCTTGGCCACGCTTGTGTGTGCGCTCTATTTCATTTGATCCTCTTTCTGACACAGTGTAAATCCACACACGCACATAATCCTTGCTTGTCCGTACTTTTCAGCCTGACAAAGCAGTTTGCGAAAAAAATACATTTGTTCTATGGCCAAATCATACGGTATTTGTCTGATCACTCAGAAGCTAAGCAGATTTGGGCCTACATGGAGCTTGGGGCAAGCGACCACAAAGCTAAAAAAAACAAGTGTAATAGGCATTGTGGGCAGTAGGGGGCAGTGCAGCAAACCCCACTGCTGTTTTGTAACCGCTCCCAACCCGCGGCATTTACCAACCCACACTGCCCAACGTGAAGCAGTTACGGTCAGGTAACTCTCTCACTGTCTGCATGGCATGAGGCTCTCATCCAGCAGTGAACTGATAAATGGGCTGTACACTGCTGGATGATTTCAACGAAATGCTGCAACTTCGGATAAAATTTTTATTCACAAATGTCCGAAACTAAGTATTTTTCTTATGAATTAAGCTTCAAGCGCACGCCGTACAAGCCTGAAAAACAGCCAAGGTGTGTAGCTACGGGCGCTGTTTGTTTTTCTGGGTCATGTCTTGCGGTAACAGCTGTTCACCTCGCCGTGTTTTGGCGAGGTGAGGAAATGCGGAGTGAGAGTGCACCATGACAGCAGTGACACTCATAACGAGTGGGCGGCTACAGCGGAGAGGGGGCTCCTGACACCGACCCGGATTTTGGCGACCGCACACTCACATACTACGCCTCCACGGTTGCGTAAAGCAGCGGTGGGGAGCTTTAAATTAAGCGCCCACAAAGTAAACAAGGGAGACCGTATTGGCGGTGTTGTAAAGCACAGACACAAAACCTTCACTTTTAGCACTGCCGCTTTAGCACAACAACACAGAAGCCAGGTTACATTTCCCCTACTTTTAAAAATACCTATTACAGGGCCAAAAATATGCTATGTGCCAGAAATTTGGAAACAAAAATTGCCATAATTTCCAATACCAACAATGAGACAAATCGCCCAAGTGGCATGTGTCGGCTATGTTAAGATGTGAATTGGGTCTTAAAATATACGTTCTGTTACACTGTAGCATAAATGACAGGACGCGTGTGTGTGTACATTTTCTTTAGTGACGCTTTAAGTTACCTGGGAAAAAACTAAATTATTTAACAATGGATAAGGATTTCACATCCACAGGAAACAAGGCCTGGGCAACATTACAGATCAGCTGCACATTGTGGAAAATGGGTGTTACAACTTGCACACTCAGGCATTTGTGGTGTTTATCGCCTTTGGCGAAATGTAGTCGTATTAACCACGTACGCGAGGATATTCAATCACTACCCATCAAGGAAGAATGCACGAGGAAGCTATGTTCAATGAAAATTGATACAATTGGCACCATTTCAAAGGGTGCAGTGCTCACAACTTTATTTACAGCCCTTTAATAATCCACTGCTGGATGAAGGCAGCCTCACGTCACGTCGGTCACACGGGTAGTCTGACCATACTTCACCAGGCAGGTCAGTGCGGGTTGGTGAATGCGAGGACCCAGGCCTGGTTCAGATATCACTCGCCATTCATTTAAGGCCGAGTCGACCTAGGAGATGCCCAGGACCGGTTCAAATATTCATCATTGGTATCGGCCAAGAGGGAAAATCGGTTTGTAGCAGTGCGCTTGTGAAAGGAACACACATCCATGCACGACGAGGAAGAGGTGGTGGTGTCAAGTGGATGGAATTTGATGGGAACGCGGTGCCACTAGTCGACCTTTACAGATAATTTTCAATTGTGTTGCAAGAGTCACGGTGTGTCAAGTCGTTAGTGGCCACGGGCTCACGGCGATGATTGGAGTGGGACCTTTCATTCAGGCGAGCGTTTTTTCGTGCTCATCCAACGGTTTCCACGGAGTCACCTGATCAGTCACCCGATGCGCCCGTTTATTGATACTTTTTCAAGGCAATAACTTAAAACAATCGGTTTGAGTCATTGTTGAAGGCGCCATGGCGCAGGAGGAAGAGGCAGCAGCTACTGTCAGGGCGTGTCGCTCTAAACAGAAATCTAATTACAGTGGCCGCATGACGGGCGATATGCTGTGCTCAGCCACAGAGAAGCTGTTTACACAAAAGACCATCTGGCAAAATGCAACTAGGATAGCGCACACACACGCTCGCTCAAACACACACACACACGTAGGGAATCACAAACTACGCTACGGAGCAGTTATCACGTGCCTGCCACTTCTCTCACATTTTGATGAAAATGAAGCATACGCTTGTACACACACCACAAACAGAACACCGAAACCCACAGGGTCCCACCATAAACACGCAAGTCCTCAGCCAAATTCCACTGTACAAGGGGTAAGAGTTGAAATCGCACCGGAAAGATCAATCACCGCCCGTTCTCATGTGACAACAACATGGCTGGTGTCACTTTTTTGCCAGACCACAGGGTTACCACCCCAACCAACATGTCACCTTTAACCTGCAGCTGTGTGCCAATCCATTGTCAGGCAGTGCTAGAAAAAAAACAAATGGCTGCATTGCGTGGCCATAAAAAATGGGGCTGTTCTTTCAATTAGCTAAACTCTGAGAATGACTGCTGTAATAACCCAGTATCACCACCTTCCCTTGTTACCCCCCCCCATTCCATGGACAAGCCTTCTACCCCGAGTACGACAAGTGGCGAAACAGGTTGTTCAGGGTGCAACCTATCTTTCCTGAACCACTAGGTAACCTGATCGTAGCTGACGATATACATACGCAGACAATACGCCTCCTTCCCATGTGTCTCGCCACATTAAAAATAAGTGTATTGTCTTACACATCCCATCGGCCACAAGGCCTTCTGGGAGTAATAGCCACAATACCGTACACCTACCCAGAGATATCCAACCCCAATTGATTACACCCTCAAGAATGCTGTGTTATGCTGGTCGCTTTGCGTTGTAGGCCTGTGAGCCTGTGCTCAGCAAACGTGATGATACAATACTTCCACTAGCACCAGACCTGTAACCAGTCCTATTCAAATGTAACCAGTCCTACTATAATGTAATCTGTACGGACCGAACCAACCAGACCCAACTAAAAGTGGCTCAACCTTTTCCAGATAAAACTGAAATTGACTAAAACCAAACCGGATCAATACGGTCCACAACGAAACAGTCTGCAAATAGTGTAACATTAAACCCATCAAAACACGATCCACTCCAACTGGGCCAGATCCGACAAAACGAACCACAACGACTCTCATCTAAGGGCACAGAATAAACATACATGTGACAAAAAACAAAATGAACCAAACTTGAACCGATCCTACCCAGACAAAAATGCCCCAACCGAAGCGTCCCCAATAGAGCCGGACCGGTCCCAACCGAACCAGACCCGGGCCCTAACCGAGCCGGGCCCAGCCTAACGAGGCCTTACTGAGCCGGACAAAAAAGCCCACCGCACAACCGAACCAAATGAGGCCTCAACCTGGTCCCAATTAAACCAGTCCCAGACCTAACCTAACCGAACTCGAACCGAACCACAATCCAGCCCGATACGAACCAAATATAAACCCATCGAACCCGACTCATCGATCCAGACGAACGCTGAACGGCACGCCATCGCGATAGAAGCCCGGCCATACGAGCTGCGCGCGTCAACAAACGTGTTGTTCACCGTGGCCAAACAACAACCCAGACCCCGACACCCGCGCCAGGTGCCCCACCACCACCACCACCACGAGGCCCGCAGCTGCGCCCGGCAGACGCCTGAGGCCGCCTGAGGCCGCCTGCTCCAACACAAAAACAGGGCGGCCAAACACGACGCCCAGAAACACCCTCAAAACGCGACGCTTAGCGTTAGCTGCCGCTACTAACACCTCGAGAAATGAAACTGAAGTCGCAATAAAAACGACAGCAACAACAACAACAGCAGCAGCGGCAGCAGCGGCGGCAGCTATGAGGAGGTGTGAACCAGAGCCCGAGACGGGAGGTTGGGGAGGCGCGCAGCCGCAGCGCAGTTGACCTCAGCACCGGCGCTCACCGGGCCAAAGAGACGATGAAGAGGGAGCTGACGAGGGCGACGAGGTAGTGAAGGAGCTAATTTGGGTTGACGAGCAATTAGCGAGGAGGAGGAGGAGGGTGGTGGAGGAGGAGGAGGTAGCGAAGAGGAGCAGGAGACGAAGAGGAGGAGCCGAGGCGCTGGGCCCGGGGACGCGGCTTCTTCCGGATCGGCCAAGATGGCGGAAGTGCGAGACGGGGTTTCCCGCGGCCTTGGGCAGGGGCCCCCCCCCTCCCGCCCGTCGTTGGCGCCCCCCCGCCCCGCCCCCCACCCGCCACCCCCGCCCCCCCCACCCGCCCCCCACCCGCCACCCCCGCCCCCCCACCCGCCCCCCGCCCCGCCCCTCCACACCCCCCCGCCCCGCCCCCCGCCCCTCCACACCCCCGCCCCTCCACACCCCCCCCGCCCCGCCCCCCCGCCCCCAAGGCGCCGTCTTCAATCCGCGGCGTTCCGCCCCGCTCGGCCGTCGGGAACGCTCCGCGTGGTCGAGGCGAGTCGCCCCTTGTCGCCCTGCCCGTCACCACTTGTCACCTGCTGTTGAGTTATTTTTAACGCGCTTCGCCGGATTAGATTCCTCACCGTCGGTGGTCGGATTGCGTAAAACTCCCGAGACGAGTTTCCCCCCGAGGATTGCTTTGCGTCACAAACTTAAGGGACAATGGCACACAACGCCGACTTACGTAACCGTGCTATCTGTGGAGTTCTCGTATCTTTTGTTAAGATGCCCGTTTTTTTTATTGTTGGGATATTGAGATGTTTGCTCGGGTCAAAATGTGCAGCGTTTTGAGATGCAATTTGCACGAACGACGCGATATGAAAATCATTTCTTGTCTTCTTGTGGAGGTTTCCAGGAGATGTCAGTACAGCAAGTGGGTTCATTAGTCTACGACGTGTGGATCCCCGCAGTGGTGGAGGAATTTCTCCAGGTACTCCAAATGTCCTTCCAACGAATGAAAACGCGTCTTGGATAATACATTATTAGTCATACTCGTGTGCCATTGTCCATCAAATACAAGTCTTTATCATCGCACTATTCAGGCCTCTCGACTTCTCCCCTGGTTAAAACAAATGTAACTTGAACAGATCTAAAAAAAAACTACTCTCTACACAACTGCGTTTTTGTTAAAAGGTCGCTTGCAAGATTTTTTCCGGATAATTTCTGCTGCTGCCCGACAGTCGGGCGAAATGTCCGGCAAGATATTCGAATGGATTCTTGGACTTACGACGTGGACACCAACAACACTCATTTTCGTGTTTTGAAACTCAGCATTGCAATTTGGGGAAGCCAAAATAAAAAATATATATACAGTATACGATAATTCGGATGTTTCTGGTTCATAGCATAGACGTGGTTCTACTTGCGCCAAATGTCAACACCCGTCTCACTAGAACATAATTATAATTTACGCTGGGTTCCTGCTTTGCTTGAGCCAAGCCCTGATACAGCCACAAGGTGAGTGGCGTGCTCTGATTAATCACAAACCCCAGGTCAACTCAGCCTTAAATGGGCACCTAATGTGTAGTGTATGAACTAGGAATAGAGTCCAAATACATAACCACCATTTGTAGTGCGGCCACCCACCCCTCGTGTGCCGTTCCGGCCTTCATAGGACCTCGCTAAAAGTACTTGCCCCAAAAGTCTGTTGAGGCTACACGGGGGATCTTTGTCTGGTATGTATTTGTTGTGACCAGAGCATAATGTGCTGTGCTTTAGTCGGGGCTTAATGTCTCACTATTGTCCAGGTTGCTGGTAGAGTAGGTGATACTTGACTCGTAGCCACAGCCATAGAGATGTTTACAGGATGTGGTGTGCCGGGTGTGGGAAAAAAATTATGGGTCGTTGATCCGGACAGACCCGGCTGATTTTAAATCCTGATCAACATTACCATGATCTCCATCACGACCACATGTCTGCCTGTGCATTGCAATAACCACTTACTCAGTGTGTACTCATCACCCGAGACTGGGAGATATTTGTATTGTTTTATTTTTATTACTTTTATTAATGTTAATATAATTGTGTTACCTACGTGACTTTACCGAAAGAACTAAGAGTATGAATCATTGCAGTCACGAAAACTTCAAATCTAGAATTCATCGTCAATGGTCTATCCCTACGAGCAAGGTCAATGTTGCCTGCTCCTGTGAACTTCACTCGCCGATTCCTCCACTCGTGTTGAGGACTCGGTCTCCCAGACTATTGCAGCTCATCCTCACTGTGTTCAACCACCAAACACTGCAGGTCACAACGGTGAAGACAAGGATCCCCCGTATGGCCTTAACAGACTGGTGGGGAAAGTGCTGTCAGCAGAGGTGTGGACTCGAGTCATGTGACTTGGACTCGAGTCAGACTCGAGTCATGAATTTGATGACTTCAGACTCGACTTGGACTTGCATAACAATGACTTTGTCCCACCTCTGAGGTGTGGACTCGAGTCATGTGACTTGGACTCGAGTCAGACTCGAGTCATGAATTTGATGACTTCAGACTCGACTTGGACTTGCATAACAATGACTTTGTCCCACCTCTGGCTGTCAGCGAGTAGCACCTATGAAGGGCCAGCACACACACTCACTCGCACACTCACTGAGCCACACACTCACTCACCCACCCACTCGCTCGCACACTCACTCACCCACCCACTCGACCACTCACAAATCCACCCATTCACCCATTCACTCGCCCACTCGCACACTCACTAACCATCCACTCCCTCGCCACACTGCAGGTCACCCCACTTCTCTTTCTGCATCTTCCCTCGCACTGCTGCACTTTGGAGTTCCCTCCTCCCGTCATTATCATCGTCTCTTTCCCCCACAAGCTCTGACATAACATTGCTACTCAATTCAAGAAACGCGCCAACTCTCATTTGGTACAACTTAGACGGTGCTGTTTGTTGCTGGCCGCTGTCCTGCGCTCAGCAACTGCGTGAAAAAGAAAATCCCATCCAAGCCAAGGACTGTCTGTGGTTCGTGTGTCTGTGCGTGTCCGCTCACAACAACGAGCGGAGCTCCGGGCGGATAAAACACAACAAGTTGGCATAGTCGGGGGCACAGCTGGTGCATCGTCCAGTCGTCTCAGTCAACCCATGGCACCTGGGTCTGTCCCGTGACCTGCCACTGGGGGTTCGACACTGCACGTGTCCTTACGGTGCACGTAGCCTGGCACAAGCGCAGTTGTGACGTCACCGCCACTCATTGGCGAATGGCGGCGGTTGTTGTTGTTGGTGTCCGCGCCGGTTGTGTGTGTGTGTGATCGGTGGTGCAGCGGTTGGTGCTCCCATTCGCCCCCCCGCCCCTCTAGCAACTCAATACAATAGTTTGTCATATATTCAGAGAGTAGTCACTGAGGTTGTCATTATCAGTTTTCTATTTCGCTTAGACTGTATTGTTGTGAGTGTAGCTTTATTTTTACGTCCAGCGCTTTGAGATACTTCAATATGAAAGGCGCTTTATACGATTCAAGATTATTTTTTATGATGACTCGGGGTCGTGGTTCGATGTTAAAATCGATTTGTGAACATTTCGATGAGAGGAGTACCTTGAGTGGCGAGCGGGTCACACAACCCCGTGACGTAACAACTTCACAGATCAGCAGAGACCAGATGTCTCTTCCATATGTTTCTCCACATGCACAAAAAAGTGTTTCTTACACAATACATCGACCCCCGTGGCTTTCTGGGAGTGCATCATTTCAGCAGGATTAATACATTGCAACTCATCTCTGGACGAGTTTCGACACCCAGTGTCTCATCAGCAGAGTCGGGCTTTGCTTGACTCAGTGCTGGTGAGCGTCTGAAAGTCACAGGCAAGAGGAGCCCTCTCTTGAAGACATGGGTCCTCGTTCGATCAATTTAAGCTGCATACAACTAGGGTTGTCAAACTAAAACCACGACAATTTGACTCAAAGATCCCCCGTATAGCCTTGACAGTTTGGGCAAGTGCTGTTACAGATGGCAGCATGGCACTCGAGGGAATTGGTGGCCATCACCTTGCCTGGCCGTCTTTTTTGTTCCCTCGTGGCGATGTTTACAAATCGCACCAAGTAATCATTGTGAGGCTGAGTCGACCTAGGGGAGGCCCAGGACCGGCTCAGATAATCGTCACTGGTGTTAGCCGTGAGCGGGAATCGAACTCGGGTGGCTGGGTTCGCAGCGCAGCACGCTAACCTCTCACTACACTTGCCACTCCATACTCAAACAACAACCACCGTCATTCCCCAGGTTGTGTGCACATTGAAGCCATGCTCAAACAACACGCACACACACATGTGGCAGGAGTTGCAAACCACACATTTTTGACGGCATTATATTTGTTCATGCAGACATTTTATTGTTCCAATGTCTTGGCGGGGTGGATTTCTCCGGTACAGAAAATAAGCAGGCGGGTAACGGGGGAGGGGGGGGGGGGGCTCCGTTACACCTCACCTCACGACCCTCGTCACGGCTCACACCGGCCTTCTCACACGTACACACGCAGTACCGCGATTGCCAATCCACTGCTGGATGAGGGCCTAACCATGCGGACCGTGGGGGTCATTTAACCGTGCTTCATCACGCTGGTCAGTGCAGGTTTGGTGGTGGTAGTCGTGGGGAGTGCAATGCATCACCCTCTACTTCCTACAACTGCACACAGCGGTGGTGGTGGTGATGGTTATCTTTGCCAGCGCTATCCAGGCTCAATGTTGTTCGGCGTCCGAAATCTGCTGAGATGGGGCGTGTTGCGGATGAGTTTGTCGTAGCCGACGGTTTTTAAACTGGAAAACATCCACACACGCATTGACCCGAACTCTCAGATATCTTGGCTTGGTTCCGTTAAAAACGCAGCCCAAAATAATAAAAACAAACCGCTCTCATCTTAAATGGTCGTATTTTAAATTGAGTTTCACAAATGACGGTACACCTCCACCCTCTCCCTGGCTGACAAAAGCTACGATGTCCCCTCGCTTCAGTCAAAACGCCTCGGCGTGTCGATGTCGAAAAAATACTGCCGTGCTCCGGAGATGATGTCTCCTGGGATACGTCCTGCGGAAACCCGGAGGCTTCCTGAAGAAGATGGTGACTCACGTCTCAGACACAGAGGCCGAGGCTGACTCAGAAGGGCTGGGATTGATGACACTGTTGCTGGAGCAGGGCTCGGTGTGGGACAACGATTCGCAAGAACGGCCAAAACAGAGCCCAGTGGCGTAGGAGAGTCCCATCTCATGGCCAGCCCCTCGGATCGAAGAAGGCTAGAAACGGAAAGCCGACGAATGTGCCCCAACGCGTCGTGATTAATAGAGCTCTTGTCTTGCAGCTACACACCGAGCCTGTGTGCCACCGACTATGCCACATGGGCTAGAAGATCCGTTAATTATGTTTAAAAAAAAACACTTCAAATCGACTTGATTTTAAAGTATTTTGAAAACGATAATTATGATGATTCACGAAGGTTAAAACTGCTGTCGGACACCGCAGGACAAACCCTTACGTGCTTAGCTACAAGAGCTGATCGTTTCTCGGGTCCCACCCTCCCCTCGTGTCACCGATGTGGCGCGTGTGTGAGCTGCCGTTGCGACGCGCCGTGTGAGTCGAGATGTAGAGAGTTTATATGTAAAAAATAAGATCAAGCAAATGCAAGCCACGTGTCACCCTCGGCTCGTGCGGTCTGCAAACCGATGACACCTTCCTCTCGTGGACATCTGCAAAGCACACACGGAGACACGCGGGCGTCAGGTGGAGCACCAATATTTGATTTGCCCATTTGCGGAAGCCACACGTTACTGCTCTAATTTAATTAAAATACAACTTGGAACGTAAAATGAAAGCATTTTCATTAAGAAATTTCTCATGGTGGTTGTCAAGGGTGGCCCAACTCGTAGCTTTGGCCACCAGGGGAGGCCAAGGTGCCCCTTTCCCCCACGCTCGTTACGCTACTGGGTAGGTCGCTAGCACCACGCCCGGCCACCTTTGTCTCCACAATGCTGCTGTTTACGCACCGCACTCGGTGTGCTCCTTTAAGGCTCCGGCGACACACACACACGCATGCATACACATACACGCACAATGATGCGTCATGGCTGTGGATGAGGTTAGTTGTCTCAAAGTGTAGATTTTCGTAGCCAGGTCAACGATTCATATTTGATTATGGGTTAGGTAACGTGGTATAGCTGTATGCCAACGTTCGTTGATGTTCAACTCAGTCATGAGAAGACTCAAGTCAGCACATTTATTTTTGTGGTGTACATCACGTTAACTGTGTAAATGTGGCAATCTCGTCGGGTGGTGGAGGGTTAGTGATACTGCACCACGTGGCCTAATCCGCCACGTGGGTTCGGCGATCTTGGGAGTCGTCGGGCGTACCGTGCCGCGAGTCCGCTGCTCTAGTTGACCTGGCTGCCCGAGGACGAGCGGGTGATGGTCATCGTGCTGCTGGAGCTGCCACTGCATACACATCATCATCATCGTCATTCACATCATCATTCACATTATAAGCATCTACAGCATCGTCATCGAAATCATCATCGATATCATCATCAACATCTTTGTCATCAATATGATCATCGTCACAATAATAATAATGATCGCTACAATAATATTGTCATCATCACTAAAATACTGTGATCATCATGATCTCTTGTTGTTACGCTGCAATGATAAAATAATATCATAATCTTGCTATTCATGTATCTATTTACATTCTCACCTCGTCGGGCCTTTAAGCGGCATCATTGTCTGAACTGTCTCTCGTCTGGTTAGAGTTGAAGGTTTAACGATAACTCCGATAACACCATCATCATCATCATCGTCGGTGTGAATTAGGAAACACTCACCCCATTCCGGCGCTGCTTCCTGTGGGAGGTCAAAACGAGAAATATTAAAAGATGCCTGTTTGATGTTATTATTGCATCGTTGTGGAGAACATAATATAATAATGTAACAAATATGACCGGTTTTGACGTTCAGTGTCTCAACCGTCGAGTCAGGCTTTCTGAAAGCGTTGCTGGTGCACTGCCAGTTGTTTATAGGCAAGAAGTTGGGGCAGCAGGAGGATTGGGAAGCGCAGGAGGAGGTGGATGAGTGGGAAGAACAGTAACAGGCGGAGGAAGAGGATCAGGAGGAGTAGGAAGAGCAGGAAGAGGTGAAGGAAGAGCAGGAGAAGGTGGAAGAATGGGAAGAGCAGGGGCAGGAAGAGGAGGAGTGGAAGGAGCAGGTGGAGGTGGAGGAAGAGGAGGAGTGGGGTGTGCAGCAGCAGGAGGAGTGGAGCCTCACCGGTGGTGTAGAAGCCGCCGTGGTTGGCGGTGGAGGAAGAGCCGCCCGAGGGAAGCAGCACCGTCGGGGCCTGGCCCGCGGTGATGTTGGCGAGCCTGCGGGGCGTGGCACACATCACCACCATCAACATCACCATCAGCACCACCATCACCACCACCACCACCACCACCACCATCACCACCACCACCACCACCATCACCACCACCACCACCATCACCACCACCACCACCACCATCACCACCACCACCATCACCACCACCATCACCACCACCACCACCATCACCACCACCATCACCACCACCACCACCATCACCACCACCACCATCACCACCATCACCACCACCACCACCACCATCACCACCACCACCACCATCACCACCACCACCATCACCACCACCACCATCACCACCACCATCACCACCACCACCACCATCACCACCACCATCACCACCACCACCACCATCACCACCACCACCATCACCACCATCACCACCACCACCCTCGCGACTCACTTGGTGTCCCCTCCGTCGAGCAGGCGACGGTAGGTGGCGATCTCGGCCTCGAGCTTCATCTTCATGTTGAGGAGGTCCGCGTAATCCTTCAGCTGCCGGTTGATGTCGCAGCGCAGGGACGTGAGCTCGGCCTCGAGCCGCGCCAGGATATTCTGGTAGCCGGAGAGGTCGCGCGCGTTGCGATCCTCCGTGTCGGCGAGGGTGTCCTCCAGCGAGCGGATCTGCGAGGTTAAGAGACTCTGTGTGAGCCTATGGGTCTCTGTGTGAGTCTATGGGCCTCTGTGTGAGTATATGGGCCTCTGTGCGAGTATATGGGATATCTATATGAGTCTATGGGCCTCTGTGTCAATATATGGACCTCTGTGTGAGTATATGGGCCTCTGTGTGAGTCTACGGGTCTCTATGTGAGTATATGGATATCTATGCAAATCTATTGGTCTTTGTAAATATATGGGTGTATATGTGAGTCTTTGGGTCTATATGTGAGTCTATGAGTCTGTGTGTGATTCCATTGGTCTGTGCGTGGTTCTATGAGTGTCTATGTAATGCTGTGGGTTTATATGTGAGTCTATGAGTATCTATGTAATTCTGTGGGTCTGTTTGCGAGTCCATGGATCGATTTATGAGTCTTTGGCGGACGCCACTCACCATGCTGCGCATGGAGTCGAGCTCCACCTGGAGCCCCTGCATGGAGCGCCGCGTCTCCTGCAGCTCTGTCTTGACCGTGATGGTCACCTGGTTCTGCTGCACCGACACCTGCTTCACCGTTTCCAGCTGCAGTAGCAACAGCGGCAGCAGCAGCAGGGCGGGGAAGAGGGGGGGCGGTGGGTGAGAGGAGCAGAGAGGCCCGGAGATGCGGAGGAAATGGGTGAGCAGAGAGCGAGCGGGGGAGGTGGAGGAGAGAGTTGGGGAGAGGAGGAGAAATGAGGAGAGAAAGGAGGAGAGCAGAGCGGTGGATTCATAGACAGAAGAGAGCAAGGAAGAGAGAGAGAGAGAGGAGGGTCAGGGTGCAAGCGATTAGTCGAGTGGTGTGTCTTTCATCCTCAAACGATGGCTCGCTTGCAGCACTCGCTCCAACGGTGTTTCAGGAGGCTACATGGGGGAGCTTTGTCTGTGCGTGCCGCACCTGCTTGCGGAAGGCCTCCTCCGCCTCGTCGCGGCTGCGGGCGATCATCCCCTCGTACTGCGACCGGATGTCGGCGAGGATGCGCGCCAGGTCGGCGCCCTTCACGTTGTCCACCTCCACCGACATGGACGTGTCGGCGATCTGAGCTCGCAGCGCCAGCACCTCCTGCAAGCGGGCGGCACGGGGCCAGCCACGGGGCACAACCACGGGGTCATCATCAGGTGGTGCGTCTGCCGGTCATCTCAGTCAGTTAACACATGGCACCTGCTGGGTCTGTTTCAGTAACCTCCCACCAGCGGGCCTTCGACACTTCATGTGGCCTCGAAGTAGCACCTAGCATGGCATGAGCGCCGTGGTGACGTCACTGCCACTTAGTGGTGAATGGCAGTTGTGTCAAAAAATGTCTGTCTTCCTATCTGCCCTTCTTCCGTCTATCCGTCTGTTTCGAGATTTCTCTGTCAATTTGCCCGCCTGTCTGCCCCTCTGCCTGTCTGTTCGTCTGTCTATCCTTTGAGTTGCCCAGCTTTCTAGAGCTCTGTCTGTCTATCCGTCTGTCAGTCTATAGATCTGTCTGTCCATCTCTCTCTCTGTCCCTCCCAACCCCCATCCCACCATGATCATGAATGCACGGCAGCTAAATCACGGGCAATGTAAATTCGTCTTGCCGAGGCGGGGGGGGGGCACGTGGAGGGCACCTGCTCGTGGTTCTTCTTCATGAAGATGAGCTCCTCCCGAAGGGCCTCGATCTCTCCCTCCAGCCCCATGCGTGCCATGTTGTACTCGTCCAGGAGGCACTTGAGGTTCGCGATGTCCACCTCCACCGAGTTGCGCAGCGCCAGCTCCGTCTCCCACCTGAGTGGAGCGGCACCGGCGTTGTCAGACGGCTCGTCGCGGCACAATGGGTAGGGCCGGACGACCAGGAGAACGGTCCGCGGAAGCAGATACCACAGAACTACTTCTGAGGTCACGTCAAGCGAGCACATTTTATCCAACGGGTCTGGATGGATGTTGAGCACAAACGTGGGTGGCGAATGCCAAGGGTTGTGCTTGCGTTACAGAACAGCCCAAGGAAGTGAATACCCCAGTAACTACTTCTGAGATTCCGTCATATGTGTAATTTGGTACAATTTAGCTAACGGAAAGGACATAGGCAGACACCTCACGCAAAGTGCCTTTCTTCGTGTTAAAGGACGGCCCGCTGAAGTGGATAGGACAAAATTACCTCTTACATCTCTTCAAGCGAGCAGTGACATCTGCAACGGGTATTAGTGAAATACATTAAAGACGAGGAAGGTGTCTTGACTTTAATGCCACCCGGGGGAAGCACCACTGCCTCTAATATTGAGAGCCTTGATTGATTAATTGATAGACACACTATCACGTTCAAATTATATTTTGCAGTTAACTTGGAATATATCCAGCACTTAGAATTAAAGAAAACTATCACGTTTATAGCAGGGCGTGTGAGAAGGTGATACCACACAGTGTGGATAAAAGGCAAATGAAGGGATATCAGATGTAGTTCTGTGATGTCAACTTCCACAGGTCGTTGTCTAACACGGGATGAAGCTACACTGATTTGTAAGTCCCCAGTAAAAATATCTGTGCCTCATAAAAACACATTCTACAATGACATGGGTGTGGAGCAGTGGCGCGGTGGTTAGTGCACTTCGCTGTATACCCAGCGACCTGAAAAATGTTTAACTGCATTTTAAAAAAGTCACTCACTTGGAACGGAAGTCATCGGCTGCCAGCCTGGCATTGTCGATCTCCAGGCTGACCCGGGCATTCTCCAGGGTCTGGGTCAGAATCTGTGGTACCAAATGAAACATAGTGAGCAGATGCGGACACAATAAGTGGACGTAAGCCAATGACCAAACCACCTGGAGTGCACCCAATCTCATCAGGCCTTGGAAGATAATCAGGTTTGAGTCTGACGAGTGCCTGCGTGGGTGACCACCAGGCACAAAAACAACAACAACGTAGGAATCTGGAATGTCTTCGACTGGTGCAGGGCTGGGGGTGCCACGGTGGCGAGATGTTAACTACCTCGCCTGGCATACAGGAGGTCATGGGTTCAATCCCGACCCTGGCGCCTGCTGTATATTTGGAGTTTGTGTGTTCTCCGCGTGGTCACGTGGATTTTTATCCAGGTCTTCCGGTTTTTCTCTTCACATTTAGAATCAACATCACCCGTTTAGAGTTTTTGGTTTGCGATAGATGTCCACATGATAAGCCACTTCGTTGAGCTGTCATTTGTGGCCAGGTCGCTTCTGAAAAAGTGCTACACAGCTCAGTGGACCTTACCTGGTAAAATAGAAATAGTTTTATTTTAGTTTAGAACCTGAGATCATGACCTCATTCCTTTGAGTGGGAAAGCACCTTGAATTTCCAGATTTAAAAGCAACAAAAATGAGATGCACTTGGTGAGGTCAGTGTATTGACTGACATCATAGGCCACTCAATAGCCTACCTAGGCTCTCCAGTTTAATTAACATTCGATCATTCTTACGAGAGTTATTGTGGCCTCTATTGCAGACACCCCACAGATAGACAGATGGACACAGTGAGCTAAAGAGTTAACAACTGTATTATTAAGGATAGTTAAAATCTTATCAATAAATCCCATAGTGTCTGGGACATTGGGAAGAGATGTGGTTAGGGTTGGCACCTTTCCGAGTTTGACCGGGCCAATCCAGGAATTGGCATCTGTGTGTCAGGTGGCAGCAGGATTTTATTTCTACCGAGATCTGGTCCGCCTATTGCTGAGTTCGCAGTCGACTGCGCAGTGTTCATAATAGAGAAACACGTTCGGGTTTGGCCTGCAGTGTAAAAGCTGGCAGCGCTGGGTGCGGCCGAGTACCTTGGCCCTCAGGTCCTCGATGGCCGAGTAGTAGACGCTGTAGTCCTTGATGGATGGACCTTTCCCCTTGAGCAGCTCCTTGATCTTGATCTCGATCTCCTTGTTGGCGTGCTCCAGGATGCGAACCTTCTCGATGTAGCCGGCCAGGCGGTCGTTCAGGCCCTGCAGCTCCTGCTTCTCGTCACTGCCGTGGATGATGCCGGCGCCCAGGCCCATGCCCATGCCCAGGCCGTAGTTGCTCTGGTACCCGAGGCCACCCCCGTAGCAGCCGCCGGCGATGATGCTGTGGCCTCCGCGCAGGCCGCCACCGTACGTGCTGGAGGAGCTGCTCACCTGTTGCCGGGGAAGAAGAATTAAAATATCTTATATTCACAATAATAATTGTGTAATGTGAATGTATGCACTGTAGTAGATAGAGTAGATTTGGTATCCGCACCATTCGGTGTGATAACTGTGTTGATGTCCCATTTCTTCAATTAGTTCGTCATTGTTTTATTTTCTGAGATTTTTGTATTTACTTAACAATTGTTATATAAATAAGATTTAGCCCCTTCGTGTGATTATGGATACAATTATTGTCCAGCGTTGTGAGATGCAATTAGCATGAATGACGCTATATAAATCTTAGATTATTACTACTTTATACTCATAGCCTACTGAAAGCGTAAAGCATGTTATTTTTTCATCATCTTGATACTGGCAAAAAGGGTCCCATAGATTGTTTTGACACTTGTTAATGTATACGCAAACACGATATATTGTTATTTACCCTGTTTGCACTAAGTTCTAGCATGGGTTTCGTGTAAATAATTTGTTGTTTTTGCGTTTGTTAGTTTGCACATTTCTTCCGCCCTGCGATGTCCTCTGACTGTCGCCACTGCTGACGGCCTTGGGCTGTGGTTGTCCTTGTAACGGAGCTGCTGAGCTCAACAGGGCCCTCCCCGGTTGAGATCATTCAGCCTGAGTCACGTTCTGGTCCAGTGTTCTTCACTAATGTTCAGAGCGGGGCCACTTTCGCCGATGAGACATCATCAGTGTGAGGGCCACCACACATTTGAAACTGTTTGGGTTTTGGGGATGTGTCCCCCCCAATATATATTATAATTACGGCCTTGGCTTCGAGGCCCCCCCTCTCTCAACACTCACCACGCGCCGTGTCCCCACGCTGCCACCAGCCGATCGACTGGAGAAGCCTCCCACACCTCCGTGACGGATCTTCATTGTGGACGTCATGGTGGCTCTGTCACGGCGATCGACTGGGCGCGGAGAGATGTTAAAGTGCGGCGGTCAGAATGAGAGGAGACCACAGAAAAAGCAGGAAACGGACATCACGATACATCGTCGTATCGTGAACATTAATATCGTATTGTATCGCGGCAACCCTAACCGCAGCCGTAATCACAGGTAACAAAAACTCAACACAGAATATCAATAGCACTGCCGTTAAAGGAAAAAGACCACGAGGGACAACATTTCTGGTTCATGGCCCTAGAGATGAAGGGCCATTGCTTGAAATGCCGAGTTTAGTTGTATATGTAACGTGCGTTGTTAGCGAATGTGTTGAGTTCATTTGTTCTTTGTGCTCCAGAGCCACTGCCAGCGCAGCAGCAGCATTATCATCACATCTCTGCTCGTCGTCTCATCAGAGGCGAGCATCACTCCAGCCAAACGCCGCCGCCTCCTCCACGTGAGAGACCCGACGGCGCAGAAGATCCCTGGCGTCTATCTTCCACCCTGAAGCTCATGGACCACAACCCCTGATCCACATCCACTGCACAAACCGTGGCGGCAGCAGCAGTTGCCGATACTTATCAGAATATTTATTTAGACTGGAGGAGTCCGATGCGCTACGAAGCCCTTTTTGTATCTACGTATGTTGCACTTCTTTCGCACCGTACATATCCAACTGTGCTAATCGAAGGTCCAGTTGATACTCGATGACAGACAAATGGGACGTGTGCAGCACACACAGAAACAGGCAATGTGCGGCGACTGTGGGCACCCAAAACAGAATCGTGGAACATCGAATGACTCAAAGCCTCAAACACAAATACAGGTACCGTACAAAGGAGGAGGCATCATCACAGGGATACACCACTCCGGTACTCCTGACACAATGATCTGGTTCATTAACCACCTCAATGTGGAATTGCAGTTGTTGAGCTGTATCAACATTAGCCATACGATGAAGACGATCGAGATCTACGGATTCACAATGAGACCCATAGACTCACATGGAGACCTATAGACTCACACAAATATCTACGGATTCATACTGAGACCCATAGACTCACATGGAGACCTATAGACTCACACAAAGATCTACAGATTCATACTGAGACCCATAGACTCACATGGAGACCTATAGACTCACACAAAGATCTACGGATTCATACTGAGACCCATAGACTCACATGGAGACCTATAGACTCACACAAAGATCTACGGATTCATACTGAGACCCATGGACTCACATGGAGACCTATAGACTCACACAAAGATCTACGGACTCATACTGAGACCCATAGACTCACATGGAGACCTATAGACTCACACATAGATCTACGGATTCATACTGAGACCCATAGACTCACATGGGGACCTATAGACTCACACAAAGATCTACAGATTCATACTGAGACCCATAGACTCACGTCGAGACCTATAAACTCACACAAAGTTACATATGAAGGCATCGTCAAAAATCAGTACATCACACTCCACGACTGTTGACAACGATTTGCCTCTACATCAACATCAGCCATCCACAGAAGAAGACCACTGCAGCCATACCTGTGGATGTGTCGGGTGATGTCTGGCAGGACAGGAGGTTCTGTGAGAAGATTCTGGTGAGAGAATGAGGGACAGAGGAGGATACGGGTCCTTATATCTCCACTCAGATTGATGGGCGGAGCGTGACTCCACCCATCTCAGGGTTGGGACATGTCCAGTGGATTAGCTCCCTAAGCCAGAATAATTCATGTCAATTTTTGTCTATGGAAAAAATATATAACACGTTTGCTGTCTCTTTGAGAACACCGCGTAATCCGTGCGGTGTTGAGAAATGAGTTCGCTCAGACGTTACGCACGCATTAAGGAATTCAACAAAAATCCACCCTGCAAAAACTGAGGCTTCATACTGAAACGCGTGCAGCGTGTCACTGTGTCTGAAGAGTAACGTTTGCAATCAGTGCGTAGTCTCTGCTTCAACATGTGGCAACATAGATACTGATAAAACAAATACATGTATAATCAGTTAACGAAATACTAGGCCATCAACCATCACTAGAGACCATCGCTCATCAGTGCAGACCATCACCCATCACTAGAGACCATCACCATCGCTAGAGACCATCACTAGAGACCATCACCCATCACGAGAGACCATCACTAGAGATCATCACTAGAGACCATCACTAGAGACCATCACTAGCGACCATCACTAGAGACCATCACCATCACTAGAGACCTTCACTAGAGACCATCACCCATCACTAGAGACCATCACTAGAGACCATCACCACCACTAGAGACCATCACTAGAGACCATCACCATCACTAGAGACCATCACTAGAGACCACCACTAGAGATCATCACCCATCACTAGAGACCATCACTAGAGACCATCACTAGAGACCATCACCCATCACTAGAGACCATCACTAGAGACCATCACTCATCACTAGAGACCATCTCTAGAGACCATCACCCATCACTACAGACCATCACTAGAGACCATCACCCATCACTAGAGACCATCACTAGAGACCATCACTAAAGACCATCACCATCACTAGATACCATCACTAGAGACCATCACTAGAGACCATCACCATCACTAGAGACCATCACTAGAGACCATCACTAGAGACTATCACCATCACTAGAGACCATCACTAGAGACTATCACCATCACTAGAGACCATCACTAAAGACCATCACCATCACTAGAGACCATCACTAGAGACCATAACCCATCACTAGAGACCATCACTAGAGACCATCACTCATCACTAGAGACCATCACTCATCACTAGAGACCATCACTCATCACTAGAGACCATCTCTAGAGACCATCACCCATCACTACAGACCATCACTAGAGACCATCACCATCACTAGAGACCATCACTAGAGACCATCACCATCACTAGATACCATCGCTAGAGACCATCACTAGAGACCATCACCATCACTAGAGACCATCACTAGAGACCATCACCATCACTAGAGACCATCACTAGAGACCATCACTAGAGACCATCACCATCACTAGAGACCATCACTAGAGACCATTAATAGAGACCATCACTAGAGACCAGTGGTTCTCAACTGGGGGTACGTGGACACCTGGGGGTACATGGCAATGTCCCAGGAGGTACGTGAGGTGATGTATAAATGTGTGAAATTATATAATGCGCGAGAGTCATTGGTAAATAATCATGTATGAACCTGCCAATATAAAATAACGAAGACAAATCTTAAATCCATATGGAAACCTCGAACGCTATGAAAGACCTTTCCAAACGCATTGATCGTCAACAATGTGGTTTCCAAGAGTAACCAGCGAGCAAAACCAAATGATGTAACGCGTGCAGAGAGTCCGGAGAACATTTTTAATTCGCTTGCAGCTACTAGCAGCTCGTTAGGATACCTCACCAAATGGACAGTTGTTTGAAATGTTGATTTATAATATTTATTAAATACTCTCAAACACAACTATCGGCAGTTGCAGAATATGCTTGCCAACAAGGACACTCAATTTATTTTGAAGTGTTGTGCAAAACTAATATTACTGGCCAAGACTAATTCGAGAATTCATTGAAATTGAGAGAAATACAAATCATTTTAACCGTTCTGACAGCTCCAGGCTCAGTGCGGCCTGGAAGCGTATTATTAAGTAATTGTAAGAGGAAGGCAGAAGAAGAGGTGCGGCGATGTGGTGCGATCGGACGTGGTGGCCAGAGGAGAGATTTCGTGGAACGGGGCGGTGTGGAGAAGGTGGCAAGGACGGTGGAACACTCCACACGAGTAGGGCACACGCGTGGAAAAAGAAGACATCTGACAATAATTACAAATAGAGGAAACACAAACTAATTAAATTATTACCAATCATATTATTTGGGTCTTTCGGTAAAGTCACGTATATAGATTCAAATAAAATTGCAAAAAACTACGACGTTTCGATCGCAACACAAGCGTTCGTCCTCAGGAAGAGGGGTTTAGCTTCTAAACAGTTTACCTTTAAACGGTTTACCTTTAGAAGCTAACCCCCTCTTCCTGATAACGAACGCTTGTGTTGCGATCGAAACGTCGTAGTTTTTTGTTATTTTTTGGTTATTTTCTTTGAACCTATCTACGTGATTTTACCGACAGACCCAAAGAATATGAATTCCTGCAGTCACGAAAGCTTTACGTCAAGATTACCAATCAATTATGTAATTACAATACCCCCCCTCCCTCGCCTCTGATTCATGCACCTGATGGGTTCAGTGATGACGTCGTCCTGCTGCTGCTGCTCTGTTTAAGACCGGAAGCAGGTGGATGGCTTCACTATTCTGGCAAATCGCCCGATGATGCTGGATGTAATTACCAGCGAAATGTCGTACTCAAATTGTAAATGTTGTGGATTCACTCTAATACGCCCGTGGGCTGAAGTAGTAACTGATTGGCGTTTTGTTTACGTGACATATCGCTTACTAATTGGCTGTGTCGGGTGGTGGAGGGTTACGACACATTTATACTTACGCGATCTAACCCAAAAACCTTTATTGCGAATAATATTGGTCGCGAAAGCTTGCGCATTAAACTAAAATATTGATGTTCATTATTCACACTTTTATTTCTCAAAACCAAGTTGGGTCGAGCAATTGGGTACTCTTGAAACAAAATTCAACTGGGGGGTGGTACAGCAGCCATAAAAACGTTGAGAACCACTTGCTCTAAAGTCTAAACCATCACTCATCAGTACAGACAGTGCCGGATAATTCTAGTAGCACAAGTAGCAAATGCTACGGGGCCCGCGCTTTCAAGTGTCACTTGTTAAATGCTTTCAAGCTATCAATTCCGATTCAGTGATTCTGCACTTGCTCTATTACTATAGTACTATACTGCCTTCAACTTTTATGAACGACTGGGTGTTTAAGGTTGCGTTATGTCGTATTATCTGGCTGTATAGCAAATGAAAAAATACAATTATTTTACTATGCAAGTAAAAATTAAGTGTGAGAATTGTATTTTATTATGTTTAATTTTTTTTATTATTTCCCTTCTACGTGACTTTACCGAAAGAACCACGAAGATGTATAATATTAGTTTAGGGCCCCTATATAACACGTGCTACAGGCTCCGCACGAGCTTAATCCGTCACTGAGCACAGCCCACCATCCATCACTATGGACCAGTGGGTCCCAGCCCGTGGTCCGCTCAATGTCTGGACGTTGGCAAGGGGTCCCACGCACTCGGCAAGCTTGGGCGCCGCTGCACAGTATCGATGGGACCCCATCACTCATCACTGCAGACCCTAGGCACCCATCGCCATTACACAATAACGCAGCACATTCGCTAATAAGACTGCTTGAAGAGGAAACGTGTATAATCATCGAGAGGTGACGGAGGGTCATTGCCCGAAACGTCGCCTATGATCTGTTTTTATTTTTTTTTATAGCCACAGTGTTATTGATGACGGACGTGTTGGGTTTCTGTTGTTTGTGCTTTTGCACCACAACTGCCACCACCTCCTCCACCTCCTCCACGTCCACCACCTCCTCCACCACCACCACCTCCTCCTCCACCCCCACCACCTCCTCCACCACCTCCTCCACCACCACCTCCTCCACCCCCAACCACCTCCTCCACCTCCTCCACCACCACCACCTCCTCCTCCACCCCCACCGCCTCCTCCACCACCACCTCCTCCTCCACCACCACCTCCTCCTCCTCCACCCCCACCACCTCCTCCTCCTCCACCACCCCCACCACCTCCTCCTCCTCCTCCACCATCACTAGAGGTCCATTGAGGGACGGGGTGAAGGTGGTGGGTGGGATGCGGGGGGGGGCTCTGTGGGGGAGTTGAGTTAAGGGGCGGGGCTGGCGATCACGTGGTCCCCGCGCCGCCATCTCTACCTGGGTCTCGTCTCGGCTGTGCGAGGCGCGGAGACCGCACGCCTCCTCCTCATCCTCGTCGTAAACTTTCTCCTCATTTCCCCTCCGCGTGCGTTACACTTCTTCATCACAACCGGCGGCGTTAGTGACGACGTCAACGATAACGTTCGTTGACACGAGAGTCAATTGCGTTGGCGGCGGTGAAGGTGACGGCACTCGCCTGAATGAAGCCTGCGCACAGGCCACCTCCCGCCTTTTTCAATTAAAATGTTATTTTATGAATTAAACGAGTTGCTCGTTTAACTGTAGAATGTTTTACTGGGTGCACACTGTCGCTTTTTCTTGATCAAAACGCCGAGTGAGTGGCGATTTTAAAGTTTTACGGCGCGAGGTCAGGCTCGCCTAGACGAGGCCTCGGTGCAAGGCCGCACTCATTTAAACTTAAATTCGTTCGAAGGTGCAGATGCGAATGAATTAACAGCGCGCGGGTTTTCATGGCTGATGATGATGAATCCTGGGATGTAAACAGGAGATGCCCACCGCCCGGCACTATAATTAAAGCGATGTATTAAAACGCTTCGAGCAATTGAACCCTCATTGGCACTGGATACCAGACCTGGGATTTCTTACAATTGTAAATGAACGATTCGTAATAAATTGCAATCATCTAATTTCAATTAACGTCGGTGCTGTAACACATTATAATTGATATCACGTCTGGCAGGTAGTTTGTCCCTTTATTAAACAAAACATGCATTTGTATTTGTCAACTGCTTGGTCGTTGGAAAGTGCTTCCATTTTAAATCCACTGAAGCTAATTTAATTGCATTTATCCCCTACCACATGAGGACTTTCACAATAAAAACAAATATACAGCTCGCTTGGCTTGGTTAAATCAGCTTATCAACCTGGTGATGTGTAGTTTTTGAGATTGATTGTCTTGATATGGGAGGCTGTGGTGTAAACCATGCGTGTGTATGGATTATAATATTGAGTGCTGTTTGTTACAGGTGACGCTTAAAGAACCATTACAATATCTGGTGCAAGCTTCATCTCTTTGCAGCTCATTCTTCTATTCAGCAAACATGGTAGGAAGTGAACAACGCTACGAACACATTCATACGCGTATAAGCGCTTAACATAGTTGTTGATTGTATCCATTTGCTTCTGACCGCACTGCCCTGATCATTACCCTATTCGTAAACGTGCATTTCATGCAGTTTTAATATCTTCCGAAGCACAAGTATATAAAAACGTGTCGGTGTGCCTCACACCATCAACTGTTGAAATAAGTGAATATGACAGTAAAACGATAGGTAATACATTCATTATTCAAATCAATACAATTTAAAATAATTTTTTTAAATGGGCAAATCAAGTTGGCTCTTTTAAAAATGGGACTTGGGAGAGGTTAAAGAATACAGAAGCATAGTCATTGTCTTATCGGAGTCTCCATACTAAAAAATATCTTGCGCCACTCACCTCTGTTTTGTTTAGTGGAAATATCACATTCTATTGGGTACTAAACTTGCAGCCGGGGTTGGTTAATCTATCAGTATGGGTGGGTTTTTGTAATATTTTAATTGTGGGACATGAAGAAAATTACGTTGCAACGATTTGAAATTGGATTTATAATAAGTGGGCAGAAATTAGATTGAAATAACAGTTTCACCCCAAGGGATATTCTCAAATTGCCTTGACTACAGTGGATGCAATATGTGGGTCATCGACCTGTGAAGACCCAGCTGAAACGAATACCTTGCCACAACTTAACCTGTATGCATCCGCGTGTCCTCTCTCCTATTTGTGCTCGCGCGTACCGTAGTATCGCCCGTACCGCATGTTTGCGCGGGACGACCGGCATGCGTTGGCCAAGCACACGGAGGTGTACCCGACGCAGGCCGAGCTGGAGGCCGTCCAAGAGATGGTGACCACCACCGAGAAGGCGCTGAAGCTCGTGTCTGACTCGATAGATCAGACGGACCAGGCGAAGCAGACCACCGAGCAAGTCGACGAGGCCCCGGTCACCGTCAAGGCCGAGCCCGTCGACGTCGCGGTCAAGTCAGAGAATGGCGAGGAGGCCAGCGATGGAGAAAAGTAGGAGATCATCTCATATTTTGACCCACGTAGAATTCTGACCCCTGTGACATAATACAATATATTATTTGAAAGCTGTCACTCACAAGTCTTGATGGTTTAACCCTCCTGTTCAATTCTTACCCTGGGAAGACAGGGGTGTCAATTGTTGTACTGAACTCTACTCCCACATTACCGAGTGCAGTGTGCTGTGCACCTGGCAATCTTAAGTTAAATTTCTTGCCATGGCCAACATTAGTGGCATGTGATATCTGAACTGGTACACCCCCATCATCAATCTGACCTATGACAAAGTGTAGAATAATACATATATTTGTATCAATCTTTATTTTAAGCTTTCGTGACTGCAGGAATTCATACTCTTTGGTTCTTTCGGTAAGTCACGTAGGTATACAAATAAAATAAATCGCGACGTTTCGGGTACAACACAATCGCTCGTCTTCAGGTGGGAAAGCATGGTCTGCTGCATTAGCAGCCAGGCCCTGCTTGTATCAGTTGATACTCTTGTTAATATTACGTAGGTTTTTGCGTTTTTTGCTGTACATCTCTTCATTGTGTTTTGGAGTATATTGTTCCACATGGTGTGTGACGTTTCACCTCACACTGGGAGTTTCGGCAGGAACTGAATTCCATAAAATTTTTGTATTCAGTTCCTGAAGAATCTCCTGCCATGTTGAGCAAAAATATGGACATTGTGATGAACAATGTGCGGTACAACCGAAACACTGATCCGAACGCTAATCACTTTCTTGAAATGCTTTCGTATTCTTGCACCGGCGCAGGGAGAAGCCGGCGGAACCCCCGAAGCGTACCTTGCGCGGGGTGATGCGCGTGGGCAAGGTGGCCAAGGGCCTGCTTCTCACGGGCGACACAGACCTCGAGCTGGTGCTGCTGTGTCGTGAGAAGCCCACGATTCACCTGCTAAGCCGCGTCTCTGAGAGCCTGCCGGCGCAGCTCAAGGTAAGAGCAATGCTGGTGCCACTGAACAGCGGTTATGGAAGGATAAATGCTGCAGGGGGTGGGGGAGGGCACGTGTAACAGTCGTGGCGTGTTGGTTCCTTCAAGCATTCATCGCAGTCACAGAGGTTGCCACGGTTATTCAGGCGCCGAAATACTGAGACATATCGATCCAGCACTGCTGGATGTTGAGTTGGAATTCAAACAGCCCGCTCATGATTAAACTGTGTTATCAAGTGTAATAATTTTATGGTCTCAGCCTGGTCACCATTTATTTACATCGAGATTCAGACTCGCATAGAGACCTTTAAACTTGCACAGAGAAAATAAAGGGAATATACAATGTAAAAGTAATAAACACTTACATTACTAAACTCTTTGGTTCTTTCGGTAAAGTCACGTAGATAGAAAATTAATAGATCATGACGTTTCGATCGCAACAAACACAGCAGGAGAACTGCTGTGTTTGTTTCACCTGATGACGGTTGCTTGTGTTGCGATCAAAACGTCGTGCTCTATTAATTTTCTATCTATGTGACTTTGCCGAAAGAACCAAAGAGCATGGATTCCTGCAGTCATGAAAGCTTCAAATCAAGATCATTGACTAAATTCAAGGAATAGCACGCAGGTCGCTTCTTGTATATTTGTTTGATATTACAGATGCATCGAAAGAGGTGGATTTAAATATCCTAAACAACACCCCTCTTTTGTTTGTCCTTGCAGGCTGTGAAAAACGAGGAGTTCCTGGTGGAGATGAAGGCAAACGAGGCGTCTGTGGTAATCTCACGCCAGACTGAGCCGTTCCTCACCCTCACTGTGACGCTCACCTCACCGCTGGTGCGAGAGGAGATGGAGCAGCAGGAGGAGGGAGGAGACGGAGGTGCGCCTGCACCCAGACGCTCCCTTACCTGGCGCACGCCCATACACATGCCCCTCACTTTAGCTCCTGCCATTGGGCCTTTGCAACCTCGCATTCGGGTCAGAGCTGAGGTTGAATACTTACAGGCAACACTAGGCTCTGCACTTGCATTCTACATCTTGCCGCTGATTGTTGACGTATACACAAGTTACCGTGTATACATAATTACATAATTCAGATATAATTGTTGAGCCCTATTAAATTACACCGCAATATTTGTTTGGATTGTACTGTGTTTTGTTCAGCATGATGTCCCATATTTCACTTGATGTGCTGGGAGCTAATAGAGGAACTGAATTCGGAAGAATTTGGATAATCAGTTCCTAATGGAGCTCCCTGTACATGGCGTAAAATATCACACTTGCCGAACTATATGTGATACAACCATGAAAACCTATGCAGTATTAAAATCAGCCTTCCTATCAAGCATTCAAATTAGAAATACATTGTTTCTTTTCACATTGTTAGCAATGGGTCGTGTCGGTGTCCTTGACGTTTTTTTTGGAAGGGAGCACATCGTGTTTTGTAGGAAATGTTCTCAGACACACGTGGCCAAGGTAAAATAGTTGGAAGGCTTTGCGAGGGTCACTACCAAAATTCATTATTCTGGCCAAATTGTAACACTGTTTGTTGTCTGCACTCTGCCTGGCGAGTCTTAACGGATTGTCTTGATGTGTGCAGTGAAAACAGACCGTGCCCGTTCATAATGCGGTCCCGCCCTGCTGCCAGCTCAGCTCCTCCTGGCATGGACCCCCTCTCTGCCCCACTCCCCATAGTTATCTCACTGCCTCCCCCGCCCCTCACTACACAGTATCAGACTCGTTACTTTGTGGAGCCTGCTTTCACTGCACTCCTCAATTGGGCTGTCGTGACTGGCTAATGCAAGTAATCGATCAACCAAAAAATAAGTTGAGGGTCGTTGAAAGCTACTGCTTAGCTCATGCAGTTTTTCAGCTGCACAACAATTTGCAGTTTCCTAAAGTGTGTCATGCATTAAAGGGTGCTGATATGGCCTCTTGGTAACATACCTATGAAACCATCTTTGCTGGTATCAAAATGATGAAAAAATAAAAGGCGTCACCCTTTACAGCAATAATGGAGGTGAACAGCTGTCCACCTACTCTTTGGGTCAAGTCACGTAAATAGAAAATAATAGGCCACGACGTTTCAGGTGAAGACGATTTGCTTGTGTTGCGATAGAAACGTCGTGACCTATTATTTTTTATTTACGTGACTTGATCGAAACACCCAAAGAGTATGAATTCCTGCAGTCACGAAAGCTTTACATCAAGCTTTACACATATATTATCTTATTGCTTGAATGGTTATAGCAGTAGCATGTTCGCTGCTTTTCGCAGAGATTTACGGTTCAAATTCAGCAGCCGTCCTGATTAATATTAATCCCATGACGTCCTTTGCAAACTTGGGCCATTTTATACTGGTGTCATGCTCCAAATTTGGATAATTACCCACAAATTACATAACTGGAATATACAGAGCAATCATCGCCCCTTTTGTGAAAACTTGGCAGGATTCTCCTCAAAATGATTGATGAAACTTGGTTAGACTTCCTTGGATCAGCAAGTGTTATAACATCAAGTAATGCAATCATACAGCAGCTTACTTTATACATGAAAAGGGAAACGGTTGATGGCTTGCTTTGCTTTAATCAGTTACATTGGCCGAGAATTGCTCAGGCGTTCTTTCTGGTCAGAATCAATGACTAACTTGTTAGTTTGTCTGGTTTTATCGCAGTCTGGATTTTTTTATTTTTGTTTCTCCTGTGACGCCAACGCCTGCCCAAAGCCATCTAGTTTGTCCAGGAGCCCAAGGACCTTTGACCAACCGGACGCTGTCTGTCATGTTGGAGTGGGTGAGGGGGGAAGGAGGAGGAGTGTCTTGATAGGATGTTTGTGGCTTGTGTTTGCGTGTGGCAGGTCATGCAGTCGTTGAGGTCTTTGCTTATAAAGTTGTCAGTTTTTGTACCAGTTGAAAGGGTAAAAACCTACTACTATATTTTGCCACTGGTAAAGAAGGTCTCATAGTGTCTTTGCTTTGTTCAATTTGGCAAGACCACACCCGCACTTGTCTAATGTGAACCTCATTCACGATGTGAGAAGTTGGAAACGGCCCATTAACTCGCCTCGTTGGTTTTGTTGGCGGCTTGGCGATGCTTGTCACTGCTGTCAATTTTAGTAAAAGTTTGTAGGTGGCCAGGTATTGCAGAGGTCAATGCGCTGAGCTGGCACCGCTAAGGGTCTAGGTTTAGATCCATTCTTCTGCCTATGTTTAAATCATGTCCTCAAGTGTTAGTTGATGGTCTTAGGCCAATCACCATTGATTGCACACAAACATATTTTGTAAAATTTGATTCTCCACTCAATTTGACTAAATCCCAGCTGTGGGGATTATAATATTGGTTTCATTGTTGCGATGAAACCTTCGTCTTTTATGCTGACCAAGTGGGAAGTGCTTTCCTGCACTATATGCAGAGGAAAGTGTGTGTCCAGTTGTCATGTTAAACCTGGGCAGGACGATGTCTGGCTGCCTCCACCTGCCTTGCCTGCCACACGGGGAACTCGAGAGATGCCCGCAGTTTATCTCTAATCTTTATTTAAGATTTTTTTTTCATTTGTGTTACCTCTGGTTTTTGCTTCCTTCGCCTCCCCACCCGCGTCTCCGACAAATGACAGATTCTCTCTTGGTCAAACCGTGCCCGTCTTTTACTCCCCGCTCGCCCAATAGAGAAGGTTACCGTAAAGGAAGCTCCGGATGTATTGGACAGGCAGCATTGCCTTAAGGCCCTGGCATCACTGCGCCGCGCCAAGTGGTTCCAGGTTTGCCCACGTTTTACTGCCTTATTGTTATTGTAGCCTTATGAGCTGCATTGTTGTTGAAAAGTAAATCGAATGGTTAATTAACTGCTCACTTGAATTATTGTTTGAAACTTGATGCTTTCTCGTGTTGTTTTTGTACTTGAAGCACCTGCCAGGTTAAACTAAACACGGCTGATCATTTTCATGAGGCTACAAAAGCAATTAGAGGGTTTGTGTTTACCCATAGTCGGCTTGATTGATTGTAAAGACAGGAGAGAAAATCATGCGGTCGTTGCTATTTAGGACCCGTGAAATGTTAACTAGCAAATACTGCAATGCATTGCTAACATTTACACAAGCATCATTGTTGTTGTCAAGTGAAACCAGCCTAATATGTATTCATTGTGATTTCTATTCTTATTTTGTATCATTCCAGGCAAGAGCCAGCCCTCTACGCTCCTGCGTCATCGTTATTCGACTCCTCCGACACTTGAGTTCATTCGACCCGGCATGGGAGCCCCTAAACGGCTGGGTGAGCGGTGGGGGTGTTCAGAAGTTCCACTGGGAGGAGTCGCCCCCAGTGTCCACTCTATACTGTGCAGGGAAAACGCACTTCAGATCAGATTCTGTCCATGCTGCCGCGGTCATGATGGCCTGTGGGCCATCAATGCGGTTCTGAGCTGTGACCTGCCAAAAGTTGTGACTCCCTGTGATATAAAGAGATATAGATGAGTGAGGTGAGAAATATTACTGAGAGAGAGAGATGAAAGACTTGGAGACAATAGATGAAGAATATTGAATTGAAAGTGGGATTAACGAGGTATATTTGAGAGAACTGGAGACAAGAGGTGCAGGTTATAGGACACATGTACAGACGATATTGCATTATTCTGCCACGTGGGCAGCCAGCTCATGGCAAGTTTACGGTAGCAATTTTTTATTCTGGTGGTTTCAACAAGGTTGAGAGCATTGTGCGTGCCATATGGTGGTCATATGACACACATGCAAGGCATGATTTTGGCAATCTTGCCTTGCTGCTTGTGAGCAGCCCATTGTGTATTGTTACGTCTCTTAGAGTCTAGTCTACAAGGATGTTCCTCTTGTGATGCATTTTGTCTATCATTTAAAGGAAGTTTTGCGTTTGAAATTCATGGTTTACAAACGGTTTTAGAGGAAGGATTTTACAATCTTTCCCTCTCCATGGTGGTGGTCGTGCAATTCAGCCGTAGCCTCGGCTCAAGCGGTCTTCTGTGCCTCTGGTGCGCCGCAGGCGTTGGAGCTAATTTGCGAAAAAGCGATGGGAACGTGCAATCGTCCGATGGGAGCCGGCGAGGGCTTGCGACGCGTCATGGAGTGCCTATCTTCTGGCCTCCTCATGCCAGGTAATGTCCTTCCCCCCTCTCGGTCACCATCGGAAGGTTTCTTTCGCTTGGTCCTAATTCCAATGGGCAACATTTTGATATCCACCCCCACCTCTGTCCACCCAATAGTATAAAAGGGTTCCCCACAGTCAATCGGCAGCGTGGAAGAATAGGCCAAATATCCGAGTGGCGGCCACTAGTTGAGGCCTTTCCGGCAGCAATGCCGCGAACAAGCAATTGCTTCCCTTTTATGTGCACATGTAACATTTTGGACTGAAGGAGTGAACGAGAAAGATGGAAATGGGACATTGTGCGGTAGACTATACAATTTGGGCAATACAAACGAGACAAAAAAAATCACTACTAACGATACAAAAATGATAAAGCGTTGAATTGAATCTGCACCTCACATCAGCCACCACAGTGGGCAGCAGTGGTCACCTATTAATGGTGGTGTCTGCTTGGCAGATGGCCCCGGCCTGGGCGACCCCTGCGAGAAGGTCGCCACTGATGTCCTGAGCGACCTCAGCGTACAGCAGCTTGAGCAGCTCACCTTCAGTGCCCAGGTGAGGCGGGTGACCCTCACGACGCCCAACCCGGACCTCACCTGCACTTTGTTAGCACTACCTGTGCTTTGTTGGCCTGGGCGGTTTTAAACGCACGTTGTGCTGTTCTTCGCCTCCCTCCTTGCCTTCTTCCTTAACAGAACTACCTGCGAAACATGGCCTTCGGACATGTGCACAAGGTCTTGGGCATGGAGTCTCTGACGTACGTCAGGCCCCAATATCGCAAGGTGCCAAAGGACGACACCTTGGGTGAGCTGCTCCCCCCTCCCACCCGACCTTGCAACCTCCTCTTGTGGACGCTGCTGCCATGCTGTCTACTGCGGCAAGCCCTCGGTGTCAAACGATAAATTGCATGATTTGAAAACAGGAAACCGAGCTAAATTGAGAGGCTCTATTCGGTTATATGTCACATGGTGACCTTGCGTTGAGCATCATTTTCTATGCTTTTTGGACATTCATTATTTACAAGAGAGCCATGCTCAGATACCTTGTAAAATATGCTTTTGTGATAGACCGTGACGATTCCAGGAGGCCAGTTGACTTGTTGAGTACAAGTATCCTCCTAAGTTTGAAGTTCACTACTGGGCTTGCCGCAGTCCTCTCACCGACTGCGCCAATGTGTCGGCGTCTCGCTGCCGTCAAGTTCGTGCAGGCTGTCGCGGCGCGCCTGCAAACCCAAAACGCTTTGATCCCAGCTCTGCTTTTGACCGCTGCGCACTCAGAAGCCTCGGCCGGAGCGTGATGAGGAGGGGTTTGTTAGTGGACATGAGCGACGGTTGCAGAGTACAGAGAGCGGAAGCGGTCGTCGGTGCATGCGCGGCAGGCCGTCCCTCTCCACCTCTTCCTAATGGGCCTTCAGGGAGCATTGCGAATGTTTTTTAATTGGTGATTACCCAAAAAGAAAATGCAAACAAACGAAAATAAACCCCCCCCACAAAAACTCAATTGCACAGGAATGTTCGGTTTCTAGCATCTCATTTAATAATAAAACCTAAAATCCTACCAACCCGACAATTATTCATTAGCTTAACTAAAATTGTGGCAGATTGCTGGTAACGGGTAGTATGGCGGTGTTGTGTGCGCCAGACCCACAGGCGCACGCGGACTCGCCCTCGTTGGTGCCCCTGAAGCGCCCCTTGGAAGACGGGAATTTGGACGTCGTCCTGGGCAGCAAGAAGCTGCGTGACCGGCGTAAAGGTCTGCCAGACAACGGTTTGTGTGGTTATTCGCCCGGCGCTATAGCGTTTATACAGGGCCCCCTTCCCCCCCATGCCCCACACTGTCCTCCGCCCTGCAACTCCGACGCACCGCATTAACGGTCTGGTACTGCGCCGGTCGATGAAAATGATGGTAGCCTGCGCAGCTATGTTGGGAACACTGGCGTAGTTCGTTGCTGCAGTCTAGATTGAAAATGAAAACTGCATGCGTACAAATCCACCTTGCGTCGGAGGGCGCCGCCGACAGGTCGTCTGACTCGGTGGATTTTAGCCGGCTGCCTCTGCTGAGAAACATTCCTTCGGCAAGTTCTGCTAATGGTGGTGGTGTATTGCGATTCTGGAAGTGGCGATGTGCTAATTTATCGATATGTATAGATTCTTCGACTCGCGATACTTGCTTTGGATCGTGCGTGTGAGGATCGGTTGGTCAATATTGGCATGTTGTATATGGCTGGTTCGCTTAAGAGTGGAGGCGGTGCATTGCATGACATTGTTAAGGTAAAAGAATCTTCACAAATCGAATTGCTATCCCGAAATCAATACAATACAATCAAGTTGCGAGGCTTGGGCTAATCATTACGGGCTTATTTGTGACCTCAGTACCACTCTAAACTGACCAATGTTTACCCAGGTACCCTGTGGTAAATTTGCCTCAGTTTGTGGGAACCTATTTGGCTGGAGTTTAATGTGACCTGGATGGAAATGGACCTTGTGTTAAAGCACTTATGCCTTGCTTCAACGGCGCTTAAAGTAAGGCACGCTCTAACAAAATTGCTGCTTTGTTGTGCATGTAAACAATTGTTGTCATGTCTGCAGCTGACTGCATGCTTGTGTTAAAGATCAGTATTAACGTATTGGGTGTTGTAAAACGATGCAACACAAACGGCTTCTGCTGTGTATGTTTCCAGGTTGTGCAATGTGTGCTCAAAGCGTTTTCTAAAGAAAAAAATTGCTTTAAGAGTTTGGGCCAAGCATGCCATTATGGCACTGCAGTAGCATCAGTGTCACAATTGTACATTCTCATATGAGATCAACCCAGTGTTGTCACGAGAGGGCGAGTAGTCGCACACTTGTCCGTGATTTTAAAGAATGTTTTTTTTTTTCTCATAACGTTTTAAACCTTTCTAGGATAGTCCAGGACAGTCTGGGTACGTGCAATGTTAAAGGATGTTCATGTAACAATTGTTTAAAAGCCACAGTGTCTCAAAGTGACTTTGAGATACATAGACCATACAAAATGCATCGGGGCAAAAAAGTAAAGGATGAGACAGGAAGAAAAAGAAAACAGTTTTTAAAGTATCTCGAGAATCAGAATAATTTCTATATTAGGTTGTTGTCTTCATTTGGAAACTGGCATGGTGTCATGGTTAGTTAGCACACCGGATTTGAAATGCACAGTGCGAAGATTAGATTAGACATCTCGAAGCGGCATTTAAAATACCACTGCAAATTTCTTAAATCCCTCGACCAGTGGTATAAATGGGTTTACCATAGTCAATCAGTAGGTCATGTAAAGTGTGATTACTCCACCTCTTCCAAGACACCTTGCCGGCATGGAAGAGGAGGTGACACATACCCTCTAGAGCAGCGGTCCCCAACCTTTTTGGCACCAGGGACCAGTTTCGTGGAAGACAATTTTTTCACGGACGGGGGGGGGGGATTCATCATTGGGTCTTTCCCCCTTTTCAAAGAAGCTCTCCAGCGACGTTTGTGTTTTACTCATTAGGCTAGGGGTTAGAGCTTGTGGGCTGACTGAGACATGTGCGCAGTGCGGGGAAGAGGCGCGGATGGAAGTGGTGAATAATAAAACAATGGGAGGGCCACGTGCGGACTCGCCGCTCACCTCCTGCTGTGTGGCCCGGTTCCTAACAGGCCACGGCCTGGGGGTTGTGGACCCCTGCTCTAGAGGAGCTTTCTAGAACTTCCTGTCGTAGAGGCTCTTCCACCAGCAGTGACATGAACAAGCAATTGGCAGGCATGCACGTGTTTGTTGCTATTTGCTTTCTTCATTTAAAATGCATCCAATTAAAACTGGAGGATGCCCATGAAAACCGTGCTGCCATATCTACACCCATCGCAGCTGTTGCGACAACACACTTTGGGTTTTCTTTCCCGTTCCTCCTGCCCCCTGCGACGCGCAGACTCGATGCTCAACTCCAACGCCCTGATGCGCCTCAACAAGTACTACCCTGGCCTGCAGTACAAGCTGGTGACGCAGTCGGGCCCCGTGCACGCGCCTACCTTCACCATGAGCACCACGGTAGAGGGCAAGGAGTACACGGCCGACGGGCCCTCCAAGAAGCACGCACGCCTCAACGTGGCCGAGCAGGCAAGCTGTCCTCTGATCACTTTCGTCACTGCCAGGGCCTCTTTATATCTCGGTCGATATTTCTCATTGTTATTGGTTAACGCTAAAGTGTGGGTTAGGGTCTAGTTGCTCGCCAAAACATTATTTTGAGTCCTTCTCGACTTTGAGCAAGGAAAAGTGTTCTTCACTCCTATTCTACAAGATCATTGTTAACTTAACACTTGGGTTTTTGTATCCATCTTGATGATTTTATTCTGACTTTCTGGATCTTATTCGGAAGATGTTAGGCATAGTTTCGTGTAACGTATCCCATTGATAAATTTGCTTATCAGTGTGTTAAACATTTGCATACGTGCAATTTAATTTCTTTGGATATGTCGGTTGGTGAACGAATATTAGAAATTTGGCCAGGTGATCCCGTGACACAACCCAAAACTCAGCATAATTGTTTTTGTGTTTGGGGTTTATATATGTAAATGTAGTTCTAAATATTAATTGTCGTGTGTGTTTCCTCTAATTTGCCTGGTACCGCGCTTTCCCGACGCACAGGTCTTGAAGGACCTGGGTTACGACACACTTGAACTCGACCAGAAGTCTGAGCCTACGGAGCAGAATGCGTCCACACTCGAGGACTCGGGCACTCCGACTGGCGCCTCCGTCAGCACCACCGAGGTCTCGCCCCAGTGCACAGTCTCACCCCGGTGGTCTCCACCGTGGTGTTCAGTGTTCTCCTGTTTACACGACACTCACAGTGGGAGCACACAGACAGACAGATGGCATATACTCCTTTCCTCTGGCATTTGAAAATCAATGTACGAGTTTTTAGCTGTATCTTGAGTTTGTGAAGCCGTTCGATGGCATCTGAGGTTGCCAAGATGGATTCAGTTTTTACTTCCGGCTAAAGCGTGGTGTTGGGCAGTGATAGGTGATGTGAGTGATGTGTATTGTTGATGCAAGGCTCTTTGTGTTGATGAGGCATTTAAGCACCATATGAATGCAGCAAATACAAGTAAAATTGTTGCATACAATATATTATTTTTCAGAGTAGTTAGGCCTGTGTGCTGCACACACCGCTCGTTAACACCTTGCTCCACCCCCACCACCCTTCTTCGCCCACACAGTCGGGCAAGCAGCTCCCTGTCCTCACCCCGAATGGGAAGAACCCCATCATGGAGCTCAACGAGAAAAGGAAGGGCCTCAACTACGTGGTCGTGTCGGAGACCGGCGGCAGCCACGACAAGCAGTTCGTCATCGAGGTCGGTCGGCGCCACTGGTTGCGTGCTCCACGACTTGCTGTGCGTCCCTTACCCTCGTCGTCTTGGACGTGTCCTTGCACAATTGCCGTCAACGATCCACGGCACTTTCTGATGAAGTGTATCCTGTAAAAACTTTGTGATAAAAATATATTTTCCTCATTTCATTAACGCATTTCATCGATCCACTTCAAAGGAAAATAGTGATCGATTCGTCAATCGAGGTGCAACTCCAAAATTTCGACAGTTCCATTAAATCACATGGGGGGGAGTGGGGGGTGCGGCATGGGGTTTGAATCATTACAATTTATGCTCCGGCTCACATGCTTGATTAAAGCGGAACATTATTCAGCTTGTACATAATGATTGGGCAGATCGCCATAACCACACGCCCATCTACCGTTAGCCCTAGCGGTTGTGTGTGTGCAGCTGTACGCGGGTAGAGGTGACCGTTGGCTGGTGAGGGAAGGGATCGTTTGGTTTGTGTGATGGTACATGCAGGTGGAGGTGGACAGCCAGAAGTTCCAGGGGACCGGCTCCAACAAGAAGGTGGCCAAGGCCAACGCCGCACTCGCAGCCATCACGGCCCTCTTCACCGGGCCCAACGCTGCCGGCGCCGTGAGTTGAAGGCACCACCATGCCCCGCCATGATGGGCTATATCCTCGTGTCTTTGTGTCGGCATCGTAACTGAAGGTTAATGAAGACAATAAATGTGTGTTCGATTGAGCGTGCTTCATGCCTGGACTTCTTTAAGGCGATCTACACGAGATAAAAAGTTATTGCATGTTTTATTAAAGAAAGGGATTAACATAGCTTCTAAGTAATGAGATTAAAAAAATAAACTACATTTTTTGCAATGAAAGAGGTTGAGGAGGGAGGGTGAATGGAGGAGAGGGAGGGGTGCAGAAGGGGGGTGATGCCAATGACAGATGCTTTCCGCATGTCGCAATCTACAGCATCTCAAGTAGAGTCCCGTCCAACTCCTCACGTCCCACCAACTGATCTGTCTCCTTCCTCCTCCCCTCTTCTCTTCCACTTTCCTCTTTAGGATCACCATCACATCTCCAGCGGTGACCCTTTCAGGGTAAATAAGTAATTATTGGGTGGCAGGGCGGCGCAGTTGGTAACACGCGTGCCTCGAAGCAAGAAAGGGACCTGTGTTCGATTCCCGACTGGGTGCCTTCATGTATGGAGTGTGTATGTTCTTCCCCCTTTCTGCATGGGTTTCCAAAGGCGTTCTCTGTTCTCCCATAGCAAAAAAATAAAATGCCATTGAATTGGCCAAACATCTAAATGCAAGAGTCTTTGCAATCCGTATGGCTATCCTGGGTAGATAAGCTATTATGATTATTATTAGCATATTCCCACATCAGCCACATTCTTTCTCATCAGACTTCTCTGCAATTCCTGCTTTGAGCCATTCTCAAACACGTTTTCATTGTCTTAGGTTTTTTTCAGTAAAGTCACGTAGGTAAAAAAAAAGAAAAAAATAATAATAAATGAAAATACATCAATTGAATCACGATGTTTCGGAGGCAACACAAGTCTCCGTCTTCAGGTGGGGCCGTCACAGCTACATTTACTGTATCAGAAGACGGAGACTTGTTGCCTGCAAAACGTCGTGATTTAATTGATATATTTTTATTTATTATTTTATTTCTATTATTTTTTACTTACGTGACTTTACCGAAAAAAACCTGAGAGTATGAATCCTTGCAGTCACGAAAGCTTCAAATCTAGAAACATTTTCACGGCTCTTTTCATTCTCGAGAATTACTTGTACTCGCATTTGGCAGAGACAGCTGCATGAATGTTGCAGACGTTTACACATTTCCTACTTGCTAACAAAGCAACTGGAAAATACATTTCTGGCATTTGAATACAGGGGCATGTGAAGGATGCTAGGAATTTTATGGAAGGATGCACAACTTTGAAGTTTGAAGCCGAATGAGGCAGGAATGTATTGATGTCATCAGGAATAAGAGGTTGTGATGGTTGGAACGCATGTGCAAGGTGGAGGAAGATGAGGTAAGCCACTTGGAGGTATAGAATAGGACGCGGCAATAAGCGTTGTAGATGTCGGCATGAAGAGGAGGCTGTGCAGGGTGGAGTGTGGCGGGTCACCGACACGGGCATCGCAGTGGCACCCAGAGCAAGGGGAAGGCCGAGCATTAGATGGCGTGGGCACACTGTAAGATCCGTTCTTGGAGTTCCTGCGTTAACTTTGCAGAAAACTGGGATCTAGCAGAAGGGAGGAGGCGAGGTGTGGTGTGGCATCAATGGCATTTGCCATGATGACCTCTCAACGCCTGTGCCTGTAACATTTTCCTATCGGTGGGTGGATGCTGCCACACTTTACTCAGTGCTCACCTGCTTGCATTTCTGAATTTCAAAGACCAGCTGCCGGACTTGCGAATAGTTTGAAGCTGAAATGTTTTGGTAATATTAAGCTTTAATCTAATAATTGCTGCTCCAGGAGAACAAATGACTGTGCCCGGATAATTGTTGCAATTAGCAGGCTCACACACGATGGCTTTAGGCTGTAATTACTGCCCTTGCCATGACTACATCGAGCCGGAACCTGGCACCAGGGCGAGACAGGTTGTTCTGGGATTAAGCCACCGTTTCAAGGGATTACGTGAAATGCCATCTGTGGGCTCCTGCATTCTTGCTTTCACTCGACGTCGCCGGTGTCTGACTCGGAGATTATGGAATGATTTTAACACGATTGCTGAGCTCAGGCCCGATGGCCTAAAACGTCAAAACGACCACCAATAAAAACATCACTGTCAATGTAATAGATTCGAGTTTTTAATATGTTTCATGGTCATCATCTCCACAACCCGCATGGTGTAGTGAGGCCCTTTTCCAGCAGTGAGTTAACAGAAAGGCGCTGTGCATGTACCATGGAATTATTTCTACAAAACACTCGTCGATTATAAGTAACTTCACAAGTTCAGCACATGCCCCGGAGGTTGATCTTGACCCTTGTGTGTGTGTGGGGAGCGTTAGTGTAGCGGTTAGCGCGCTGCGCTACAAACCTAATGACCCGAGTTCGATTCACACTCACGGCCCATATCAGTGATGATTATCTGAACTGGTCCTGGGCCTCCCCTAGGTCGACTCAACCTCAAATTAGTACCTGGTGCAGTGCGTAGAAACATCGCCACTCGGGAGACAAAGGCCGCTGGGCGTGGTGCTGGCCATCCACCCTTTCGTGTGGCGTTCTAGCCTTTTTTGGTGCTCGCTAACAGCACTTGCCCCAACAGTCTGTTTAGGCTATAAGGGGGATCTTTGTCTTGTGTGTGTGCAGGGGCGGTCTCGCGGTCGTGGCCGAGGTCGTGGTCGAGGATTCTTCAGAGGAGCGATGTTTGGACGTGGAGGCATGGGCCCTGCCGGTCTAGGTAAGGCCCTCGGGCTCCCTGACATGAGCCGCATTACCTCTTTGTCACACTTGTAGAACACAACACAATGCAACAAACAAACAGCAAAAAACGGCTCTTATTTTGAAACGCAATTCATTTTTGCGTAAAGCCATGTAATGATGTATCCAGAAATCTGGTAATATTGCGTGGCCTAACCCGAACTCCAACGTGTTAAGGCTCTTTATTTTGTAGCTGCACGCCGAGATGTGTGTATCATTGTGTGTCAGACTTGAGTTGGAAGCTTTGTCAGTCTGAGAAACATAGTTTCAAGTGACTTAGGAGTGCAACCCCAGTGCGCTGGGGTTACAGCATTAGGCTATGAACCTCTTTTATATTCCAACTACATTACGGCTCGCAGTGGGTTCTGAGAACCAGCACTGCAGTTACATCACAATGGGAATTGGCATTGTTAAGTCAAGGGTAGTCGCCAAGTGCCGGGGAATTTAAAAACAGCGATGTCCCTCTTGGATGGAGAGGAAGTTAAGACAGCGTTTCTAAGTGGTGCATTCATAGGTTTCTCATTGACAGCAAATGTAACCTGCCACTTTGCGATGGATTAATATTGGCTAACACTGATACACATTTTGCTTTACATGGGCCGTATTCTTAGTCATGGCTCAGCATGCATGAACGCCTCAGGCTAGGTTGGCCTCAGGCTCAGCTTATGTAAATGCTAGGCATTTACCTTTACCGTTCTAAGTTATTTTTTATTATCGACATAAGAAACGCAAGAGAGCATTCCCTCCTCTCACCCGTTGGAAGCCACGGTGGCTAGTAGATGTTAAATACTTCGCCTGGAATGCAGGAGGTCGTGGACTCGATCCCGACCCTGACACCTGTATATTTGGAGTTTGCGTGTCTCTCCCCGTGGTTGCGTGGATTCTCCGGGTCCTCCGGTTTTCCCCTCCACATTTAGAAACATGCGTTTAGAGTATTTGGCTGCTATAGATTTCTACATCCTAAGCCCCTTCGAAGGGCTATCATTTGTGGCCAGGTCGCTTCTCCAAAAGAGCTAAATAGCTCAGTGGGCCTTACCTGGTAAAATAAAAATCGCCTTTAAGTTGAAGTCTATGATAGTTTTACCTCGGCCACATCGTAATGTGTGTCATTGTAGATGGAGATGCTGATTGTTTAAATTACTTTTTTCAAAACTACAAATATGTTCTTAACGTTGCGTAACAAACGAAATCCCGTGAGTAAGTTAACTCGTGGAACGTGTAATCTTAATCTGTTTGAGCTTTGCACATTGGCACATATGTGCGATCGTGCAATATGTACAGGTTACATTCGCAATAGACTTTTTAGCACTCACCAGTTTGAGTTACAACATTCAATGAGATGCCTAAGTCGAGATCAGTAGAAATCAGTGGGTTTTCTATATGTCACCCTGTAATTTCCATCCAAACCATTTAACAGATGCTGAGTGGGACGCTAAATAGCAGTGGTATCGCGTGAGAGATGACAGCAGCTTTGGGGAGGCCTTCCATCGAGTAGTGGATCGACCCTGGCTCTTGATGATCATCATGATGATCGATAATATAAATAAATGGTGTTCGATACACATACAGTGCGTTGTGTGTCGTCTGACGAGACCTCTAACCCCCTGACTGTGGCTCTCGGTGCGTGCAGCGGGCGCGTACAGTCAGTCCTACGCCTTCGGATCCATGGAGAAGCCCTCATACGGTGAGCACCGGTTCGCGATGAGAGGGCACCACGGGTACAACTGGGCAGCTCCTCGTCACATGGACAACAGGCGCTACTGCCCTGTGTGACCGCAGACGGCGGCGGAGCGAAGAAGCCTTCGTAATGCCCATCTTTCCCTCCCGCAAGCATGCGCGTACCGGAAGAGAGATGTAGTTTTTTTATTATTATAATGATTGTTATTATTATACTGTCGTTTAGAGTTGTAGCGTTATGGAACGGTTTTGAAACATTAAACTACTTGATTGTGAACGCCTCACAATTTTCACAGCTGGTAAAACTGGTGGGGCGGGGGCGGGCGGGTGAAGAGAAACAGTCACATCTTCGGAAAGTTAAAAGAGTCCATTGAAAGAAATTATTTAATGTACTCGAGTACAAACCCCTCAATTTCACATTAATTTCTGAATGCCCTTGCATAGTCTGGCATCTCTGCCAGTCACACATTTGGTGGGAGGGAGAAAAAAAACCCACATGCATTTTAGAAAAGTATGTTGCAGTGTGTCCAGACCTGCCTTGGGGCTCCAAAATTAATGCATCTTCTCTGTCGTAAGCGCCACATGGAGCCTCCCTTAATCCTGGCCCTTCCTCCGTGTGTCAACGCTGCTTGGGCGTATGCGCGGGCCGTAAGCGATGGGAGTCCAGGGCTTATGAGTCTCAGCCGACGCCCAGATTAAGGCTGCCCTCCTGTTGGCTAACTCCGCATGCCACCCCCATCCTGCTGTTGAAGTAATCTCAAATCTCCCGCTGCTGGTGCTGGGGACATTAGCAACGACGGCGGCGGTTGTTGGGTCGTAGTTCGGTTGTTGAGACCTTAGTCTTGTATTTCTTTTTACGCCGCGTTATTTTTACCGCTGGCTTTGCCCAGTAGCTGAGAGTAGCCAATTGCTGGTGACGGCAACGCGAGGGTTTAAGGGTGGGTGGCGACGGCGGCAGCGGGACGGGGATGTGGGCGTTGGGGGTACCGGGGGGGGGGTTGGGGTATTGAGTCGACGTTGTTCTCGCAGCTTCGGGTGTTTAGCTGTTGTGAGACTGTTGTGCTGTTGCTGGAGCAACGTGTAATTGCCTCGCACAGGTGTTGCACGTGCTGTGCACATGAGCAAATAAACTTGCGTGCATCTGTGACTGAACCACGCAAGCCATGTGGATACATTATTTTTGAGTCGAAAATGTCTTGCGCCTGTATTCGTCGCCGTTCGCCTCGGGCTGGCTCCAACGGCTCAACTGGGGCTTGAGCCGCTCTGTTACTTTGTATGTACAGTGTGTTGTACTTATTTCCCACCGTCTGCAGCCAACCGTGCTAATCGGAGGTGCGGGGGAAGGACGACAAGCTAAACGCAAAAAGCAGTTGTAAAGAAATGAATTTTCAATCTCGATTTGAAAGTGCATAGCTCTGGTGGCTTCATAATATTGAAAGGACGAGCGTTCCAGATTACCACAGAAGCGAATCCGAAATCGCACCGTGCAGTGACCGTCTTTGTTCGATGGCTAGCCAAAGCCGCTGCTGCGAGTTCACGTGATCGGTTTTTGTTCCTTGACTTTCAAAATACTTTTGTGAGTTGCTCGGCCATGGATGGCTTGGCTCAGGTTCAGCTCACCGAGATTCAAAGGATGGCTCGTGAGCCGGCTCAAGTTAATGGTGGCTCTGAGTCGACTCAAGTTAATGGTGACTGACCCGGCTCAAGTGAATGATGGCTCTGAGCCGGCTCGCTTGAGTCGGTAGCCTTTCACGAGGTGGGGGTGGGGGGTCCCTACTTATGTTTGGCCAATTCTTTTTGTCAGAAGTGCTTTTTTTAATATGCAGAAGCTTGACTTGGCCTGGAAGTTTCTTGTGGTGATCTCGCGGCGTGATTACCCCGGCGTGTGCGCTCAATGTTTGCCGCACGTCTTGTCGCATAGCCGTGCTGGCGGCTCACTTTGGAGGCGAGGTGATTGTGTTTAGTCGGTGGAGTCCTCTCCCTGCTATGGAAGCGCTCTTACGTTTAACTCGTTGATGCTCAACTCGTTCGTGTCCTGACTATAACTGACTGGGCCATAATTTCCTGCGTTTTAAATTTGTTCCCTTGTGAGTTATTGGAAGTGTTCTTGGTGGTGTGCGGTGACTTGTCTGAAGCTATTGAGAATGGGAGACTTGGGTCGGGCAGATAAGGAGTTGTTTTTGCGTGGCTAATTTCAAGAATTTGAGCGTAACGTCTGTGCGCAGCATCCGGCTGACGGCGTGCTGTAGTAATGTGAAATTCAATGTAATATTTACACCTTGCGGATAAATATTTTGGATCTGTCTTTCGGCCCATCTTGCGTGAGATTTAACCACCGGTGTCGTCTTTAAAACCATTCTTCTTGCATCTTAATTTGTCTCTTTAACACACTGCTGTAATATCTGACTGAGCTCGTTAAAGTTAGAGTTTTGCCAGGTTGTTAAAATATTCTCCTCTTGTACCTGATGAGTACCGCTAGGATTTTGTAGTGACGGATGTACGTCGTTGGCTGGCCGTTTCGAGGGGTTAAGACCACGTGTGGCCACGGGCCGTGCGAAATGAAGTCGCGGGCCACGCTCGCTGTCGATTCCCCAGCAATCGTGCCACAAGATTAGAACCGTTAGTTTTTATCAGTTGCGTCCTTTAAATTCCTTTAAAAACATAGTAATTCCCGTAGCGTAAGCCTAGCGTCAAGCTGGCTGGCAGCATGGGGGTATAGACCCGGCACTAATGTGCGTCTTGTATATGCTCTGTCTCCCCGGCACAGATTTTGCGTCGGAGGCCAGCTTCGAGAGCACGGGGGAGACTGTGGTGCAACTGGGTGTGAGCGTTCCTCGCTCGGGGCCGGGGGGCGGCGGCGGCGGCGGCGGCAAGCCACACGGCCCGCCGTACGGGAGTTACTACTAAAGCGGCCGGCGGCCCTCCGTCGGCATCCTAAACCCACGATAACGTGCGCTACCCGCCTAACGCTCGCCCTGGCGCCGCCTGCCGCCCGTGCGCGCGTCCCCCCCCCACCTCCGGTGATCGCCGCAGCGGCGCTTTTGTGCCGAGCGTAGGTGTGAGGGGTTAGGAGGAGGATGAGTTGCAGGCAGGGGGAGGTGGTGGCAGCTGTGATGGTTGTTGTTGTGGTAGTGGTGGTGGTGGTGATGGCTTGGCCATTCCTTGCTTAGGGAAAATTGGTTTTTTGAGAAGGTCATTTGTGAATGCGGTAGTTCAGCTGTGCTGCAAGTTACTGTGCGTCTGTGTGCGTGTGTTCCTTGCCTGTGTGTGTGTGTGCGTGCGTGCACGCGTGCTCTGTCTTGCACTGGTCTTTTGTAAGATGTTTGGCAGCTGGCATGTCCCGTACGCTGCTAGATCTACGCAACGTAACGCACCAACCTTGCACCACCTCCTCTTCCTCCCCACCCTGCAGTAGCCGGGTTTGCCCCGCCCTCGGCGTTAGGCATGTGACCATTAACGAATCGTCAATTAAAATCTCAACGCTCGTAGATTACGCGCGTGTACGTAATAGGTTCTTACAAATAATGTGGCCATTGACGATGACGATACATTATCCCCTAAGTAGCACAGTGGAATGGGTTGAAGTAGCGACTTCAAACTTTTTATGACAAATCGGATCATGTGGTGTGCGGGGGAGTGAAGCATCGCGTGGCCTACGAGGCAGGCGTGCCTCGCGTTTTTACTCGCGCTGCACCGACGGACGCTGCTGCCACTGGCCACATTGCGACCGATGGGCCAAGTCCTCGGTGGCATTCCCGTGCACGACCACCCGTCGTGGTGGAAGGGGGGGGCAGCAGTAGGAATGTGGGTGCGAGACCTCGCGATCACCCCTCCCCCCCCATGCATGTCCTATCGACCGTCCAGCTCTCCGCACGGTTTTATCCAAACCGGTGTCATTATTCTCTTCGTTTAACGTAGGCGACATAGTCGAAAGGTTGCTGTTTTAAGACCATTGCTATCATCCGACCTGCTAGTGGCATGATAATTGGGGTGCCTTTTGGAATACTTTTTATTTTATTTTACGCATGGTCTTGCAGACCCTCGTCTCGTCGTGGGGACAGTTGTGTTTGCAAGAGCGCAGTACCATGTCTCAACGCTTTTGTGACGTTCTTCGCAAGGAGAGGTTGCAACTCCGTCAAGGATATGAAGGATGAAAGGATGCTTTCCTTCCCGACACTTTTTTCGGCAAACTCAGACGTTCTCTTATATTCGTATAAGTTACAGTTGTATTGTTTGCCGTTTTTAATATTTTCATTTGACGTACTCCCTGATTTTCGGTGTGCGCGTTTTTTTGTACGACTTACCAAGTGGATTTTGCGTTGAGGAAGGGGACCCACTGTCCGCTCGGGGTCCTGACGTCCGCCGGTGGCTCACGGCTCCCGTTTGAGGAGGATACGAAGTCCGTTTCTGTTTTTTTTTTCCCTCGGGGGACAAGTGCCAGGTAGATGACAGGAAGATGCAGTCTAAGAGGAATAAAGGATTCTTGTTACTGACCTGGGCTTTGCGTCCTTGGCTGCCCTTCATTGTTTCGTAGCTTTGCTAACGAGGTGAAAGGAAAGGCTCTCAACGGACTTTGATGCGCGCTCTGGCTTACCCCTTAACATATATTTCATAGCACCGTGCGGCGTGCTTTCGGATTGTGCCGTGTGATGTTCGCCTCTGTGCAATGTTGTGCTCCACGCGCCACAAGCCCTCCCAGCACGTTGACCGAAACGTCAGACGTCATGCCGAACGGCACGCGGCACAACCCGAAAACGCGACGGGAGACCTGTACAAGCGTCACAACCTACCCAGTCGTGTGTTTTTTTTATCATTAATAAAACTGCTCAACAAACCAGGGACACAGTCAAGCAAAGTATCGGCAAAGTAAGAGCTATTAGTTCCTTCGCTGCATTTTTATTTATTTGTGGATTATAATGCTAAGACCACAAACGAATGCACCAGTGCTGGGCTCTCTAAAGAATATGTCTGTTGGGAAGCTGGCTGGGCTTCATGTGCCTGTCTGGTGGCGAAAGTGCCAATGATGAAGCCACTGCCAGCACATTGCAGTTCCCCAGTGGGCCTCTGAGTCTGGGCCTCTTGAGTGAGTCTGTGGGTCTCTGTGGGACTCTAAAGGTCTCTCTGTGAGTCTGGGCCTCTTGAGTGAGTCTGTGGGTCTCTGTGGGACTCTAAAGGTCTCTCTGTGAGCCTGGGCCTCTTGAGTGAGTCTGTGGGTCTCTGTGTGACTCTAAAGGTCTCTTTGTGAGTCTGGGCCTCTTGAGCGAGTCTGTGGGTCTCTGTGGGACTCTAAAGGTCTCTCTGTGAGTGCGAGGGTGCTGATGACGAAGCCGCCTGCCTTCACATTCCCCTGGTCTCGCCGTCGCGCACGCGTCGTCTTGAGACCGGAATACCCTTGATCCGACGTTGTTGCCTCCGCAAGCTGGATTGGGGAGCCACCGCCTGGTACTGGCTGTGCGAATGAGCAGCAGATCCTTGGCCATTGTGACGCGTTCCATTACGATGTGTATCGGCGTTTGGAAAACCGTAATCAATGTGAAAGGTGTCTTCGCAAAGTGGCAGGGTGAATGTGTGTAAGGAAAAGCGGCTGCTGTCAAGGACAATATAAAACGCACCTCTTAACGAGCATTGTCTTACAAAATGTAATAATTTACAGTATGGAGGCCTGTCCATGCAGAGTGAGTCGTTGGATTTGATTTAACCACACTTCAATATGCTGGTCAGTATGGGTTTATGGAAGGGTGGCAGTGGCCCAGGACCGGTTCGATATCAGCCACTGATGTTAGACGTGGCCAGGAATCGAGCGGGTTCGTTGTGCAGTATGCCAACCACAGCGCTGCCTTGGAACAGAAAAGTATATCAACGTCGACAGTGGCCTCCTTTCAGATCAGATAACTTCTTAAGGCCTGGATAATGATTGCATACGTGAGTACGTGTACAGGCAAACTTTTTCAAATCACTGCTGGATGAAAGCTTCTCCATGCAGTGCAGGTCGTGGGGATTGTTTGACCATACTTGCGCCTTATGGTCAGTGTGGTTTTTAAATGAAGGGAGGAGCATAGACTGAGTATGTACAACCGGATTTTTCTGCACGGCCCTCCGTTGGCAGCGCAGTCCCACGTCCCCTTCATCGCCAGCAGGCTGGCATTCGGGTCATCGGGTCACCTGGCGCCAACGCAAGAGGTCGACTGAAATCCAATCTCGCCGCAATAAGTCGTTAACACTGACTGAAGTAAGAACACATCTTAATTCGCTTTTTTAAGAAGTTATCTTTGGGTCCAAGGGAGAAAACATTTCCGGTAAGACATGGTGGAGATGTTGATATTAATGCAGTGTTTGTTGATTTTTTTGTTTAAATGACCAACCACAAATCATCGGGGAAAGTGCCGCGGAGTCTTGGTGTGCCCTGCAGTGCGCAACGACGTCGGCCCACCGGTTTTGTGTCCCCCCACAATCGCTGTCGAGTCGTGAACCCTTCGCCGCGAGCAGTGGGATCGCGCTGCCTTAGAGAATGGCCGTGGAAGGCCACGGCACGGGTCCGCCGGCCGAAGGCTGCGAGTGCAACTCTCCCTCCGTCGACGATGGAGATCGAGTGGAACCGGCGACCTCTGCTCTGCAAGCTCGGCGCGCAAATCCGTTGCTTCCACTGGCAGCCGTCGCCTGCTTCGAGGGCCACTTCCCAACAAAGTGAAGAGGTTGTGGTGGTGCTGTGAAGCGTTGGAGTCTGTGTGCGGGCCCTCGTCACGTGTGTGTCGCCTGCCCCCTGGTGGATGTGACGTCTCCACGTCTCCCTGCCCCCTCTCTCAAGTTTAAACTAAACTTGTTTTAATTTTACCAGGTAAGGCCCATTGAGCTATATAGCTCTTTTTTTTTTCGAGAAGCGACCTGGTCACAAATGATCGCTCAACGAAGTGGCTTATCACGTGGAAATGTATAGCAGCCAAATACTTTAATAAACGCATGTTGATTGTAATCTGACGCCGCCACTGTTTGAGACGGGTGTAAGTACAGCCTGACGTGTCAATGGAGTTTGATATATCGAGTCGGAAAAGCACCTGTAAGTTTTGCCGTTTTATGTTTATTGGTTGTAAATTAACATTGTGAAAAATAGACCTCCGTTCTGTTTTAATACATTATTCTATGTACAAATAAGGAGCTGTAATATGACGAACAAGAAAACGATAATTTTACAACGTGGATGTGGCTATTCAAGTTCATTCATTAAAGGGTGGTTTAGCAGACCGGGTTAGAGTCAACGAGCCATTCAAATCCTGTCTCTCCCCATTCCAAACCACACTGGCCAACCAGACGCTACCCCGCTCGCCGTCCAGACACTCTACATTACCACACTGGCCATCCAGACACGAGCTATGACCGCACTAGCCCTGACCGTTACCACACAAGCCAACCTCGGTCCGTCTTTTACTCCCCCAAACGCACGCAGACAAGCGGGACCCCCCACGCTCTCGGCGCAGCAGCTCCACGCGTGGCCCGCCACGCCGAGCGGGTCAATGCCGGGCCCTGCCGTCGAGTGGGACCCGCGGTGCGGGAGGAGGAGGAGGGCGAGGAGGTGGGTCGCTTGAACTCGCCGGTGGTTGCCAGCCCTCCAGATTTGAGCTTTAATCAAACAAAAGAAAGTCCACCCTCGACACGTTCGTCAGTAACCACTGCGCGGCCTTGGAACAAAACGAATTATAGGCGACGTTTCGGGCAATGGCGCTTCTTCATAGCACGTGCATCATAGCCCATTACGTGCTATGAAGAGGGACCATTTCCTGACACGTGGCCTACTATACTGTATATGTATATTGTTTTTGTTATATCAGTATTATGCATATGGTATATGTCGGGGTGTGATTGTTTTGCTTGTACACCGCTGCCATCGCAGCAGCAGCAGCACCGCTAAATAATCTGTTGTAAGCTTTAATCGATCTCTCCTCTCTTTTGATCAGCGAATGGACGTCATCAAGGCACCCGTTTGTACATCTCCTCTTAACCTCTGTCCATCTTCCTCGCAGCGTCGTAGAGCAACGGCCCCGAGGTACAAAAAATAAAAGTGCTTCGTTTTATTAGAAAGGCGAGAGCGAGCACCGCCGCTCCCTCCAACCGCGTGAGGCGGCTCCCCTCTCAGCCGCGGGTCCCAACAACGTCAAGGACAACAACAACAACAAACAACGACAACAACAACAACAGGCCTCGCCACTGCACTGTCGGGCAGTGGCGAGGCCTGGCTGCCGTGGGCCCCTCTCCCAATTCCTCCACTGCCATCCCCACCACCCCCACCAACTCCCCCCCCCCCCTTTGTAACCCGACGCCGAGGGGCCCCTGGTGCAGTTGCACCGCCTGCACACGGGCGTCACGGCGGCTAGGAGATGTTAACTCCCTCGCCTGGTGTGCACTCACCCCACCACGCTCTACCCCACCCACGCTCTACCCCACCCACACTCCTCTACCCCACCACACTCTACCCCACCACACTTTACCGCGCCACGCAACCTGCCGCTCTACTGACTGGCGTGCCGACGCGCACATCGCTGGGCTGGGTGCGCCGAGAAGGAATCGAACCGGTGACCTCTGGGTTGCGAGTCCAGTGTGGGGACCATTGCACCAGCGATGTGGCAGCCTTCGCCCCCTTGAGAGGGCCACTTTACGACAACGTTAGAGATTGTTTAGACAATAGTATATATAATAGTATATAGATAATGTTCTGTATATACATAACGTGGAAGCGGTCTTGGAGTCAATTTCAGCAGTGAAATAATTTTGTCAAGAAATAAGCTCGCCACAAAGTAATATATTACAACTTAAGGCAGTGTTAACGTTAAAGGTGAGTACAATATATCTGCATTTCCGCCCCCCCTTTCATGAAGTGGAACTTGGTGAAGCTGGCTGGGTGGTTCAGAGGTCAGAGCGCTGCCACCGCTGGGCTCAAGCCCTGGGTTGGCGCGTCCCTCTCGAAGTGGGTTCACAATGGCCGGGCCAGAGCCCCCAGAGACGCCGCCGCCGCCGAGAGCCTGGATTCGAATGGAGACTTGGGCCTCGCGTGAGTAATACTGGGGGGTCAACAAGTCTAGCGAGGTGACAGGCTCAGCCTGGTCACAAATGATTGAGCAGTAACAAGCCGACGGTGTTAATTTGGTCATTCGCTTGAGTCAGGTTCTGATCCAGAGGTCTGAATGAAACGCAAACGTTTGGTTGGGATGTGGATGGCACGCGCCCTGGCAGGGCGTGCGAGGCAGCGCATCGCCACCCGGTGCGGTCGAGAGGCGAATGAAGACATCTCAGAAGTAGTTCTGTGATATCCGCTTCGAGGTCGTTACCGGGACACAGGAAGGCGCACTGCCTTCGAGTACATTTGTTCGTATCTTGACGGTGATATAAAAATAGCATCTCACTGAGAGAAAAACAAAACGTGGTATGGTGAGCGCCCGGACTATAACAGACCAGGTATTCTGGGAAATTATTTGCCTGGTGGAAAATTTGGAGTTGCCCAACATGTCTGCCCAGCCATCGAGAGTTGCCCAGTCAACGAGAGTTTTACAGTTTTCTGAGTCTGGTCGGGCACCTTGCATGGCCCAGTCAACTCGAGTTGATAAATCGTCCAAAGAGTTGCTTCGTTATTCTCTGGGGTTGCTCAGTTGCCTGTAACTGTCCAGTCACTTGTAGATTCCCCATCATCTGAAGCTGCCTAGTCACCATCTGGAGTTGCCTAGTCCTTGAAAGCTGGCAAGTTGCCTAGAATTTCCCAATCATGTGGCATTGATAATGATTTCCTTGCGATTTTAAGTTGCCCTTCATCAGGATGTATTTGCACAACCTGGGGGAAAACAATCGCCCAGTTATCCAAAGCTGCTCAATCATCTGCAATCTGTGATTGCCAGTTCGAGGCGTCATGGTTCGTGACCAGGGCTTAATTTCTCACGGACTATTGTCCAGATTGCTGGGAGACCCGGAATACGCGCGTGGCAAGCAGCCGCAGCCGTAGCGAGATGTCTACCCGATGTGGTGTGCTGGGTACTGAACTGTATTTGTTGTGCCACTGACTGGTTCGACATGAAGCCATAAGTGTCCACCGAGAGAGTGGAAGAGGCTCAGTAAGGAAGTGTCCTCCTCCTGCTCCTCCTCCACCTCTGCTTGTACGTACGTATGGTGAACTTATTTCGCACCGTACGCAGCCAACCGTGTTAGACGGTGGTGCGGTGGAAGGACAACAAACTAAACAGCAAGCAGTTTAAAGAAGTGCGTGTTCAAGCTGGAGTAGGAGGGGGCTCAGTAAGGAAGTGTACTCCTCCTGCTACGACTCCTCCTCTTCTTGAGGGAAGAGGAGACCAAGTGTGCAGAGTGTCCACCCCTCCACCTCCTCCAGCCCCCCCTCGACCCGCTCGGCTCTAGGCTGGGGCTCAGAGATGGAACAGCGAGGTCGGGGTGATCGTGGTGAGCGACGGGGACGGCTGCGTGCGGTTGGGCGCCCAATCGGGGTAGTTGAGGACGTCGAAAAGGGGGACACCCCACGTGTTCATGGCCATCGCCACGAGACCGACGCCAAGGAAGCTGAGCACCACGCCAGACTTGACCTGCGTGGACGAGAAGCACGTGGGCTCAGCGTGGTTGGGGGTGATGACGACGAGCAGGTGGTTCAGCACCATGTAACACTTGAGCTACGTAGAGGTGCACATGGGATTGAGGTGATGGTGGTGATGGTGATGTTGCATCGGATGATGATGATTTATGGTGGTGGTGATAACCACGACTAGAGATCTCAGCACGACGCCACACTTCACCTAGGCGAAGGAAAAGCACTTGGGTATGGGATGATGACGATGATGTTAATGATGTAGAGGATGATACTGATGGTGGTGGTGCAGAGAATCAAAAAGATCCAGATGACGATGGCACACAGCACGATGGTGATGACGAGTCGTGTTGATGATCTACATCATAGAGATGATGATGATGGGAATGCCATAGCGACGGTGAGGATGCTCGGCTCCGCGCACCCACCATGTCCATGACCTTGATGCGTCCGTACGAGAAGACGATGGCGTTGGGAGGGGTGGCGACGGGCAGCACGAAGGCGAAGGTGGCGCACATGGTGGCGGGGAGCATCAGGTAAATGGGGTTCACGGAGATCGCCTCCGCCTGCGGTGAGAAACGAAGCCCGGGGTTCAACGTGAATCACCTCGTTATAGCGAACCGTGCTAGCACGACCCCCCCCCCCTCGTTATAGCGAACCGTGCTAGCACGACCCCCCCCTCGTTATAGCGAACCGTGCTAGCACGACCCCCCCCTCGTTATAGTGAACCGTGCTAGCACGACCCCCCCCCCCCCTCGTTATAGCGAACCGTGCTAGCACGACCCCCCCCCCTCGTTATAGTGAACCGTGCTAGCACGACCCCCCCCTCGTTATAGCGAACTGTGCTAGCACGACCCCCCCCCCTCGTTATAGTGAACCGTGCTAGCACGACCCCCCCCTCGTTATAGCAAACCGTGCTAGCACGACCCCCCCCCTCGTTATAGCGAACCGTGCTAGCACGACCCCCCCCCTCGTTATAGCAAACCGTGCTAGCACGACCCCCCCCCCTCGTTATAGCGAACCGTGCTAGCACGACCCCCCCCTCGTTATAGCAAACCGTGCTAGCACGACCCCCCCCCCTCGTTATAGCGAACCGTGCTAGCACGACCCCCCCCCCTCGTTATAGCGAACCGTGCTAGCACGACCCCCCCCCCTCGTTATAGCAAACCGTGCTAGCACGACCCCCCCCCCTCGTTATAGCGAACCGTGCTAGCACGACCCCCCCCCTCGTTATAGCAAACCGTGCTAGCACGACCCCCCCCTCGTTATAGCGAACCGTGCTAGCACGACCCCCCCCCTAGTTATAGCGAACCGTGCTAGCACGACCCCCCCCTCGTTATAGCGAACCGTGCTGGGAATGAGCCCCCTCAATTCCTTAATACGAGGCACGTACGTTGAACTTCTTTCGCACCGTACGTAGCCAACCGTGCTAATTGGAGGTCATACCTCTACCTAACGGATACAGCGAATGTAAGTGATATGCGTTAAGTTATTTTGCGTCGAACTATCAGACCCACGTCTTCGCGGGAGACTCCTTGCCTCTGACACCTTGCCAGTTTCACCAGCATTGATCCAAGCGAGCCTGGCCGTGCTGATGAGACAATGCACGTCGAAACCCGTCCGCAGTCTTGCTCGCACTGAATCAGCGCTGCTGGATTGATGCACTCCCAGAAGGCCGTGCGGCCGATGGATCGCGTATTTAAAATCTACTTCTATATTTTTTTTACGCAGCGACATGGAGGTTTAAAGCATTACGTATCATCTGCGCATCTAATTGATCATTGATATCTCTCCACAACAACGGCTGCTCGTGCTGATATTGCATTTAATAACGGATGTGTGTACCTCCATTGAACTGTAGTGGTAGTGCCTTATGCCGATATGCCCCCTACTACTCCGAGCCAGCTCCAGCGGCGTTGCGAGGATTCCCACGTGACCCCCCCCCCCTCCCCCCCACTGTGCCCCCCTCCCCCGTCTCACCAGGGAGGAGAGGATGGGCAGGAAGAGCGTGACCGTGGCCAGGTTGCTGGCGCACTGCGTGAAGGCGCAGATCAACATGGAGCAGATGATGGAGATGGCCCAGCCGGGTAGCACCTTGAGCGGCTCCAGCTGGGCCGCCATCCACGTGGACAGCCCAGACACCTGCGGCACAGGGGGGGGGTCGTGCAGGGTGCCATGGCAGGGCGTCCCTTGTCTCGTGTCCCGTGCAGGGTGTCCCATACCCAGTGTCTCATTCCCTGGGCAGGGTTCTCCATGCGCTGTGCCCGGTGCAGGGTGTCCCGTGTGCTGTGCCCGGTGCAGGGTGTCCCGTGCGCGTGCATGGTGCAGGGTGTCCCACGCCCCGTGTCCCGTGCAGGGTGTCCCATACCCAGTGTCTCATTTCCTGGGCAGGGTGCTCCGTGCGCTGTGCCCGGTGCAGGGTGTTCCGTGCGCGTGCATGGTGCAGGGTGTCCCACGCCCCGTGTCCCGTGCAGGGCGCTTACCTCGGCCCCCTCTGCGAGGGCGAAGCCCCCCCCGATGAGAAAGCAGACCCCCCACGACATTCCGCGGTTGAACGTCTTCCAGTCCATGAGCGTGGCGGGGTGAATCACGGGGGGCTTGTCTGGATCAATCGGGGGGCCTGCGGGGGGCGGCACGGGAGAGGTCAGAGGGTGGGGTGGGGGGGGTACAAGGGGCAATCTGTCCCAGGCCTCACACAGAAGGGGGCCTCACGACGGGGCCAGCTCCATCGTGCTTCTGACTCACGGGGCCCGCAGGTGGCATCCTGCCCCGGGCTTCCAAGAAGCTCTGGGTGGCCCTGGTGATTGTGTCGATGATGATGATCATGATGATGATGATGATCGTGATGATTATTTCAGATATAGATGGTGCTATTACCGATGATGGTGGTGGTAATAGTGAGATAATGATGATAGAAAAAAATATAATGATGGTGCTACTTGTGATTGTAGATGACGATGCTGCTGATAATATCAGGTGACGGTGATGACGATAGTGTTCACGGTGCTGCTGTTTCTGCCGCTGTTGATGAGGCCACCGCCGCCGCTCTCACCGGGGAAGTAGTGCTGGATGCAGGAGGGGGTGTGGGACGGCCACACGAAGAGCAGGAAGCCCACGGTCACGGCCACCGTGGTGTCCGACACGAACGACTTGCTGCGGAGAGAGCGCGGGGCACACGGAGTGACGCCGGCCGCTCGGCGCGGGGTGCAGGCTACTGCTGGCTACTGCAGGGTGAAGCAGTGTGATAGCTACTGCAGGCTTCTGGGTATGACAGGGTATTACAGGATGCGGAGTGCAAGGTGCTGCAGAGTGCTGCAGTGTGATAGGTACTGCAGGCTTCTGGGTATGACAGGGTATTACAGGATGCTGCAAGTGTATTGGAGCATAATGGGCATTGCAGGGCGCTGCATCCCAATGATGCGTTGTAAATGTTAGTGGGTGCTCTGCATGATTGTGGGTGCTGCTGCTGCTGCTGGGCGTGCGTGCGTGCGGGCCTCACTAGTGCCCGAAGATGGTGGCCCAGCCGGGCATGAATCCGGGGTCCTTGGTGAGCCACAGCAGAGCCATGAGCACGAAGACGAAGAGGACGCATGCCTCGGGGTAGCTGCGCCAGGGTTCGCGCCGGGGTGAGGGTGTGGGAGGCACAGGTCACGTGACGCGGCGAACCGACCCGGACGAGCTCGATGGGGGTGGGGGGGGGTTACAAGTCCAGGGGGCTCGGTGTCATTTGTAAGAAATGTATTAATCCATGTATTTATTGATGAATAATGTCATGCATTTATCTATTGTGGTGGCGTTACCCAGGAGAGCCTCACTGAGTCTCGTGACTCTTGTTTTCACGAGGGTCCTGCCAAGTGATCGCAGTCGGGGAGCGCTGTCGCCGCTGCTGCTGTTGATGTGTGATTCCAATTGAGTGGCCCCACATTGGCGAGATGTTAACTACCTCGCCTGCTGTGCAGGAGGTCGAGGGTTCGATGCCGACACTGACGCCTGCTGCTGTGAATTTGGAGTTTGCTTGTTCTCGCCGTGGTCGCGGGTTTTCCCTCCACATCTAGTGACACACGTCTAGACTGTTTGGCTGCTATACATGTCAGCATGATAAGCAACTTTGTTGGGCTATCATTTGTGGCCAGGTCGCTTCTGAATAAGAACGATATAACTGAGTGGGCCTTACCTGGTTTAATAGTTTAGAGTGATTATGCAGTAATGTTCAACATTGGGATGTGGATTGACCAATACGTTGTGCGCGTGTTCTTAGTTACGGAGAGGAAACGGCAGAACCCGGAGGACACCCATACGGAACCGTGGTAGAACCTACACAGACTCCACACAGAGGCGCCCTGGAATCGAACCCGGCCAGCCGAAGCACGTGGCACGTGCCCCCCCCCCCCCCCCCCCCCCCCCACTGAGAGGCGTGGGGGGGGGGAGCTCGCGCGGTGCTCAGCGGCGTGGCCGTGCGGACCACGACACCCCCGGCGGCCCGAGTTCGAATCCCGCTCGCGACACACCAACACCGGAGACGGTTTAGGTGAACTCGGCCTTGACCACGAGCACCTGGCATAGCGTGTAAAGCATCGACGCTCGGGGAGACGGGGGAGACGAGGGAAACAGAGGGAGACAGAGGGAAACAGAGGGAAACAGAGGGAGAAAGAGGGAGACGGAGGGGGACGGAGGGAGACAGAGGGAGGCAAAGGGAGACAGAGGGAGACAGAGGGAAACAGAGGGAGACAGAGGGAGACAGAGGGAGACAGTGGGAGAGAGAGGGAGACAGAGGGAGACAGAGGGAGACAAAGGGAGACAGAGGGAGACAGAGGAGGCGTGGTGCTGGCCACCCTCACGGCCGCACCGTGCCGGGACCTCACCTGGTGTTGCCCAGCTTCTCGTACTCGCGGCGGATGAGCTTCTCCGCCCTCTTCTCGTTCGACGTCCTCTTCTTCTTGCATGAAAACAGATCCCTGTGGGGGGGGGGGGGGACACACGGAGATAGTTAATGATGGTTAATGATCGTCAATGATCGTCAATGATTGGTCGATGGAGTTTGTCGTCGCGGGTTAGAAGCATCCCCGCCGTTGACCACAGAATAAACCACGGAAGACCCTTGGTGAAGTTACAGCATATAAATGAGAACGTTGCACATGCCGGCTGTCAGACGCACTCATCAACGACTCGAGTGCCGCTGGCAGCAGCACAACGCGTGGGCTCGCCCGCGGGGGGTTCGCGTGGTCGCGCTGGGAATCTCAAAATCAAGGAATTCATTTAAAACGGGACGGGGACAGGGAAGCGGGGGGGGGGGGGGGGTGAAGCCGAGGCCGCGATGCGAGGCTCGTTCACTGAGGGCGAGGGGCGGCAAGGCGAGAGGAGCTCTCGCCGTGGCCACATCTCGCTCAGCAACAGCGGCGGCGGCGTCCAGGAAGAGGTCGAGAGGGGCGGGGGCGGGTTGGGAGCTGTTCGTGCGGCGTGACGAGGACTGCAGTCACGGAGGCCATGGACCGATTTGTCGCGGGGGAGGGGGGTGGTGAGTATTTTGAGAGCGAATGATGCCCAAATGACCGCGTCGATTTCGAATCATCGGCTTTTGCAGGTCGCGTAGGAAGGTTGAGGGTTGGGGAGGGGGCCACTCACTGGAAACCCACGAACATCCACGCGATCCAGAACCACGCGATGAAGACGAAGATGATGGCGCAGGGGAGCGCGAACGCCATCCACGACCCGAAGTTGATGCAGTTGCAGTCGGGGTATTTCCTGGAGGCGGGAGGGGGGAAAGAGACGCGCGGCTCCGTGAGATTATTGCTACCGAGTGATCGGTTGTGGACTAAAACAAAACATGGGAAACATGTGGACCATGGTGACGTTGCCACGGGGATATTTACCGCCCGTCGTGAGGCGAACGACGCGGAGTTTTTTGGTCGAGACCCCGTAGTATTAACCAGGGCGACCGCCGGTCTCGTACCGCCAACCTCTAACTCGCGCTGCCACTCGGCCACACCCCGTGTGTGTGCGCGAGTGGCTGCGTGCGAGTGGGGGAGCGGTGGCGCAGTGGTTGGCGCGCTGCGCTACTAATCTGACGGACCCGAGTTGGATTCCTCGCTCACGGTCAACACCAGCGATGGTTATCTGTACCGGTCCGGTGCCTCCCCTAGGTCGACTCAGCCTCAAATTCCAACGCAGTATCAGCCTCAAATGAGTCGATCTCGAGCCATGCGTAAAAACACCGCCACTTGTGAGTCAACGAGGGCCGCGCGCGCTACCGGCCACCCAGCCACCCCCTGGCCCCCTCGTGCGCCCCCCGGTGTCGGCCTCCATCGTTGCTGCTCGCTAACAGCACTCGACCCCAACAGCGGGTTCAAGGCGAACCCGGGCGATCTTCGTCTGTGTGCTGTGTGTGTGCGCGCGCCACGCACTGCTCCATCTGCTCCACGAACACCAGGTTGGTGGAGGTCCCCGTGAGCGTGGCCACGCCGCCGATGTTGGCCGCGTACGCGATGCTCAGCGACAGGCCGCGGGCCATGAGGTCGTCTCTCCGACTCTCCTTGGAGGCGGCGTTCGTGTCCGCCTCGAGGTCTTTGTCCACCACGACGACGCCACCGGCAGCGCCTCCGTCAGCGTCGTCGTCGTCGACGTCGCTGGTGGAGACTTCGTAGACGTTGAAGTCGCTGCGGGGGTTGCAGGAGACGGACCGGTTATTGATGGCACCCAGAAGAGCCTCACTCAGTCAAAACCACCACCATCACCACCGCCATCACCACCATTACCACCGCCATCACCACCACCGACGAAGATGAAGATCCCCTGTATAGCCTGTAACAGACTGTAGGGGCAAGTGCTGTTAGCGAGCACCTATGAAGGCCGGAACGGTACATGAGGCGGTGGGTGGCTAGCACCACGCCCGACCGCCTTTGTCTCCCCAGTGGCGATGTCACACACCGCACCAGGTACTCATTTGAGGCTGAGTCAACCTAGGGGAGGCCCATTACCGGTTCAGATAATCGTCACTGGTGTTTGTTGTGAGCGGCAATCGAACTCGGGTCGCCGGGTTCGTAGCGCAGCGCGCTAACCATTACACCCACCGCTCCCCACCACCATCGACACCACCACCACAATCGACACCACCACCACCGACATCACTACCACCACCACCGACACCACCACCATTCGGAAAGTGCAGATGTAGTGAGCATCCTGGGCAGCAGAGGCCAGTGCAGCGAACTCAATTCTCCTCAACTCCCCACCCCACCCCACCCCACCCCCACCTTCACTAATCCACAATTACTGGTGTGGTGAAGTATGGCCAAATAGCCATCGTCCAGCAGCGAATTTGACGTCGTGCGTGTACGAGAGTGCGGAGACGGCATCTCGCTTATGTAACGGGGGGGGGGGGGGGGGCAGTTTGCGGTGCGAAGTCCGGCGAAGAGAGCTCCGAGTTGAGCCAGACAACGTCACGCACTCGGTCGGGGAGTCGCGGCAGATACGACGAGGGCGCTGCACTTGTTTGTTGGTTCGGCAGAATAGAATGCAGATAGGGTCTCAAGTGCACGATAACAATCGCGATAAACAACCTTCAGATAGAGCCATCTTGCACAAACATGTGCTGTGCTCTTCTGCGGATCGTAAAGGCGCAAATAGTCCTGAGTCGTCAACATCATCATCATAAACACGCCCATCACTGCCATCGTCAAGATCATCAACACCCATCACCACTAACACTACCACCAACCACCACTACCAACCACTACGTTGAGCTAATTGTTGGGATAGGATGAGAAGCCACAAGTGTTTTTTTTGTTTTACTGGTCCCGGTTCTGTCATAAAAACGTGGAATTTCCACGACTATCTCAGGGCCGGCGATAGAGATGAGCACCAGCCTAGCCCTACCTCCGTGCGTGGAATCCCGTTCCACTGGATTTTATCGCTGAACTTTGATCGATCCGTTCGTACAGCCAAAGTTAGGAGCACACCTTTAAACGAAGTCGTTAAGACACGCAGGCCAGATTCCAGTTTCATATCTCGTGTGAACTGATGTGTTCAGTAGAATCATTTAAATAAACCTACAATCAGGATGGTGGTGATGATGGTGTGGTGATGATGGTGATGATGGTGTGGTGATGATGATGGTGGTGATGGTGGTGGTGGTGATGATGGTTATTTGTGCTCACCACAAGCTGCGTATGGTGGGGTACAGTGTGGGTACCCCCACCTCTTCTAATACCTCTCACAGGTGTAGAAGAGTAGGCCAAATACCGTCTAAAAGGGGCTGTCCAGAGCTCCTTTGAGTGGAGGCCTCTTCTGCGTGAGCAGGGAATCGCAGGACTGCGCCTTTATCTAATTCAACACCACCACTGCCATCATCTCTCATGCTGATGATGAACAGACTGTTGGGGCAAGTGCAGTTAGCGAGCGGCACCGATGAAGGCCGGGACGGCACACGAGTGGGTGAGTGGCCGGCACCACGCCCGGTCGCCTTTGTCTCCCGAGTGGCGATGTTTACACACCGCACCAGGTACTCATTTGAGGCTGAGCTGACCTAGGGAAGGCCCAGGACTGGTTTATTTAATCATCAATTACGGGGTAAGTGGCCGTAGAGGGGAATCGAACTCGGGTCGTCGAGTTCCATAAGACAGCGCGCGAACCAGCGCGCACCACCATCGCCACAACTGCGAACACGTCATGCCGCCCGCTGCTGGATGAGCACCACCCGGCACTGTGCGGCTCGTGGCGGGGGTGGCCACACTTCACCAAGCGGCCCTCATCCATCCAGCCGCGGATTGACACGAGGGCTGCACGCGTTGCCTGCGCGAGCGTGGGCATTGCAGGGCGTGGGAAGCGAATGCCGAGGCAAGTGCAGGTCATCCGCGCTGAGATCTCCTCACCCCTGCGTAGCGACGTCTTCCTTTGCGGGCAAGGGCTCCGCGTCCTTTTTGTCGTCGCCGCTTGATTCTGGAACAAATGACATCACGGACATCACCAAAACGGAAGCAACTTGGCTCACGACGATTATGATGACGACGATGATGACGATGATGATCAACCAGAACTTTTCTAAGTGAGTCTCGCACTTGGTAAAAATATATATAACCCAAGCCATGTCATCCCACACAGATGGAGTCCACTTTCCTGTGCGATGATCCACCACCTCCTCGCTGCTGCTTCCACGTCGCTGGATCACGTGCAGCAGCCACGTGCAGCAGGGTAGCCACCACCACCATCACTACGGGGCCGTGCCGGGATAGGTAATCGGCCAACCTATAACTATTACTACGACTGCGATTCTACTATTTATTTTATTTTACCAGGTAAGGCCCACTTTTTCAGACGTGACCCGGCCACAAATGATCGCTCAACGAAGTGGCTGATCATCATCACGTGGGCATTTATAGCAGGAGCCAAATACTGTACTCTAAACACGTGATGTTAGCTAAATGTGGAGGAGAAAACGGGAGGGACTCGGAGAAAAATCCGGTCGACCACGGGGAGAGAGAGAGAGAGACAGCACGCAAACCCCAAATATACAACAGGCATCGTCAGGGTCGGGACCGAACCCAGCAAGCGATGTGGTTGTGCGATGTACCACCAACCCATGCAGCAACGGCTTGTGGCTCGCCGCCGTACAAAGGCGGTCATCGCATCTTCTGCGGCCGTCTGGAACGCTCTTCCATCCGATATGAGTAAGCCACCGGGAACTACGCGCGGTTAAATAATCGAGATTGAAAATAATTTCTATAAAACTGCTTTCCACGTTTTAGTTGTTTGTCCTTCCAGCGCGCTTCCAAATAAGCACGCTTGGCTACGTACGGTGCGAAAGAAGTTCAACACGCACACGCACGCACACAAGTCGTGAAGATCTCGCCACCACCGCGGCACCCGCTGGTGCCAGCCCGGCCGAGGGTCGCCGCCTCCTCCTCCTCACCGTGCGTGGCGCCGTCCTCGCACCCCTTGGCGACGCTCTCCTTGGCGCCCAAGAGCGTGGTGAGCACCGCCTCCACAATGGGAATCATCATCGCCGTGGTCGAGCTGTTGTTGATCCACATGGAGAGGAAAGCCGAGGTCCCCATGAACCCCAGCATCAGCCTGGGATGACACGCCGAGCGAGGGGGGTGGGGGGGGGGGGTAGCCAGAGTTCATCAGCCACCTGCACGCCAACTGATTCCACCTCTCCGTCGCCTCCTAATCTCCGATAAGTACGCTTGGCTACGTCCGGTGCGAAAGAAGTTCAACATACACACGGCGGACGGCCGCTCGGACGCGTTCCACTCCTTGGCTGCCACTCCGTTACTACTCTTGGCCACGGCTCACCGTCCCGTCTGGCCGCGACGCAGCCTGCCCACGGCCGCTCCCTGCTGGGCATGGTTCGGGACTTCGGGTGGCTTTGAAAAGCCAATGGGGTCATAGCCACGTGGTGAGTGACCGGCACCCGGCCACCTTTGTCTCTCCCTCTTGCTGACGCTTTCGTGTTTTACGTACTGACTGATATCACGTCGCCACTCGTTGTTTGCCTCCGCGGCCGGACGAATGTCGCTGCACCACATCTGCCACCCCCACCCCCCCTGCGTCAATAAAGGGCAGATTATATGATGATGATGCCGTAGGTGAGTGTTCTTCATTAATGTTCAGAGGCGGGGCCACTTTTGCCGATAAGCCATCGTCAGTGTGAGGGCCGCCACACATTTAAAAACATCGGGGGTTTTACAGCAGCACGGTGATGATGGCGATGGGGGGTGTTCACGCGTTGTGTATTGTCTGGGGTCGCACGTTCAGGGGCCGCACTGGAGGCCACCAGGGGCCGCCAGTGGCCCGCGGGCCTTGCAATGACGAACACCGCCGCAGGTCGAAAGCGTCGGGGCGACTCCGGGCTGAGCGTCGCCGTGGCTGTGAGCGGTGCCGGTGCGAGACCCCGGGGCCGGTTCAGCACCCTGGAGAGCGGCGGCCGCGCGGCTCGGCCGTGGTGACCTCGGCGCCGCGAGTCACGGCGGGAGCGGAGAACAAACCCGGCATGGGGACGAGGGATCAGGTGCAGTGTCGAAGAGGTGGAGGAAGAGGTGGAGGAGGTGGTGGAGGAGGAGGCGGAGGAGCAGGTAGAGGAAGAAGGGGAGGAGGTGGGGGAGGAGGATGTGGAAGAGGAGGTGGAGGTGGAGGAGTGTGTAAAGAAGGAGGAGGTAGAGGAGGTGGAGAAGGGGGTAGAGAAGGAGGAGGAGGTGGATGAGGAGGTGAAAGTGGAGGAGGAGGTGGAGGGGCGATCGTATTTGGCCGGTGGGTCACAGGAGCCCGTCACGTGCTCGGCCTACCCAGCGCGTGTTGTTTGTGCCTTTTGTCTTGGTGCCATTTATTTATTTGTTTATTCATTTCTAAGTTTGCTTGATAGTAAGCTTTCCATTTGCTTAGTAGTAGCTGTATATAGGATTTGGTCTTCATATACAATTAATGTACTGCGTTAAGGGATGCAATTAGAATGAATGATGCTGTATAAAATTGTATTATTACTTACCACTGACCCTGACACTAACCAACCAGTCAATAATACGCGAGCCCTATCACTGATCCTAACCAAACAACCTACTCGTACTAGCCTTACCAGGCAACCCTAACTCTAGCCAACCACATACCGTTGCTATCCATCCAATTTACCATAACCAACGATAGCCATCTCGTCAGCAGTACTACGCATCCAAATGACCCGAACCCCAAATAATTCACCAACCAGCCACTAGCCCAGCCAGCCACTAACCTGACCGCTAACTCGTCACCAGTACTTGACCTCTGACATACTTCACAAACTTGCATTGACCAGCGTGGTAAAGTATGGTCAAATAACGCCCCCCCCACAACCCGCATGGCGCAGGGAGGCCCTTATCCATCAGTGGATTGGCAAAAGAGCCGAACGTCTCGTCTGTGAAACACAGGGCGATGCACTGCCAGCTGCTGAGACTGCTATCAGAGTGGCGTCGCCTCGACACTGATTGCACAAGCCTGAGAGGGAGGGAGGGAGGGAGAGGAGATGTTTGTACGAATTAAACATTCTGGAGGTTAAAACGATAACCGGGGGTCAATGATCGCTCACGCGGCGCTGACACTGCCCTCCCTGAGCCGCCAACCAGCGGCCGAGGTCACGCCTCGCCGCGCGCGTCAATGAATGAGGACGGAGAAATGCACGAGGCAGGGGCGCCGTGCGCGCGTGATTGATTGATACGTCACGTGATTGATTGATACGTCACGCGATTGATACGTCACGTGCCAGGTGAAGCAGCCAGCAGCAGCATCCCCTGCTCCTCTCTCCATCATTTCCCTCCTTCCCTCGTCTCCCTACAAGCTCCTCTCAATGACCTTTCTCCCTCCTCTCTCGCTTTGTCAGTGCCCCCCCCCCCCCCATGGTCTCATGTGCACTGGCACATTGCCTCACTCGTCTATTTATTTGTCCGTCTCGTTTGTGTTGCCCCTTTCGCTTGATTCATGGTCGCGATTTTTTTTTTACAGAGCCGACCTCTTCTACGCTCGGACGTCCTCATCATCTCAGCACATTTGAAAGGGCACCCCCAGTGGCAGCTGTCCATGCGCGGCACGCGGCCAGCCCCTGGCCAAGCGCTCCGTCTGCTCCACGCCCCTGGCCATTACGACGAAGTTCCACCAGAATAGTCTTATGAACTCGAGTCAAGGACGCAGGGGCGCGCGATAGCTGCAATCAGGATGACGGTGCCGATTGAAGAGTTGCTTTGTTTCTTTCGCAGCACCTTGGACTCTCACGTGCACGCCTCTGCAGCCGAGCTGCGTGTCTCAACCTCCCAAGACGCGCGTGACACCCTCAGCGTGACCTTCGCATTGTCGGGAGAGAGAGCAGGTTGGGCTGTAGCTCTCTTTATCTCTCTTTCTCTCTGCCACTCCGGAAAGAATACAGGCGGTGGGCTAAGGAAACTTCAAAGACTACAAAACAACCTGGCACGCGTCGTCATTGCCCACACTCATCCCCGTCTCGACTCACTAGCTTGTCTCCGCGTTCTCAACTGGCTACCCATCGCCAGTAGGGTCACATACAAGATCGCCTGCCTCTGCCACAATGCGCTCATATCCGCCTGCCCGCCGTACCTTTCTTCATTATTGACAACTTGCAGCGCAGCACACGGCAGATGCCTGCGCAGTGCGACTCACGACCTCCTCTTGATACCAAGATCCAGGATGGTCATGTCTACGCGCCGCTTCTCGGTGGCAGCCCCAAAAGTCCGGAACGATATCCCTCTGCACATTCGCAGCATAACCTCAATTGCCTCCTTCAAGAGACACTTAAAACACTCACCTCTATAACCACGTGCTTTCGAGCGACTCTGAGCTCGGCTCCGCGCCTCCGAATTGCGGCCATTACGTCCGCAAATTTGCGCGCGTTATAAATTGAACTATTATTCTTATTAAAATAACTGATCATTTTATGAAAAATGCTCGTATTATTGGTATTATTTAAAACTCATAATGATAATTGGTTTGTATATGTTAGAAATGGGGCCCCAATGTTTAGATGTCAATGATATCTGGTAACCCGCCCGTCAGTATTCGTTTAAGAAACCTGACTCTACCGTTTAGACCCAGAATGTCGAAACCGGGCCACAGTTTGCGTGCTTGCTTGCTTGAATGCTGCTAGATAACATTGATCTGGATAGCCGATAGGTTGTGGATTCCAGCAGGTTGTTGTTGTTGTTGATATTTACACGTGGGGACGCAGAGTGGAGTCGCCCTTGAAACATAACTTCTTAGCTGAATGGGCTCTACTCGGGAAATGCACTTCTGGTTCTGATTCTGATATGTTAGACACTGCGCATCTCTCGCCAGATGATTGGGCCACTCTGTGCCTCAATCACCAGATGATTGAGCCACTCTGTGATTCAATCGCCAGATGATTGAGCCACTCTGTGATTCAATCACCAGATGATTGGGCCACTCTGTCATTCAATCACCAGATGATTGGGCCACTCTGTCATTCAATCACCAGATGATTGGGCCACTCTGTCATTCAATCACCAGATGATTGAGCCACTCTGTGATTCAATCGCCAGATGATTGGGCCACTCTGTGCGTCTCTCACCAGATGGGCCTGAGTCCCACGAGCATGATCATGCGGAGAGCGATGCGACGGTGGAGGTTCCAGTACTCGATCGCGGCCGCGATGAACATGACGCCCAGGTAGAGGAAGGTGGCGTCCTTGAAGTACTGCATGGCCACGTCGCCGGACTTGGCGACCCCGAGCAGCGGGAAGAGGAAGAGCGGCACGAAGCCCGTGACGGGCAGAGGGAGCGCCTCGGTGATCCAGAAGACGGCGGTGATGATGAGCACGTAGCCGCAGTGCGCCTCCTACACACCACCATGGCATGTAAATAACATCACCATCATCATGTATACAACTAAAAATAATATTAATCATCGTCATCATCCCCACCATCATCAAATATAGTTGGCATCATCGTCGTGAAGATATAAGCCACACTCCGTCTCGATCCTGCACTCCGAGCACATTTCGTTTGCGCCATCTCCGCGGTCAATGCGCGTCAATTATTCGCCCATTGTTCTTTGGCCGTGAGCGGGAATCGAACTCGGGATCGTCGGTGTTGTAGCTCCGTGCCCTACCCACTGCGCCACCGCTCCTCGCGCACACGAGCACACGAGCACACGACAGATCACTGTAGAGTCTTAACAGACTTTTGACGCAAGTGCTGTTAGCGAGCGCCTTTGAAACCCGGCTCGGTACACGAGGGGGTGGGCGGCCAACAACCACGCCCGACCGCCTTTGTCTTCCCAGTGATGATGTTTACACACCGCTCCAGGTACTCATTTGAGGCTGAGTCGACCTAGGGGAGGCCCACGGTGGGTTCAAATAATCCTCACTGGTGTTGGCCATGAGCGGGAATCGAACTTGGGTCGCGGAGTATCATAGTGCAGCAGGGCTAACCACTACACTACCGCTCACCACACATACACCAAAGACAAAGATCCCCCTTATAGCCTGAACAGACTGTTGGGGCAAGTGCTGTTAGCGAACACCAAATGAAGTTCGGGACGGCACACGAGGGGGTGGGTGGCCAACACCACGCACACACACACACATCTCCACACCACTTCTTGCCACACGTATGCATGTACAGCACGTTGAACTTCTTTCGCACCGTACGTAGCTAATCGTAGGCGCGCGGGGGGGGGGGACAACAAACTAAAGCACGAAAATGAGTTTTAAAGAAAAGAGTTCATCGGAGGTGCGAGGACGATGGATGGGGGTGGCGGAGGCGTCGAGTGGAGGAGCACGAGGAGCCGACTCTCACCGAGTAGGGCAGCGCGATGGGCAGCGGCAGCGCCAGCAAGGGCACCAGCACGACGATGAGCAGCTTCTTGTAGGTCTTCAGGAACTCCACCGCAGTCTTTGTGTTATTAGTAGTAGTATTATAACGGGGTTTTTCAGCCTCCATCTTCCCGTGCGAGTCTGCGTCTCTTTGCTCCATGCTTCCTCCTCCTGCTGCTGTTCCTCCTCCTGTCAACAGATCACCTCGTCAGTGGTGTGCGTGTGTGTGTGCGTCGCGGCCGTGCCAGGCGAAGTGGCTCCTACTGGAGCAGGGGGTTGGGTGGTGTTGAGAAAGTTCCTTGGGAGAATGGGAACCGAGTCGTGACAAAGGTGTCCGCACTCACGAGCAGCAGGAGAGGTGTGTGCGTGTGTGCAGATGGGTGGACAGGTGAGTGTGTGTGGATGAGTGGACATGTGAGTGTGAAGATGGGTAGACAGGTAAGTGTACTGTGGTGTGTTTGTGTGTGTACATGGGGAGAATAGTTTGTGTGCAGCTGAGGGTGCAGATGAATGGACAGACGCGTGCATGTGCACACAGGTTTAGGTGCAGGTTTGCGGGCATGCGAGTGTGCAGGTGTGTGTGGGCGCTTGCGTCGATGTGTGTGAAAATCGGTGGGCAGGTGTGTTTATACGTGTGCACAGGCATGTACAGAGGTGAGTGTGAAGGTACGCAGACAGGGATATACACAGGCGCACGTGCACAGGTGTAAGCGCCCATGCGTGCACAGGTGTGTGTGTGTAAGTGCGTAACGGTGTGTTCACAGATGCGTGCGTTGGTGTGTGTATTCGGGTGAACAACCACGTGCACGCGTGTGTGAGCGTACACCTGTGTGTACACCTGTGTGTGTGTGTGCGTGCCGGCGCGTGCAGGTGTGCTTACACGTGTTCGGACAGGGCACGTGTGGAGGCGCGGGCACGTGCGCGTGAACTCCCCCGTCTCCTCGGGGTCGCGGAGGCTTTATGTCGAGGTTCGACTCTTGGTTCCGCCCCCCATGGACTCGATGTCTCACCCGGGGGGTGTCACGGGGGGGGGGGGGGGGGCGCTGTCGCGGCCCAGTTTAACCATTAACGATGAACAACTCCGCGCGGTTTGGACTGCGCCTTGCTGAGTACTCGAGGGGAGCCGCGTGGTGAGTGGTCACCACGCCACCCAGTGCGAGGTGGAGCTGTGCGGTAGCCAGATTCACTCCCCCCTCCCTCCCTCCCTCCCTCCCTCCCTCCCTCCCTCCCTCCCTCCCTCCCTCCCTCCCTCCCTCCCTCCCTCCCTCCCTCCCCAGCCCTTCTCCAGCATCTCCCTCCCCCCCACCTCCATCCCTGCCACCCGGCCTCATCTCCCGGCACGCTGCTCTCAGCCATCTCCTTCTCTCCTTCCTTCCATCATCTCCCGCTCGACCTCTACATCATCTCTCTCCTTCATCCTCCGGAGCATCTCATTCCTTTCCGCCCTCCCTCCCTCGTTTCATTCAACCCCCCCCCCCCCCCATAGCTCGTGTCAACTCATTCCTCTCACGCAACTTCCCTCCATCATCTCCTTCCACCCCCCTCCTCCTCCTCCTCTTCTACACCATCGCCCATCCTCTCCTCACTGTGATCTCTGTATTCATCGACATGGATCTGTAGTAATCATGCTCCTCTCTCCTTTGTGACCCCCACCCCACCACCTCCTCCTCCTTCCCTCATCTCCCATCCCATCCCTTCCCCCACCCCACCCCCTCCCGCACAGCGGAGTTGTTTGTGAGTTTGTTTCTAGGCAGATCACGTCACTCTCTCTCTGCCTCTCTCTCTCTCCCTGCCTCTCTCTCCCTGCCTCTCTCTCTCTCCCTGCCTCTCTCTCCCTGCCTCTCTCTCTCTCCCTGCCTCTCTCTCTCTCCCTGCCTCTCTCTCCCTGCCTCTCTCTCTCTCCCTGCCTCTCTCTCTCTCCCTGCCTCTCTCTCTCTCCCTGCCTCTCTCTCTCTCCCTGCCTCTCTTTTTTTTACGATCAGTAGAAACAAGAAGATGCTCGGTGTATTCGGCACTTTGTTTCGTTCATCATTTCGTAATTTTTTTTTTTTTTTAAACAGGGCTTTATGTAGCCCTCGCTCGCTCACTCTCTCGCTCGCTCTCTCGCTCACTCTCTCGCTTGCTCGCTCTCTCGCTCTCTCTCACTCGCTCTCTCTCTCGCTCATTCTCTCGCTCACTCTCTCGTTATTTACGCCGCCCCCCTCGCAGTCCTATGGCCTCCGACGGGTAGCTCATAACAGCATGCAGAGCTCCCCGTCATCTGCCACGGAGCACACGGCCTCCTCCATCGCCCACTGCTCCTTGAAGGCCGGCACGGCGTGGGTCAGCCGCGCGTGGCGGAACTCCAGCCACACCCTGGCTCCGACCAGAGCGCGGAAGATGCCCAGGCTGCTGGCCGGACGTTTCCCCTCCAGGGCCACCTTCCTCGCCCTGTATATGGCGAGCTTGGCGTAGCCGACGAGCACGTTGACCAGCCCCTGGAGATGTTGGGGTCCGTCGCCCTTTCGGTATCCAAAGATGAGGACCGTCGGGGAGAAGTGGAGGCTGAACTTTAGTAGGATGTTTCTCAGGACCTTGAACAGCGAGTCCAGGCTCTTGCACTCCACGTATTGGTGCGCCACCGTCTCCACTTTTCCGCAGAACCGGCACTCCGGGGGCGTGTCGGTGAAGCGCGCCAGGGAGGCGTTGGTGGTGACGGTGCCGTGGGCGATGCTCCAGCTGAGGTCGCCGATGCGGTTGTACGTCGGGCTGGAGTAGAGTTGCCTCCAGCGAGGCCTCTCCGGAGAGATGCAGGGCAGGGCTTTCCTCCAGGCATGGTCCTTATGGCTCCTCAGGGTGTCCTGTTGGTGAAACCGGACCATGTAGGAGTAGAGCACCTTCCTCTTGACATTTGCGAAGGCCACCTCTGGTAGGTCCTCCAGCCGGCACAGGTTGTGATCCGCCTTCGCTTGTCGGCATTGGCGACGCAGTGGCACGACGGAGAGCTCCGGTGGAGGGGGACCGAGAGGGGCCTCGTGATCCCCAACGCCGATGGGGGGCGTTCTCCCCGCTGCCGCTGAGAAGGCCCCCTTGGCTTCGGCCAGGATCCGAGCAGCCACCCGGAGCGATTGCAGCCCTGTCTTTGCGGCCATGTCTGCTGGTCCGAGCCACCGGCCCCGTGTTCCAGGCTCCACCAGATCTCCCATCCTGGTGAGCCGCGCGTTGGTGAGGCGCCTCTCCATGCCGGGGGTGGCGGTGGTGGACGGCAGCTTTGTCTGCGGGTTCCTGAGGATCGGTTCGAAGACCAGATCCTCGGCCGATTGCGGCTGGTTCAGCCTCCTGACGGCGAGGGAGCTCCACGTCTGCAGGACGCTCCTGTAGAAAGGTGGCAGCTGTCCCAGTGGGAGGCCCTGCAGGTCCATGTAGAATAGTTGTTTGGAGCACTGCAGACCCCCCAGCTGTTTGAGTAGGAAGGAGGCCGTGACGCTCCAGGCTGGTGCAGGGGTGGTGGCGTGCAGGAACTTTTGTGCGGCCTGCAGTCGGAAGGTGGCCAGCTGACTCCGCACGCACACCAGCCCGTGACCGCCCTCGTCCAGTGGCAGGGCCAGGACCCCAGCCGCGACCCGGTGTCCTCTGCCTGACCAGAAGAAGTCGAGGACTCGCTTCTGAAGCGCGTTGACGAGGCTCATGGGGGGGTGCAGGGAGAAGAGTCGGTGCCACAGCATGGACGTCACCAGCTGGTTCACCACCAACGTCTTTGTCCTGAAGGTGAGGAACTTGCACAGGCGACTCCAGGTGCCCAGCCGCTCCTTCACCTTCTCCTCCAGCTCGACCCAGTTCCTTTGCGGTGGTTCCTCCTCTGGTCCCAGGAAGACCCCCAGGTGGTGCAGCGATGTTGTGCTCCAATTGATGGTTTTTGCCTTCTCTGGACACTCGGTCATGTCCCACGCTCCAACCAGCAGGCCGCTGCACTTTTGCCAGTTCATTTTGGATGAGGAGGCCTTCGAAAAGACCTCCTGACACTCGTGCAGCAGGGCGACATCATCCAGGGAACGAAGGATGAGGAGGATGTCATCGGCGTATGCCGTCAGGACCAAACTGACATTTGGTTCCCTGAGCACCAGGCCGCTGAGTCTCCGCCTTATGAGATTCAGGAAAGGCTCTAATGCCAGTGCATAAAGTTGGCCCGACAATGGGCATCCCTGTCTCACTCCTCGGTCGAATTTGACAGGGGCAGTGAGGGTGCCGTTGATCTTGATCATGCACTCCGCCTTGGTGTAGAGTAGGCGGATCGTTCGGACAAACCCATCTCCAAAACCAAAGGCCTTGAGGGTTCCCAGCAGGTATTTGTGGTCCACTCTGTCAAAAGCCTTTTCCTGGTCAAGGGCCAGAAACGCGATTGGGATGCCCAACCTCTGGGACATCGCGATGAGGTCTCTGACCAGGAAGATGCCGTCGTGGATGGATCGTCCGGAGATGGTGTAGGACTGGTCCCTGTTTACGACTTGTGCAATCACCCCTTTCAGTCGCAGGGAGAGAGCCTTCGTCAATATTTTGTAGTCGGTGTTCAGGAGGGACACCGGACGCCAGTTTTGTAGGTGCCTCAGGTCTCCGTTCTTGGGAAGCAGAGTGAGCACCGCTCTCCTCCAAGACTGAGGCATCACCCCGGTGACAGAGGCTTCCTCCAGCACCTCTCTGTAGTCCTCCCGTAGGGATGGCCAAAAAGCGGCGTAAAACTCCCCTGTTAGCCCGTCTAACCCTGGGGATTTATTTGGGGCCAGTCCTCCTACAGCTGCGTCAAGGTCATTCCTGGTGAGCTTTAGCTCCAGCAGCTCCTTCCCGTCTTCCTCCAGGGTGGGTAGACCGCTCCATGCCTCCGCCTGGGCCGCTCCTGATGTTTCTTCAGGGGAGAACAGGCTGCCGTAGAAGTCTCTGATGATGGTCGACTTCTGCTGGAGTTCGTGCGCCAGGACACCGTCACCATCAAAGAGGCACTCCATGTATTTGCGTCTCCCGTTCTGCCTCCCGAGGGAGTAGAAAAACGGGGATCCCGTGTCGAGGTCTGTGATGAGCTTCACCCGGGATCGCACAAACGCTCCCCTCGTCTGCTCCTCCTGTAGGCCTTTGAGACGCTCCCTAATCTCCTCGTATTCTCGGAGAAGAGCAGGGTCATTGTCCTCGGCGAGGCGACTCTCCAAATCGAGGACCCGGGCTTCCATGTCGGTGATGTCCGCGTTCTTCAGTCTGGTGCTCCCCCAGGTGTATTGTTGGCACAACAGCCTGGTGTGCACTTTGCCCATGTCTCTCTCTCTCCCTGCCTCTCTCTCTCTCTTCGCCTCTCTCTGTTTGAGGCGCCGGCACCGCCCCACCCAATGTCCGAGCCACCGGGCGCCCCTCTGCTCGCGTCGTTCCCAGCAGCCTCGGCGACCTGCGGCTTCGGATCCGCACGCGTCTCTTGCTGCTTCGTGGCGCGTTGTTTGCATCGCGCCACTTACAATGTTCAGGTTGTTTGGTTTTACCGAATTCGAAAAACATTGCCTCTGACTGTTACTTTGGTTTCCGACAATTCGGCGACATGGTCGGCCAACCGCCCCCCCCCCCCTTATAAGGGGGCCTGGGGCGGCTGCCCATCTCGCCCCGCCTGTCACGAACACTGGCCGAAGGACAGATACATATGCAGTCAACAGGGGTTGACGTTTGGGGCAACAACCCTTATTCAGCGCATTTAGAAACAGGGCAGAGTGGTGTGTGTGTGTGTAACCATCGCCATCATCAGCCATGATCGATCCACTGCTGGTAGAAGGCCTCCCCCAAGTGCTCCATCTCCACAGGGGACGATTCGTCGAGCGCGTTTCCCTCGCTGGGCTTGCCGCTCCGGCGTTCGTCTCGACCACTTGTCCACCATCGCCCCTCCCAGGCGTGGCGACACCTCCCCAGGCCCCACGCAATGTCCTTCCCAAGCCAACGTGGCGTCTCTCGGCTGCGCCAGCCCTCTACCCACGTGTCCCCTCCCCTGTCTCCTCTCGGTGTCATTTCCCAGCGCGCACCTCGACGCTGCTTCTATCGCCATTCACCATCATGGGCAAGCCACTGCTGGATGACGATCAACACGATGTCTCTAAGCTGCGTCAGTCCTCCAACCAGGCACGCGTCTGCTGCGTCTGTAGGAGAGGCAGGGCAGCAAGGAGGTGGCCCTGCCGCCTTGTATCCGAAGTGGACTCGATCGCATCACGGGGCTCGCGGTGTTATCACCGGCGTCTCCTCGTGCAGACGATGCAAATACCAAAAACGTGGAGTTGGCCAAACATCTGAGTGTAGCAGGACCCTCACGAAAACACGTCTCGAGACTCGACGTGGCTCTCTCCTCCCGTGTGGGGCTATCGCGGTTGTTGCTGCTGCCTAGCTCTCCGGGTTGGGCGACGATGTCCGACGTTTCGAACCACGCGCTGCGGAAGCTTCTTCAGGGACTGCACTAAATTCACTTTCCCCTGTAGAAGGCACCACAAGGGACAGCATCACCAAACCTCACGGTCCACAGCAGCTTAAACCTCACAGTAGAGGAGCATGAGGTGAGGCGCACGCTGCGGGCCGTCAACCCGAGGAAGGCTGCGGGACCTGATGGCGTCCCGGGACGTGTGCTGAGGGACTGTGCTGACGAGCTGGCTGGAGTCTTCACAAGGATTTTCAACCTGTCTCTGGAACAGTCCACCGTACCAACCTGCCTAAAGTCCTCCACCATAGTCCCGCTGCCCAAAAAAACCCACATTTGCAGCTACAACGACTACCGGCCAGTAGCACTCACGCCGGTGGTGATGAAGTGCTTTGAAAAACTGGTCCGGAGTCACATCATAGGAAGCTTACCCCGAAACCTTGACCCCCACCAGTTTGCCTACAGAGCGAACCGATCCACGGAGGACGCCGTGGTCACAGGACTACATGCTGCACTGTCACACCTGGAGCAGCAGGGGAGCTATGTGCGGATGCTCTTCGTGGATTACAGTTCTGCGTTCAACACCATCCTCCCAAACAAACTGGTGGAAAAACTGGGCGACCTGGGGATTCCACATTCCACCTGCATGTGGATATATAGTTTCCTCTCGGGCCGCAGACAGAGGGTCAGAGTGGGCCGTCATACATCCACAGCCCTGAGCCTCAGTACCGGCTCCCCCGAGGGCTGTGTACTGAGCCCCCTGCTCTACTCCCTCTACACACATGACTGTGCCGCCGTCCACCATAGCAACACCATTGTGAAGTTTGCTGATGACACCACAGTGGTGGGGCTCATCTCTGGGGGGGATGAGTCTGCCTACAGGGACGAGGTGGAGCGGCTGACAGCATACTGCAGGGGCAACAACCTGCTCCTTAACACCGCAAAGACCAAGGAGCTCATAATAGACTACAGGAGAAAGAAAACGGACACTCCACCACTAATCATCAGCGGGGACTGTGTGGAGAGGGTGGCAGACTTCTGCTTCCTGGGAGTTCACATTGGGGAGGGCCTGACCTGGAGCGCCAACAGCACTGAGCTTCTGAAAAAGGCCCAGCAGAGACTTTACTTCCTGAGAATTCTCAGGAATAATAACATCACACAGAAACTGCTGGTGTCCTTCTACCGAGCCTCCATCGAGAGCATTCTTACATACTGCATCTGTGTATGGTATACCAGCTGCACAGTGGCTCAGAGGAGAGCGCTCCAGAGGGTCATCAACACAGCCCAAAAGATCGCCGGCTGCCATCTCCCCACACTGGAAGAACTACACAGTTCACGTTGCATCAAAAAAGCACAGAACATTATAAAGGACTCTTCTCACCCTGGACACTCACTGTTTGAGCTGTTGCCATCAGGCAGACGATTCAGATCAGTCAAAACAAGGACAAACAGATTCAAACAGAGCTTTTATCCTACAGCGATCACCACACTCAATAATGCTAATTAATTATTAAGTAATAGTGTTTACAATTGATTGTGAAATAGAGATGTGCAATGACAAAATGTAACCTTATGTGGGTATGTGGGTATACTTGGGCTGTTTTTATATATAGTATAAATTGATTATCTTTCATTTAATTTTATTTTTATTATCTTGTTTTATTTAATTTAAATTTATGAATGATGCCCTGACTGGTGAGTATTTTAAATTTCGTTGTACTGGTGACAATGACAATAAACGATCTATCTATTCTCCCTGCTTTGAGTGGAGTTGAATTTCACGACATCGTTAATTTGCCTCGGCAAAGCCAAAGCACGTTGCATCACATCTCATCTCACACGTTCGACGGGCAACCCCCCATGTGGCAGCTGCCCCTACGTGGCACGAGGCGACTCAGCAGGGCGCTGCAACGTGGCGAAGTATCGCAGCGGGCCGCGTGACACACCGCGTGAGAGAACGGCCCCACGACCCGTCAACGCAAGGTGCTGTAAGCTGGACGTCTCATCTCATTGCGATAGACGGATCGAGGGTTACATGTTGATCGCGAAAGGGCAGCAGGGGGGGTCACGGCAAGGAGTGGAGTGGCGAGGGAAGGGAACGGGCAATGGAGAAGAGGCGAGGCTTTAACGGGGGCACCGAACGAGGTTAAGGAGGGGGAGTGATAAACATACGCGGGGACTTTATTGCAGCGTCTCTGCTGCTGACACGTGGCAAGGTGAGTGCCGTGTCTGTCTGCGAGCACTCATCCTGCTGTGCGGTGCTGGGCCCATGGCCACACCCGTTGTTGATGCATCTCGTAGCCCGGGGGCTGTCGTCTGTCATCTGCGGACCCCGTGAACGCGAGCGGGGAGGCGGTTAAAGGGGCGTCGGGAGGGTCAGTGCAGGGAGGGCAAATTCCACACTTTACGTGAACTCAGCGGTTTAAAACAAAGTCGAAAAAATGTTACTCCCGAGGGGGTTGGGGGTGGTATAAGCGCGTTGCGTACAACAGGCAAAGATCACCCCCCGCGCGGTCTCCGTGCACGCGGCCGCGGCGAGTGCGGGGCGAGCGGGCGCGTGGCCCGGCAGCCTCGCCACGCCCGGCCCCAGGAGCCCAGCCAGCAGGCAGCCCCGCTCCGCACTCGGCAGGGCCCGTCAGTGACAACCACAAGACGATTAATAATCATGCGCGGTGTGTGTGTCAACCACTGACGAGTTCGATCCCCGCTCACGGCCACCAACACCAGTTGCGAATACCTCAACCGTTTCTGGGCATCACCTAGGTCGACTCAGCCTTAAACGAGTACCCGGTGCGGTGTGTAAAACATCGGCCACGCACCCCCTCGTGTGCCGTGCCAGACTTCACAGGTGTTCGCCAACCGCACTTGCCCCAAAATGTCTGATGAGGCTCTGCGGGGGACCTTTTGTTCCCGAGTGATAAGATTCGAGTGACCTCGTTGACACCAAGTGCACATGTGGGGGTGATTGTTATTTTCCGCGCAGACTTCTAATCGGGAGAACAAGGTCCGTGCTATGTTGCTCTTTTGGCACAGGGTGTTTAATCGTGTTCCAGTCGTTTACTCCCCAATTGCCGAAGCATCGCATAATTGCTCTAATTACTTTGGCTCTAATTACTTTGTCTTTACGTTCCAGCATTTTCTCCCATTAAAAACAACAGCAAAGCGTCAGAAGAATTACACATTATAGACGTCGCCTTGGCCCGGTTCGGCCGACTGAAAGGGTGACATGGATAATTAGAATTATTGATCTTACCAACAACTGCCATTCGCCACTAAGTGGCGGCGACGTCACCACGGCGCTTGTGCCAGGCTAAGTGCACTTGAATTCCTAAATTGGCTATTCCCCTCATGGTGCTTGTAGCCACCACGGCGGCAAGGGGCTGGTAACCCCTCCACCTTCAAATCAACTACAACTGAACTCCGTGCAAAAAATCGATCTTACCACCAGCGTGAGTCACGATCAATCCACTGCTGGAAGAGGGCCTCGCCAAGCCGCCGCCGCCGTCACGAGCCGTCCCAGCACCGTGGAGCAGCAATCGGGACATCGTGCGCACGCGGGCCGCTGCCATCGCACGCTGCCCCCTTCGGCCTCGGCTCGTCGATTATTCTCATCCCTGGGCCGGCGTCCAACCGCCCCCCCCCACCGCAGCCCCCCCCCGCCACGGCGCGACGACTCCGGCCCAAGCCGACCCACCAGCTCCCGACCGCTCGGCACTCCCAGATCCTCAACGCGCGCGGCATGTCCTCTCCGATCCGCGCTCCTCCGTCGCTCGGTGTGGCCTCGGGCGCGCGCGATCCCAACCGTGCACACGATATATTTGGGAATATTCCTTTACACGCGCGTGTGTATGTTATCCAAGACGCCAACGGCAATAACCGCACAGAATTACGCAATCTTTTCAAAAATTAGTTTAATAATACAAAACAGATCGCGGCGCTGCTGCTCTGCTGAGGATTCAAATGTTTATGGTGCCACCGCCGTCTCCGTTCAAAATAAATAAACACGGACGTACCCTCCGAGTCCAGGCCTCGTTTTGTTATTTTCGCTAAAATCAGGTGGCTCAGCGGAGTCTCACGCGTGACCACAGAGCCCCCATTGTTCTCGAGCCGCGTCGTCCGCCCGCGTGCAAATTCCTGGGGCCCCAAATCCGTCGCGTCGAACCGGCGACCGAGGTCGCTCCCGCCACCCGGCAATCCTCGGATAAAAGTCTTCCATCGGTTTTCCTACCAAGTTTATCTGGATCGTGCTATCGACATCATCACTCGAGACGAAGAATCTAGCAGGGTGCCGCATCGACCCTTCGTGTTTAGATAATGGCCCACGGAAGCGGATATTACAGAGCTCCCTCTGAGATTAGTTAACAATGAATGACCTCTAGTCAACACACAGCCGAGGGCAGCACTCTGCATCGTGCGATGGTCAGAACGACATTGCAATTCTCAGAGGTGGAATTCAGCGGGAATTCCCTCCCGTCTTCTGTGTCTCCAAGTGTCGACTCGTTATTGATGACACCTCTTGAGAGTATCGTCTTGTTGCTGGCTGCTGCATGCTTTGGGCCCGTGCTCAGCAACTCTAAAAATAGAACCCAGCAGTGAGAGCGCTGCCGTGGCATTGGACGCAGCCTGTTGTGTGGTCGCCACCTTCGTTCCTGCGTGCGCACGTTAGCGTGGAACTCGAGCCGCAGTAGTGCAGCGGAGAGCGGTGGCGCGGTGGTTAGCGCACTGCGATACAAACCCAGCGACCCCAGTTCAATTCCAGCCCACGGCCAACACCAGCGACGATTATCTGAACCGGTTCTGGACCTCCCCTCGGTCGACTCAGCATCAAATGAGTACGTGACAAAGGCGGCTGGGCGTGGTGCTGGCCACCCACCCCCTTGCGTGCCGGGCCGGCCTTCATAGGTGCCGCTCACGAACAGCCCTTGCCCCGCCTGACAGCACGGGGCATCTTTGTCTTTGGGTCACGAGCGGCTACCGGGTCGGCGCCCTACAGGAGGATGCGCAGGTCCTGCACAATGGCGTCGTCCACCCCACCGTCTGGCTCGCGGGCCCGACTCCTCAAGTCTGCGCTCTTCGAGTCGCCCGTCGGCCTCCCGGGTCGCTGCGGGCAACTCTTCCTCCTCGTCCCCGTCCCCGCGGGGTCGTGGGGTCGCTCGGTAGCGTCGGCCATCGCCGCGGCGGCCGAGTTCTCCAGCGCTTGCCGTAGCTTCTCTTGGAACCTGCGTTCAGACAGAGTGTGGGCCAATCCACGTGTGTTACAATATGCTATTAATATGACGATAATACTGGTATTTGTATTATGGAGAGAATGTAAGGAAACATCTCTGAGGGCATTGTGTGAAATTGTCTTTGTTAGTGTGGGAAAGTATATGTAGTGGTTAGTATGCGTAGTAGTGTAGTGGTTAGAGCACTACGCTATGAAAACGAGTTGGATTCCCACTCACGACAAAATACCACTGCCAAATATCTGAACTGGTAGACTCAGCCTGAAATGAGTACCTGGCGCGGTGTCTTAAACATCAACAATGGGGAGACAAAGGTGGCTGGGCGTGGTGCTGAACACGCCGATGATCCCAGCGATCAAGGTTTGAATCGATTGCTTGCGACGACGCACCCCATCAGTACATGGCACCTGCACTCGGCCTCCTCTACATTGACTCAGCCATAAACGAGTACCTGGTGCATTGTGGTCGTTCAACATGGGCAGGTCAACAAGGTTGGCCGGGCTAGTTTGGACCACACCGCTCCATCCATCACTTGCAGTCCTGGACTTTGACAACACGCATTTCTGGACAGCGCAAACAATAACCACCAGTGCTGTCGGGAGGAGCGATGCCGCTGTGGCTACGTAGAGAGACACGTGAAGAACACTGATTCGGTGCAGAGGGGCACTGAATAGACGTCAGTTGAGGCACTGCGAGGGTGCTACAGTTTCTGAATACGTGTACTCGGAAATGTTTTTTGCAGAGCGCACATTCAGAATATTAATCCACCGCGGTGCGCGCACAGAATGCTAATGATGCCACTGTGAACGTGTTAAGGGTTTCCGATGTTTGTGTGTCTTTGGGATACGGGGAGCGGTGGCGCAGTCGTTAGCGTGCCGGGTCTATGAATCCGGCGATCGATACTCACCCACGGTGACAAATTATTTGAAAAAGTTTTGAGCCCCCCCCCCTCATAGGTCGACTCAGCCTCAAATGGCGTTATGGGGCCTTTGGGCCTCTGTGCTCAGCAACCGCGGGCCACGCGACCACGGTGACAAATCCGTAACGCAGGCGCCACCGACTCGGCACCATTCAGTGCCCTCCTTCCACGCACCTGGCCACCCGCTCGCGGTTCTGGGCCATCTTCCCATTGGCGATGGCGACGAGGAAGGCGAGGTAGTCGTGCGGCACCAGCAGCCGCCCCGCCTGGCACAGCGGCACCTCCAGCGCGTGCGTGCTGCGCACCGCCTACGCCGATGGTCGCGGTGGTGGTGGAGGGGGCGGCAAAGGAAAACTATTTTTATTATTCCGCTCGTTCACCCAGAAGAGAATAGCCTCACCGAGTCTCACGACTCTTGTTCAGAAGCGTCCTCTGCGAAACTCCGATAGCTGCTGGTCTCTGCACTGGGTTTTGCAATAGAGGGCGAAGGTTGCCGCGTGTCTGGCAATGGCGGGTCAAATTTAGATCCCCCGCAGCGCGTCGGTAGCGCTCCGTCCAGTGGGCGCCCTTCCGCCACCGGTGGCGTGAGCGGGCAATGGGAGGGCGTAGAGGAGATGAACGCTGCGGTCTGCGTTGTCGCGCTATATGCAGGGCGTGCCCACAGTGTTAGAGAAACGGCTCGCAGGAGGAGATAAGCAACCACTTTGGAGATACCCTCTGAGCGATCCGTTTTTATAGCCACACACGAGGGAATGCAAATCTCCACATGCCCTGCTGTGCAGAAACGTTCGCTAAATGGCATTCAATTTAAATATAGTTTTTTACGAATAAGGAAGTTCGTCAAATAGAGTGAAAAACCACGTTAACAGGATTTTCTTTACCGAGTTCAAAGGTCAGTGATTTTACACGGCTCGCCATCAATGCTTCCAGTGAAATATAGGCCCTTACCGTACAAAGTCCTGTCACTGACTAATCCATGCAAAGGACACGGTATGTTTGTTCATTATGTAGATATTAAATGAATGATGTTCGCTTAGGCCAGGTAACGATCTGGCCAAAATTATGTAATTGGATCGTCCACTACCCGACACGGCCAAACAAATGTAATTGTCACGTGGCACACAAAGTGCTTTCACGATGCGCAAATTACTGGTGCTTCAGCTCACTCGCCGGTGAGATGAAGAGCAATTCTCACAACAAAATTTCACAATGTAGACATGTCAAGTTCGTTTGCAAATTATTATCTATAACTATCATTACCTATTTAGTTATTTATAAAAGTCCAACAAAAGCACACTTACCACGATGATCTTCCCCTTTTTTCCGACAGTGATTCCAGAATTTCGGAACCCAGATTCCACGGCCACCATGTGCTGTTGGAAGACAGAATGTATGTCACACGCACAAGACAAATATCCCCCGTGTAGCCTTGAACAGGCTGTTCGGGCAAGTGCTGTTAGCGAGTAACACCTATGAAGGCCGGCAAGGCACAAGAGGCCGTGGGTGGCCGGTAGCACCACACCCGGCAGCCTACATCTCCCGAGTGCTGCCACGTTGACCAATGAACGTGGAGAAAATACGTCAGAGGATCAGATGATATGCCTCCTTCCCATATCTGTCCCTCCACATAAAAATACGAAATTTTTGGTGAGTGGGTGAGTGAATGAGTGTGTTGTTGTGACCTGCAGCATGGCGAGTGAATGAGTGAGTTGTTCTTGTTGAACACAGTGTGAATGAGAGGAAATCATTGGTACCAGCAGCTGCGCTTCCTCCAGCCGCAGACAGTGGACGTGCAGCACAAACGGCTCGAACTTGAAGACGGCATCTCCGGTGGCTCTACGCAGACCCTCCACCTGCACAGGAAACGAGCGAGCGAGTGAGCGAGCGAGTGTGCGAAAATACAGGCGTGGTAGTGTAGTGGTTAGCGCACTGCACTACGCAGCCGGCAGCACGAGTTCTATATCTGCTCACAGCCAACATCGGTGACAAATATCTGAACTGCTCCTGGGCCTCCCCTATGTCAACTCGGGCCTTGAATTAGTACATGGCGCAGGTATGTAAGCATCAGTACTAGGGAGACAAAGGTGGCCAGGCATGGCACTGGCCAGCCACCTCCTTGCGTGCTGTGCTGGCCTTAATATGTGCTCGCTCACAACACCTGCCTCAACTGCCTGTTAAAGGCTATACGGGGAATCTTTGTTGTATAAATAATGAATAATTACGTGCACATACTGTATAGGACGTTCGCTTAAATATGTCAGCAACTCGGCGCACCTTCCACCGCATCCCATTTCATCCATTCCAATGCCCTGCTGCAACCTAGGCAAGGGGACCCCCCGGTGGCAGCTGTCCCTGTGTGGCGCTTGGTGTACACAGCACCGGCATGCTAAACGGGCATGAGCCTGGCAGCAGGGGGTGACTTTGCCGTGTGGGTTTTCCCCAATTAAGTCATTTTGCAACGTTTTGACCGTGATAGCGGCACACACACACCACCTACTTGTATTTTAGTGACGGTCCGTGTGACTGGACGGGGCGCTTTTGTATCGTTTCCGTGAAAATATAACACAGAACAGCTTTCTACCTGCCCAGCTCGCCCAGGTGTTTATGGCCTAAGGCCCAATGCCAAAAGCGAGTGATGCAATCAGGCCTGGGATATAAAGATGGGCTAATGGGGCTCGGTCAAGGTTATATTAAATGTGTTTATCAACAGAAATGCGATAACTTATTAAATAAATACAACGGTAGCCCTTTGTCAGATGGACCACACCACCGGTCCAACGCAAGTGTATGATTGACGCGGTTTTATTGGTCTCTATCGTGGCATGAAGGGGGCAAACGGGTGCAGAATATATTCTTACATCTGCGACATAGCATCGCGTGTGTGAGAATCGATTGATTCATCACATGCAATGATATGTTATATTTATGGTAATGTAGCGAACACCACCAAGACCAACAACATTGATTCACTCCTCTAACAATTACATTTTTACAATTCGTGTAATAAACAGAAAATCTGAATATTGAAAAACAGAAATGTTTTTGTTCGTTTGCCCAAATTTATAATATTCTCAGATCTGGAATTCAGCCTAATCAAGTCTGTCTATTAGTTAAATAGATTTGTCTATTAGTCTTTATGTGAGTGTATGCATCTCTATGTGAGTATATGGATCTCTATGGCAGTATATGGATCTCTAATCCTGGGTCCTGGACAGGAAACAGCTTAGGCTGCTGGAGCGTTTCCACCAGCGCTGCCTGCGTTTTTTCATGAACATCAGATGGCAGGACTATGTCACGAACAACATAGTCCTGGAGAGAGCTAAAGACACCCAGCATTGAATCCATCCTGCTGTTTCGTCAGCTACGCTGGTCTGGCCACGGCTCGCACGAGGACAACAGGATGCCCTAAGCAGTCCTCCACAGCGAGCTTGTCATAGGAGCGAGAGAGTAGTGGACCTCGCAGACGCGTCAAGGACCAGCTCAAACATCAACTGAGTGTTGCGGGTATCGACACCCGAACCTGGGAGCTCAGGGCTGCGGAAAAACACCACTGGGCGTTCCACAGCCAAAGAAGCGGCTAAAATGGCCGACCAAACGAGGCACAAAGTTTCAACAGAAAAACGGAAGTGCAGAAAGACTCCCACCACGGACACGTCCCCCGCACTCTGGCCCCGACTGGTCAGGAGGTCAAATGCACCAGCTGCCACGAAATGTGCAGGTCAAGGATCGGCCTGTACAGCCACCAGGGGCGCCTGCCAACTACACGGACCTCATATTCCTCCCCGATCTTCGCAAAAGAACCAGCTGACGACAACCAACCCGGCCAGCTCACACGTACGTGAAAAATCTCTATGAACCAATGAACCTCGTTTGCGCCCCTAGCGCCTGCAACCCTCGGCGTCATCGCGAGCCAGGTGTCAGTCTGTGGAGCCCCACGCACCAAGTCATCCAGCTGCAGGTCCTCGTGCGTCACCAGCAGCCACCGACAGCCCTGCTTCTGAACCACGTGGCCCCCGGTCTCCTGGCCGACACAAGCACAATGCCACCAACGACGCGGTTGAGTGGCGAGGGCCGCGGGGGGGGGGCGTGGCCTGGAGTCCACGAATCGTCCGTCTCCCATTCAAACTGGCCTTAGTCCTCGACTCGGGGAACATTGAAACACGGCAACTCGACCATGTCATCATTGCACAACCGCCTTCCACACACACCCCCTGAAACCCACCCACTCACCCTCCTCCCTCACCTTGGCCATCCCCTTACCTGCTCGCTCACCTACCCTCTTCCTCCCAATCTCCCATTGAAATGGTCTCTTACCTCTGCTCACCACCCTAACTCTCTCACCCCACTCAACCCCTCACCTGCCCTCTCCCCTCACCCTCCCCCCGTTCACATGCCCCCTCCTCTCTTTCCACTTCCACGCCTATCACCTGATGTTCTCCACCACCCCCACCACCTCACCAGTCACCCTCACCACACGCCACGGCTCCCTCCTCCCCCACCTTGTCCCCACCACTCACCCCCCTCACCTACAGTCACTTTTAACCCTGCCCCTCCTCAGCTGGTTTCTCCACTTGTTTTTATCTACCCCACCTCAAGCTCACTCCCTCACCTCATCTGGCCCTCTCCCCTCACCACCCCACTCACCTGGTCCCTCTCCCCTCACCACTCACTCACCTGGCCCTCTCCCCTCACCACTCCCTCACCTGGTCCCTCTCCCCTCACCACTCCCTCACCTGGCCCTCTCCCCTCACCACTCACTCACCTGGTCCCTCTCCCCTCACCACCTCACTCACCTGGCCCTCTCCCCTCACCACTCACTCACCTGGTCCCTCTCCCCTCACCACCTCACTCACCTGGCCCTCTCCCCTCACCTGGCCCTCTCCCCTCACCACTCACTCACCTGGTCCCTCTCCCCTCACCTGGCCCTCTCCCCTCACCACTCCCCTCACCACTCCCCTCACCTGGTCCTTCACCACGTCCCTCACCTGGTCCCTGAGCACGAGTCTCCCGGCGCAGGAGCTGGTGGAGCAGAGTCCCGGGGCGGCGTTGACGAGGCCCAGGAGGCCCGCGATGGCCGCGTCCACGTCGCCCTTCCGGCTGCCGTCCCGTCCCAGGAGACGTTGCTGCTTACGGCGCCCGAAGCAGGCCTCCTCCATCTCGCACGACGACTTCTACTCACAGATATTCGCCCTCAGGTCTGCTCGTTGTGTTTTTTTTTTAAAGGGCTACGAACGCGGCCTGAGCCAGAGGCTTGCGAGAAACACGCGCGGCAAGTGTAAACTTTTACCTTGCGGGTTAAAGTCTCGAGTGCGAGTTGAGGTAGATGTTCACGAAATCTTGGCTTTTTAAGCAGCCGTCTATAACTCAGTGGGTTGTTGCATCTGGTACTTGAAGTGTCATTTCCCCCCTTAGTTTTTGCTATTTAAAGCGGCGAGTTGAGGGGAATGTGAACATTTTATAAACATGAACACGGCTCCTGGCCTCAACTCCCATTCACACCGCCACTGTACTGACAACAGTGGTCCTCGTAACCAAGGTAACGTACAGAATAAGTCTCACGTTTAAAGTAAAAGACTACAGGCTGTGGTGACGATAAAGGCCTCAGTCAAAACCACCCCGGCCGTCAATGGTAAACATTGACCCCTAGTGGTGGCTGCTGGTGGTGGTGGCGGCACGCGATCTGGTGCTGCAATGCGGTTGTGGCCCGCTTGGTGGTGGTGCTGATCGTGTTGTGGCAGTGGCGATGCTGAGGTTCGTGGTGTGGTGGTTGTACTTTTGTGGTTATGATGGTGATGATGAATATTGGTAGCGATGACGAACGTGTCTGGTGTCGTGGCTGTGTGCTGATGTTGTGGTCGTGATGATGTGATCGTGTGGTGGTTTTGGTGATGTTTTGGCCATGATGGCAGTTAAGATCGTGTTTGGTGATGTGGTAGTTGTTGTGGTTAGCAATGATGGTGTTTTGGTGGTTGTGGTGTGGTGCTTTTAGTTGTGATGGTGGGTGTTGTGGACCCTGGTCACTGAATCTCTGGAACCCATTGACCCGGACCCTCTTGCCCATTTGACCCCTGACCCAGGACCCCAGACCAAGGACCCAGGACCCCAGGACCCTGAACCCTCTCTCCCCTCTGACCCCAGGGCCTCAGACCCCAGGTCTTAGTTATGGCGTTGATGGTGTTTTTGGATCTTTCATTCACCATCGTTTCATTGTATACCGTCCAATCATGCATAATTTAAAACAGCTCAAAATACAACACGCCAACAAAACAGCACTTATTGACATATTTATTGATTGAGGTCTTGCTCAAAGATAGCGTTTGTCTGCACATGTTTCTCTCCTTAAAGCACCATCTGGGTACGTTAGTCTTGAGACTTTTCTCATCTGACCTCCTCTCATAGGGAGAGGCGCTCACTAACCCAATAAATCACGAACCTTCAGCCACGAGACTTCAACTCCGCTCACAGCCACAGGCCTCAAGTGAGCCGCTCCAGACTCACCACTGTAACACAGCCAGTCGTCAGTCACCAGCATATGGGGACCAGCGTTTGCGACCAGGGTAATTCACATGGATGGTTGAGCACCTCTGTAGATTTGTGGCTTGTGTGTCACATGGAGGTCAGGCAGCTGTTGTGGGAAGAGTGCCCTTCTCGATTTGCCCCTCTTCACGGGTTGGAGGAGCTGCATTCCTTTGGAGAGGCTGAATCTCAGCGTCGTAAACTCGAAATCTTAAGGGCACAGAAAAGGACTTTGTTTAGCGATGGACCAACAGAGCAGATATTAGACGGTGCAATGACACGTCGATTAATCTAGATTCTCATGCTTACGGTACGTGCATCGAATTTTGTGTGAGAATATGTCATTATAGAACTATATCACAAATGTTTTGCAACTTGTTGTTAATGTAGGAAACAGAACTGTCTAAACTGGGCAGAAGTAAAATGGTCAAATGGCAAAAAAAAATCTAATTTGAATCAAGTCACGAACCCTAAGTGTGACAATTTGTCATATCACATGGGTTATTAATAGTTTCATGCCTACGACCTACACGTCACTGATTTTGATCGATAAATGATTTGGTGATGCTGCTGCAGCATTGCCAGTGGTCCACAAGCACATTTCACAACACTCAACTCATTTATCAATACCATTGTGTGTGGCTTTAAAAGGAAAAATATAAAAAAGCAATGTTCGGGCAATGGCCCTTCATAGCGCACAACTGTTGCATGTACAAATTATGTTCACGTGTTATAAAGCAGGGTTATTGGCGAATGTGTTTACTAGACCACCCCTCACTAGACTACGCACACAAGACCACCTTACAACAAGACCACCTACATCACCTTCACCAAACCAGTAAAGCAAGTGCGATGATGGCAACAACTGGTTAAGCCGGAGAGTTCACCGCCGCAACTGTGGAGCCGGGAAGCACTGTTCACCTGCACTGCAGATGACCAACCGGCCGGGGTGAGGCAGCCCCTCCTCGTGGCCTCCCTCGGGTCGTCCTCTTCGCTCCCAGGGGGCCAATCCCAGGTAGGTGCGCAGGGCCTTCTCGCTGCAGAACCTGGAGAGACGGATTAAGAGTTGACGACCGCCGGGCGATTCCTGTCGCGTTTACGATTTTTCAACGGGCGATTCCCACTTGAAGAAATTTCCGTTCACTTTTAAGATCAAGCTCAAGATGTCATAATCGCCAGAACCGTTGGTGCTACTCACTTAGCCAATGCTCTCTGCCCTCTGCCAGTTGCTGCAGCTGCGACCTCCAAGATCTGCCCTGACAGTGTCCCGCCATCTGGTCTTAGGCCTTCTCTTCCCCTTGGTCGTTGGACTCGTGGAGAACATACCGATGGCTTCTCGATAACTGGGCACTCCTGCATCCTGCACGCATCCTACCCAGCGCAGCCTTGTTTGCCTCATAATATGTGTTGGCGATTGTTGAAATCACCACCACAATCCCATTCATTTAAAAGGGGATATAAACAATCACCGTTTAAATGAATGTCTTTGAACGATTCTTAGGCTGTCAAAGAAACTCTATTCATTTCAATGGCAATTCCGGGGTTTCCGTTCATATAGACTGGCATCCCAGTCTGCAACGTGAGCAGAAGGTGGCAGTACAGCACGCCTGTGCGGATCTCTAGTGCGTAATGTCCCCTTGTATACGTAGACATTTCTGGATGCTCCGGTTTCCCCCCACACAAAGTAGACCACCTCTAACACTCGAATTCGTCAAATATTCCAATGCAGGATCTTCCTGAAAAGGTCCTGTGACTCAGCAAGGCTTTCCCTGGTAATTACGTTCAGATTCACCATAAATACCCTGTCCAGGGACTTTCTCGAGCTCCCTGTAGTGGAGGCCCTTTTAACAGCAGTCGCATGAGCATTCAATATGCTAGGCTGTATCTTAAATGTGTTATTACCAAAGGGCTAGTTGCCCAACATTGTGGAATAAACCGGGCCATGCTGCAAAAACAAACAAGTTCTGGCAAACGAACAATTGGAGGAACGTGGCAACAGCAGTGACGCCCTGACGACCACAGGCATGGGACTGACATGAGATGACACAAAGTCCGTCCACCGCCACAGGAATGCGAAATTTCCAGCACCAGCTCACGGCCACCAATGGAACGGAGCACCACCCCATTGCTCGTTTTCAGCGGATACAAAACAAAATCTGTCCATCGGAATTATTTTCTACGATTTCCTCAATCGACACGGGGTTTACTCTGGGCACTTGTGCAGTGGGTCCCCTACTTCCTCCAGTAGTAGATGAGGTTGGGCAGCAGGTGGACTACAGCTGGGAAGAAGAGGCCACGCTCCACGTGACCTAAACGCACGGCCTCCAGCACCTGCTCGCGTGGATGCTGTGACACGTTCACCTGTGTGTGTGTGGGGAGCGATGGTGCAGAGGTTAGCGCGCTGCGCTACGAACCCGACAACCCGAGTTCGATTCCTGCTCACGGCCAAAAACCATTGACGATTATTTGAACCGGTCCTGGGCCTCTCCTAGGTCGACTCAGCCTCAAATGAGTACCTGGTGTGGTGTGTAAACATTGCCACTGGGGAGACAAAGGCGGTCGGGCATGGTGCTGGCCACACATCCCCTCGTTTATCGTGCCGGCCTTCATAGGTGCTCACTAACAGCACTTACCCCAACAGTATGTTAAGGCTACACGGAGTATATTTGTCTTTGTGGACATGCAGCCGGACCGCATTTAGTGAGGGGTGGTACAAATGTTTGTCCAGGGATACAAAACGATTATTATTATTTAAGAAAAGTAGGAATATTTAATTTTGTTATTGTGCTCACGTGAACAATATCATTAACATTAATTGGAGTGCTTCCCTTCAGCGAGGGTTGGAGATTGTGTGTGTTACTGGGGAACGGTTACTGCTGAAGATATTCACGATGTGGATAATAAGTATTCATATTTTGACAATTGAGATGGCGACATATTACCACGAGAGGGCATCCATTGACATTTACGACAATCGTGATGATGATGAAACAATCCACGTTATTAAAATTGAAAATGAAGATCACTCCAATGATGATGATGAAGCGAGCGAGCCTTTTACACAGTTCCGACCACGTGGCAGATCTCCAAATCCTCCATTCATGGTTCTGCGGCTCCGCGTCCACCAATCGTCCTGTCACTGCGTCTTCCCCCTCTGCCCCCGATTCCCCCTCACCCTGCACGCAGGGAGGTCCTCCGAGTCGAGGAAGAGGCGGCTAACGACGGCCGCCTTCTCTCGAAGCCATGCTGCGTCCATGACCGTGCCCATCCCGGCCGCTGCTGCCTCGGCACTGCTATCCACCAAGGCCTTGAACCTACGCGGTGGGGAATAGAAGAATAGGTCCGCTGAAGGAGAATGGTCAGAGCTGAGCTGACGCGCTGTCAAAATAAATGTTTTGTATGTGGAGAGACAAACATGGGAAGGCAACCACATCTCAAGACCGACGATGACGACGATGCTGAAGGTCACGCGGGTAAAGATGACGATGATGATGCTGATAACGACGTCAAGGTGCACGCAGGACACACCTCTCGACCTCTTGGAAAAACGCAAAGTCTTCCATGAGAAAGTTGACGACGATCTTCTGGTCATTCACCGTTCTCCTCGTGGTGAGCAGCTGCTCCGACGCTGGCGTCGTTGAGGTGCGGCTGACGGGGGCCGAGCGGCTATCGGTTCGAGAGGTGGTTTCATGGGGGGCCCCTCCCGCCAGCGGGGGGTGCCAGCCACCAGCACGGGGGTGCGCGCTGCGAGCGGTGGTGCCTCCTGTCCCCCCACCCCCCGACCCACACGTGAATAACTGAACATCACATAGAGAAGGACTGCTATTTGTGTTTTGTTGTTCTTCCCCCCGCACCTCCGATTATCACGGTTGGCGAAGTACGGTGTGCAGGTCATGTCAAGGTCACGATAAAAATAAAGATCAATAAATACATCGTGGTTTTTACGTTTGTTTTAATGCACTGCACCAGCATGGCTCGGATGTGCCAGTGGAAAATGGGCATTAGACACGGTGCCTCGTGTAGCGTGGAAGCTCGCTGTACCCGTGGCGGCCCTCTCCAACGCCTCCTCTCGTCGCAACTGCGCTCCCAGGAACGCGGCGAGGTCCCGCCGGGTGCCGGGCTCCCTCAGCGCCGCCAGGAGGCCCGCCACGCTCCGCACCAGCTGGCGCAGGGCAACGCGGGCAACGCTCTGCACGGCGAGGGGGTGGGGGCAGAGTCGGGGGGAGGGAGGGGGGGTCGGACAGAGGGGCACGGAGGACACGAGCACTGTGGTGATGTGTCGAATTGGGGCCGGCAGGTCACACCGACTCGCTCGTATGCCCACACACTCGCTTCAAAGGGGAGCTTGCAGGTCAAAAGTCAACGTGCGAACGTGGATCTGCTTCTAATGATGTGGGCACTGCAGTGAAACCCATAACATGGAGCAACTATTGGTCTGAGCCATACACGATAGAGAACTTTACCAGGGCGAGAGACGGGGCCATTTGATGAGTTCGATACTTGTACTGGATAAACCTATGACTGTGGTGGTAGGACACAATAAAAATACTGGCAGTTGTGTGTGTGTGTGTAGAGTTATTCAATTCTTCCGTGCCTTTTTGGGGATGGCCCCTGGCTGCGCAACGGTTGATGACCTTTCAGGGAAGCTGTCGAGATAAATCTTGAACCTGAAATAGCCACATACAGGTGCATCATCGTCAACATCGTCATCGTCGGTCATGATCGGTCCTTTGCTTCGTGAAGGCCTTCTCAAGTGATGAAAGCCTCTTTATTTCCCACGGTCTCGCAATGCAATAATCCACCTATCATCTACATGCGAGCCAACGTCGTTGCTCTTTCTGTACGACAGACGATCTCTGATCTCCAGTACTTCTAGTCCCTGGTACCAATTGCCTCTCCAGTACTTCCTGTCTCAACGATCCCCTTTCTCCCCTAGGCCACTTCTACCCTTGAACCACGAGACTGTTATCATCCAGGTCCTCCACCCTGCTAAGTCCTCAGTACCATCGTCACTAGTACCACTGGGCTCCAAGACCCCGTTTTTCCCAGACCCCTGTGATCACAGGTTCCCAATCTCCTTGATCCCCTGTATCACTCGTGTCGGGTATCCCTGACCTTCTAAGCCCCTAATTGCTCAGATTCCATGTCCCATGCCCCCCAGGTCCTCTATATCCCAGGTCCTCTGCACTCACCACGTCTCCTCCATGACGCGGTACACTTGGGTCTGTGCCGTGGCGATCATAGCTGGCGTCACGACCTGCTCTGCCTGGATCTCCAACATGATGGGGGCCTTGCACTGCAGTAGGGCGGCTAGGGCCCCCCCACAAAGGGGGAGGGGTGGGGAAGGTCGGGAAAAAAGAGGGAGGGGCAGGAGGCGGGCACAGTTATGCAATATAAACTATGAAGAAAAAACATGCATATGCATGGATTCAGTATCACTTTGCAAACACGCGTTATGGGCTCGGAAGTATTTTATTAAAGCAGCGCGTGGCCAGTGTCACCACCGTCCGCACACTCGACAGCCACTGGGAACTATGCACTGTTAAATCTCGATTAAAAACTCATTTCTTTATAACTGCTTTTTGCGTTCAGTTTGTTGTCTTCCCCCCCACCGCACCTCCGATTAGCGCGGTTGGCTACGTACGGTGCGAACGAAGTTCATCGTATGTGCGCACGCACGCGCTGCCGGCCTCACCTGGGTCGAGTCCCTTGTGGAAGTAGCGCGCGTGGATGAACGCCGTCGTGGCGCGCACCTCGTGGAGGCCTCGCGCCAGGCGGAGCCGCTCGGCCTCGCGCCAGAACCCCACGGCCGCGTCGGCGCCGCGGCCTCGCGCCAGCAGCGCCACGAAGGGCTCGTGGCCCGCGTCGCCCAGGGCCTCGCGCAAGCTCCTGCGTGTGCGGAGGGGGGCGGGAGCGGCGGTCACGCTCCGCGATGGAGCGATTCGGCATCGCGGCACGAGACGAGGGGATCCCGAGGTAGCTCTGCTCTCTAACGTAGCTCCGCTCCGCTCCCTAACGTGTGTGCTGGAGTGACCACTGGCCCACACGTTAGGGAGCAGTACTGCTTATTTTCGACCTACTCTGGCGCTGAGTGTAGTTCTTGTCGCATGACGGTCTAACCGATGTTGTTAATGATCACAGCTGAAATCTAGCCGGATTAAGTACAGAACCACATTGAGTATGAGAGGGTTTTTTTTGTCGTCAAGCCATTGGCGACCGGGCTTAGATCATCAACTCACTACGATTTGATCGCAGGTGGCTGACACCTGGATTTGAACCCAGGATCTCAGCGCTCTGACCTCTGAGCCACACGGCCCGGAAGTCTTGGTCGACGTTAAATGCAGTCGAACCCCACATATCGGTGACGACGGCTGTACCATGCTGGGCGTGAAACGAGTGCCGTGTTGGTTGGTCGTACGTGCACCGTGTCCATGGCAGGGAGTGTGCCGTGTCGATGGCAGGGAGTGTGCCGTGTCCATGGCAAGGAGTGCGCAGTGTCCATGGCAGAGAGTGTGCCGTGTCCATGGCAGGGAGTGTGCCGTGTCCATGGCAGGGAGTGTGCCGTGTCCATGGCAAGGAGTGTGCCGTGTCCATGGCAGGCAGTGTGCAGTGTCCATGGCAAGGAGTGCGCAGTGTCCATGGCTGGGAGTGTGCCGTGTCCTTGGCAGGGAGTGTGCCGTGTCCATGGCAGGCAGTGTGCAGTGTCCATGGCAGGGAGTGTGCCGTGTCCATGGCAGGGAGTGTGCCGTGTCCATGGCAGGCAGTGTGCAGTGTCCATGGCAGGGAGTGTGCCGTGTCCATGGCAGGCAGTGTTCCGTGTCCATGGCAGGGAGTGTGCAGTGTCCATGGCAGGGAGTGCGCAGTGTCCATGGCAGGGAGTGTGCCGTGTCCATGGCAGGGAGTGTGCAGTGTCCGTGGCAGGGAGTGTGCAGTGTCCGTGGCAGGGAGTGTGCCGTGTCCATGGCAGAGAGTGTGCAGTGTCCATGGCAGGGAGTGTGCCGTGTCCATGGCAGGGAGTGTGCCGTGTCCATGGCAGGGAGTGTGCCGTGTCCATGGCAGGGAGTGTGCCGTGTCCATGGCAGGGAGTGTGCCGTGTCCATGGCAGGGAGTGTGCTGTGTCCATGGCAGGGAGTGTGCCGTGTCCATGGCAGGGAGTGTGCAGTGTCCGTGGCAGGGAGTGTGCAGTGTCCGTGGCAGGGAGTGTGCCGTGTCCATGGCAGGGAGTGTGCAGTGTCCATGGCAGGGAGTGTGCCGTGTCCATGGCAGGGAGTGTGCCGTGTCCATGGCAGGGAGTGTGCCGTGTCCATGGCAGGGAGTGTGCCGTGTCCATGGCAGGGAGTGTGCCGTGTCCATGGCAGGGAGTGTGCTGTGTCCATGGCAGGGAGTGTGCCGTGTCCATGGCAGGGAGTGTGCCGTGTCCATGGCAGGGAGTGTGCCGTGTCCATGGCAGGGAGTGTGCCGTGTCCATGGCAGGGAGTGTGCCGTGTCCATGGCAGGGAGTGTGCCGCGTGGTGGGGCGCCTCACCGAGGTGGCGCCAGGGGCCTGCGCAGGAGGCGGCCTCTGTGCTGCAGCACGCGCGGCACCAGCCTCCGGGCCAACTGCATCGGGGATGGCGACGCTGAAGCGGTCCCCCTCGCGTCTTCTGCGTGTGTGTTGTGCGTGAGTGCGTGCGTGTTGTGAGTGTGTGCGTGCGTGCGTGTTGTGCGTGAGTGCGTGCGTGTTGTGCGTGAGTGCGTGCGTGTGCACGAGTATTGTCGGGGAGCGGTAGTGCAGCGGTTAGTGCACGGTTAGCTACGTACGGTGCAAAAGAAGTTCAACATACATTTGTGCTATGAGCCCGGCGACCCGAGTTTCCTTCCCGCTCGTGGCCAATAAAAGTGGCGAATATATGAATTGTTCCTGGGACTCCTCTCGATCGACTCAGCCTTAAATGGGTACCTGGTGCGATGTTTAAGCATCAGCACGTGGTGGATAAAGGTGGCTGGGCGTGGTGCCATCCACACCACCTTGCACACTTTGTCGCCTTTATAAGTTATTGCTCAGAGCACTTGCCACAACAGCCTACACCGGGTGTCTTTATCTTTGGATTGTGCGAGGAGCTCAGATCTCTTAACACAGCCCTTGTAGTTTTAAACTAAACAATTTGAAGCACTTATTTTTTATTTTACTGGATAAGGCCCACGGAGCTATATAGATTTTTTTCAGAAGCGACCCTACAACAAATGATGGCTCAACGAAGTGGCTTATCATCGTGTGTAAATGTGTAGCAGCCAAACACTCTAAGCGCGTGTTTCTAAACGTGGAGGGAAATACCGGAGGACCCGGAGAAAAATCCACGCGACCACGGTGATAGAGAACACGCAAACTCCAAATATACAGCTGAATATCAGTGTCGGGATCGAACCCACGACCTCCTGTATACCAGGCGAGGTAGTTAACATTTCGGCACCCCGCGGCGCCCCGTAAGGGACGTCCCGCTGAAGTGTTCTGCGCGTCTCGGACGCGTCTCGGACGCGTCTCGCTGTACCCTCTGTGGCGGTCCACTTGCTGTAGTACAGCTGGAAGTTGTCGCTCAGCATGCGCACGGCGAGTCTTGGACATCTTCTCACAGTCTCCTCGAAAGACCACGCACAACCCCCTGCGCTCGCCGCGGAGGGAAGAGGGGGTAACTACAGCGGTGGGTTTCTCATCCCAGACAAAGAACCTCCTAATGGAGTCCACATCTCCACACGTTATGGGGGTCATGCTGACCTTTCACGTAATTCAGTTCTGAGCATTAAAACTGATTAGTCCGATTTTTTCCAATTAATGTACGACAAATTTTCTTTGCTGGGGCATTATATTTGGCTGATGACACCTTAATATATAGAGGATTGCAGAGCTTGGGCGATTGTTGGTGCCGGCTTATCGTGTAGCCGCCTTCCCGCTTGTCTGTAGTTCCTCCTCGTGCCTCTGAGTGAGCAAATACTGTGCGTCGGTGGTGTGTTAAAAGTTTATAACATTATTATTATTATTAAATGGTGTGCCTCGAGTGTGAATAAAAAGGTCTGTTTTGAACCGATTTCAGAATTAGTTCTGTGACACAGCGTGACGCACTGTCGTCTGCAGAGTTCGAAATGGGTTGTATTCGTCTTTTTGACATTTTGCAATCTAAGGTTGAAAGCATCAATGCCTTCTCTCTGGTCTGCTGGGCGGATACGGTAACGCTCGTCAACACAATCCAGTATTTTAAGCAACATTTTAGTATCGAGCTGTGTTCCTATTGGGGACTGACAATGGAGAAAAGTGGCCAAATTGATGAAGTGGTTACCCCAAAACGTGGCAATGAAAACCAGCTAGTGCCCTACGAATGATCTCTCAGCCGGCTAGAGCGATGACGTCATCGCGCGACGTCACAACGCGCCACGTGCGCCGTGCGACGTCGTCTCGTTGTGCCGCTTGGAGCGCCCGCCATCGTCATTGCTGCCAATTAAATAACTCCGAGGACAAACGCGCGCACGTGTCGGGAATACTTGCTGCGTGTGTCCGCCTGTACATTCTGGAAAATGAGACAGAAAATGGGAAAAGAGTGGATTTTTAAGAAATAATTGAATTAACCGGAATGACTCCCCTGATGGTGGTGACCCTTTACCGTCATCCCCTTCTCTTGGGGGGAGTTCAGCCGCCCCCTCCGCTCTCCCCATCCGGTGCCAGGGATCTCCCTCCCAGCTGCCCGCGTCCGGCTCCTCGCTCACCGGGCCCGAGAAGGTCCAGGCAAGGCCCTCGGCCTCCGACGCACGCCGTCGCCACTCGTCCTCCGGGCTGGGATCAGCCGCCTCCGTGACCTCTCGTGGGGTACAGGGGTCACACTTGACCTTTGCCTGAGGAACAAAGCAGCACGGAGCAAGCCGCATAAGTCGGGTGGCCACCTGTATCTGGGCTTCTCCCAGGGATCATCCACTTTGTGATCAGGTAGCTGTCCGGTGAAGCAATGCTCATCTCACCGCTGTCTTCACAAACAGCGCGATGTCTCGGTCCACAAATTCGGCCAATGCCGGCCCCAGCTCCTGAAAACGTTCAAATGGACACGTCATCGCAGGCACCGAAAACGCCAGGAGACCAGCTGTCATCAAGCTCGGTGGCCTAGAAAGAGCCTGGGTTACTCACGGGTGGCTGAGACCTGGAGTCTAACCCATGGGCCCAGTGGTGGCAGCTCAGCACTCTGACCCCTGAGTCACCTGGCCACCTCCTCCCTTACTACATGCATTCATGACACACAAAGTGCTTGCCGCAAATGAACCACAATATGTTGCTGATGTCGTCAAAGAGCATAAACCATCACGTGAACTGTAGTCATCCTCGCAGCGGCTGTTGTCTAGCCATCGAACAAAGACGGTCACCGCATCGCACGCTTCCAGGTGCGCTTCTGCGGCCGTCTGGAATGCTATTCGGATATTTAGGAAGCCACTGGAGCTATGCATTATCAAATCATCTAAATTGAAAACGAATTTTTTTAGAACTGATTTTTGTGTTCAGTTTGTTGTCCTTCCACAGCACCTCCGATTAGCACGGTTGACTACGTACGGTGCGGACAAAGTTCAACATACATCCATACATACACCGGGGTGCCAATTACAATCGTGACGGTGTAATTGATACTGAATTGCAAGAGTGACGTGATTGTAATTTCAGCAGATAATTCCGCTGCTGCGATTGCAACTACAGTTAACCCCACATCCGTCCACCACCCAACCCCCAGAGTCACCTGACCCACGCGTCTCTGCGCGTCCGCGAGTCGGAGCGACACGGCCGCCCCCAGCGTCGCTCCGAGCAGCGAGGAGAGGAGACGTCGGGGTGGAGACACGACGGACGCCTCTCCCGCCAGGGCCGGACCAAGCGTGTGGGGCGGAACGGCGGGTGGCGGCGGCGGTGGCGACGCGACCCCGACCTGACCCCGGGTCAGGGTGACCCCGCACGCGAGCCCAGACCTCCAGACACGCTCGGCGGCCTGCGAGAGCAGCTCGTGAAGGGAGGGGTCGCAGCCAGGATCCTGCGGGTCGGATGAACGGCGACGCGAGCTCAGAGCAGGTCAGAGTGCGGTGTGCTCGTCACGACAACTGACCACTGCCCAGTGCACGATCACGCGGGAGGTACGGACGCTGCGTGTCAAGCAACTCCCGGTGCCATCGAACGGATGGCCAGACTGGACACACGGCGATCACGGCTGTCGCCTGCTCTTCAAATGCCATCCGAGATAAGAGAGCGAGAGAGAGGGAACATTTGTCGAAATGCTTGTGGGCAGGCACTCGTCACCTATAATTCGGTCAGAGAGAGTGGTGGGAATTCCACGTTCCCACGGCAGGTACAAGTCAATTCGTAGGGCAACCACAATAGCCGCTATGACCGTCCTTTGATCTGAAACAGGCTCAAGGAAGGGCCATCGTCCAAAACGTGAGCCTGTTGTTTTTTATTTTCTGCTATCAGACTGTGTGACTTACTGAATTGCTGACGTTAATTTGGTAGGCGAGGTCCTGGGTTGGCACTGTGATCCGCCTTTAGTAACCAGGCAGGACAAACTCCTGGACAGCTGTCAGAGCTTCGTCGCTCATCGGATTCCTCCAGTCTAAATCAAGATTCCGATTCTGATACCAAACATATACTGCGCAAATACACTTGGCTATAATTGTAGGTACCGTATGTGGAGCCTTATTTTAAACCGTACGTAGTCAACCGTGCCCGTCGGAGGCGCGGATTGTTAAAACGTTACCAACAGCGGGCAATGCCGCATTTCTGAACGCGTTATTTATCTTCACACAGACAGCACAGAGAGACGCGACGGCGGGACATGACGACGGGGCACGTACACGCGTGGCAAGGCGCGCGAACCCCTCCGCCTCCTGCCAGAAGAGAAGCCGCGGGGGCTCTCCGTGGCCCCGCGCCTCCAGAAACGCCAGGAGGGGACCCCCTGCAAAGTGGTCGCAGGCCAGGGCGGATCGTAGGGCTTCCGTTTCGGGGGGCTGGCCCCCCATCTCAGGACGTAGGATCTCCCATCCTATCCGTCTGGCCGCTGGAGAGGGGTCCGGCCATCGGCGAGGTCCTCCCGACCTCCAGGGGTTCGATCCGTGCCGCTTGGACCCCCTTGCTGTGTTAGACGTCCTCATCGCCTCACCCCAGGAAAAGCGACAACCGCCGTCGCGCAGTCCCTTCGGTGAGTTTGGGTGGTCGTAGTCGTAGGCACGGTAGTTGCCGAGGTCCTTGCAGCTTTGGTGTTGGTAGTGGTGGCCGTGGTGGCCGTGGTGGCAGTCGTGGTGGTGGTGAACGCACGACGGAGGCCGATCAGCTGCAGTCGAGGACGACCCGCGATCATCGTGACCCCGGCTTCCAGGGGTCGCCGCGTCATCGCCACCGTCGCCGTCGACCGAGCCGGGAGCGAGGCTCGCGCGCCACTCCCGTCGCCACCGCTCGTGGCGGAGCAGCCGCGGCACCCAGTAGCCACGCAGCTGCGCCAGCGCTTCGCCCTGCGCCGCCCGCAGCAGCCGGGCGCGGTCGCGCGGCGCTGTTGAGGAAACGCAGCGACACGCTGAGTCGGCGACGTCGAGCGGAGGGCTCGGACTGCTGCTGCTGCTGCTGTTGGGGGGTTGAGGGCCACCGCTACGCACAAGACTACGGCTACCGCTGGGGTTACCGCTGGAGCTACCGCTGGGGTTACCGCTGGAGCTACCGCTGGGGTTACCGCTGGAGCTACCGCTGGAGCTAGTGCTGGAACTACCGCTGGAGCTAGTGCTGGAACTACCGCTGGAGCTAGTGCTGGAACTACCGCTGGGGCTAGTGATGGTGCTAGTGCTGGAACTACTGCTGGGGCTAGTGCTGGGGCTACCGCTGGAGCTAGTGCTGGAACTACTGCTGGAGCTAGTTCTGGAGCTAGTGCTGGAGCTAGTGCTGGAACTACGCTGGGCTAGTGCTGGGGCTACCGCTGGAGCTAGTGCTGGAACTACTGCTGGAGCTAGTTCTGGAGCTAGTGCTGGAGCTAGTGCTGGAGCTGGTGCTGGAGCTAGTGCTGGAGCTACCGCTGGAGCTAGTGATGGTGCTAGTGCTGGAACTACTGCTGGGACTAGTGCTGGGGCTACCGCTAGAGCTAGTGCTGGAACTACTGCTGGAGCTAGTGCTGGAGCTAGTGCTGGAGCTACTGCTGGGGCTACCGCTGGAGCTAGTGCTGGAGCTACTGCTGGAGCTAGTGCTGGAGCTAGTGCTGGAACTACTGCTGGAGCTACCGCTGGAGCTAGTGCTGGAGCTAGTGCTGGAACTACTGCTGGAGCTACCGCTGGAGCTAGTGCTGGAGCTAGTGCTGGAACTACCGTTGGAGCTAGTGCTGGAGCTACTCCTGGAGCTAGTGCTGGAGCGACGTCTACCGTCCATGCTCATACTCGAGTCAGCGAGAGGACTATCACTAGCATGACCGATAGTGTTGGGGTTAGCGTCATAGCTAAGTCTATGGCTAAAGTACAACACCTAAAGCGACTGCTGTAGGGATATAGGCTTCAATGATTTGAGATTGTTACAGACCGGCGTACGTGCTACTCTCGTGGTAGTGCCTTATGCTGACAATCCCGATTCCAAGTTGGCCTCGTGGCGTTCGGGAAAATATCAAGCGAGCGAAAAATCGCACCCTGGCTGGGACTACAGGTGTATAGCTAGTACTACTGCTCGTGCTAGGGCTACTATTAGTACGACTTCTGTAGCTATGGCGCTGGGGCTAGAACTATGACTGTGGACCTCTGGCTAGCACTGCTGCTCTGGGCTACTGCACGTGCGAGGGCAACTCTTAATATCACTACTGCGAGGATTAAGGGGCCGTCCATAAATGACGTCACGCGATTTTGGACGTTTAACCCTCCCCCCTCGTCACACGGCGTCACAAAAAGTCAGACTCCCCCTGAAATATGACGTCACAAAGCTCTGCCCCCCCCAAAACCATATTTCTATTTTGAAAAAAAAACATGCTTCAAATCGCTTTAAACTATTGCCATTGTAGTGCGTATTTAATGTGGCGCTGCACTCTGATGTTGTAGGAGAAACATTTATTAAAACGTCTAATTAAATAGAACGTGTTGTCTATATTTATTTAAAGTTGCGCATTTTAATGTGACGTCACATTCCTCAAACCCCCCCCTCGTCACTCATCGTCACAAATATCTGACCCCCCCCCCCGCCCCCCTAGGTGCGTGACGTCATGTATGGACGGCCCCTAAGAGTCGCAGTAGGATCGGGCCCGGAGCGATGGTGCCTGGCCTCTGGCTGCTACTTCTGCCGCTCGTGCCAGCGCGCGTGCGTGTCCGCCCCTACCCGTGTCCGCCCCTACCCGTGTGCGCCCCTACCCGTGTGCGCCCCTACCCGTGTGCGCCCCTACCCGTGTCCGCCCCTACCCGTGTCCGCCCCTACCCGTGCCGCTGGGCCCGGGCACGCAGCTTCGCAGCACGGACGACGGCTCCCGGAGGTGTCGCGCCGCCAGGGCCCTCAGGAGGCGGTGGTAGCGGGGACCCCGCGACCCCTCGGCCTCCTCCGCCCGGCGCAGCCTCTCCACCACCGCCCAGAACTCCAGCATCTCTCCTCCTGCACACGCGGTGGGAGTAGCTCGGGCTCAGGGCTGGAGGAGACTGGTGGAAGGGTGACGCGTCCTCAATGCAGGGTCTCAGGTCTTCAACGCATGTTTCATTTCGGCTGGAGCTGTCCAGGGCTGAATTCCAGAAAGTTCGTCGACGCCCTGCCCGTCAGGATGGTCGGGTCCAGGGCGTCGGGAGATGTATCCCTGATCGTCGTCGTCATCATGATGATGATGACGACGATGTAGTAAGGGTCCCAGGTGGGTGCAGGTGAGGGTGGAGGTACTGTTGGAGGTGAAGGTGGTGGTGGAGGTGAGCGTGGAAGTGAAAGTGCAGGTGAGGGTAGGTAGAGGTGAGGGCGGAGTTGAGGCTGTGAGGTCAAGGGGTGAGGCGAGCGTGGAGGCGAGCGTGGAGGTGAGGATCTCTGTACCCTGCGTGTGCCTCAGGTGAGCCCGCAGGTGAGCCATGCCCCGCGGGCTGCCCACGCACGAGTGGAGGCGACTGCGTTCCGCCTTCACCTCTGTGGGGTCTATGGCGACAGACAAAGACAAAGATCCCCCGTGTAGCTTCAACAAACTGTTGGGGCGAGTGCTGTTCACGAGTAGCAACTACGAAGGTAGGCACGGCACGGGAGGGGGTGGGTGGCCAGCACCACGACCGGCCGCCTTTGTCTCCCCAGTGCTGATGTGTTACACACCGCACGAGGTACTCATATAAGGTTGAGTCAACATAGGGGAGGCCCACGACGGGTTCAAATATTCACCACTTTTGTCGGTCGTGAGCAGGAATCGGACTTGGGTCACTGGGTTCATAGCGCAGTACAAACAGAAACGCATACACTTACACACAGAAAAAATAAGAATATATTTTACCATTTCTGGCAATAAAACAGATGTTAATATGCTCAAATATCAAAAAGATATGTTTCACAAGGCATCAAGTCTGCATTAACCGCACGTACTTGTGGCTAAACGTGCAAACAAGCATGCCCTGATAATATATGCATTGTCTTTGCAACTGATTGGCTTACACCAGAGACAGCTTTCTTTACGGCCTTGTCTCACCGCCAGTGTTAGATCAGAGAACCTCAAAAGGCGAACAGTACAAAGACAATGCAAGTAACAGATAATTTGTAGCTCGAGTTGAGCAGTTATATCTATGGCACCTTTTTGCCTGTATCAAAATGATGACAAAACAGACCCTCCGTTTCGTCTTGAGCAGACTGTTGAGGGCAAGCGCTCCCGACCACTCCACTCCACCCACGCACAGACACGCATGCGCGCACACACGCTCGCCCTGGCCCTGATGCGAACCAGTCCCCCGCGGCTCACCGGCGGTGTAGGCGAGCGGAGCCGCCAGTATCTCCTTGCACAGCGCCATCTCCACGCTGAGCTCCGAGCGCACGAACAGGGGAAGTCGCTCTCGCTGCAGCCACCGCTGCAGCCCGGCGGCGCTCAGCTCCTGGGGTCGCGGTAGAAATCCGCGGAAATGTTTTCCCGACAGGGTCGATTATTTTCACGAATATTTTTTTTACAGTTTTATTTTTTATTTTACTAGGTAAGCCCCACTGAGCTACAATGTAGATGTCTTTCAGAAGCGACCTGGCGATCGCAAACGATAGCTCAACCAAGTGGCTTATCGTCACGTGGGAAATTTATAGCAGCCGGATGCTCTAAAGGCGTGGTGTTAATTCTACACGTGAAGGGAAAAACTGGAGGACCCGGAGAAAAATCCACGAGGCCACGGGGAGAGAAAGACACGCAAACTTGACTTAAAGCTTTCGTGACTGCAGGAATTCATATTCTTGGGTCTTTCGGTAAAGTCACGTAGATAGGTTCAAAGAAAATAAAAAAAATAACAAAAAACTACGACGTTTCGATCGCAACACACGCAATCGTCATCAGGAGATTGCTTGTGTTGCGATTGTAAAAACATCAGCGCTGGGGAGACAAAGGCGGCTGGGCATGCATGGTGCTGGCACGCCCCTCGTGTGCCGGCCGTGCTTCATAGCAGCTCGCTCTTAGCACTTGCCCCAATAATCTGAGCAGTCTATACGGGGGACCTTTGTCTCTGTGTTAGTGTGTTAATGTGTATGTCACCAGGTGAGATGGCAGCTTGGGCTGGAACACCCAGGTGCGTTCTCCCGGCAGGTAAAACGCCCTCTGCCCAAACACCTGCATTGCAGAGAACGCACATGGAGGAGTGAGCAGGCAGTGCACAGGGGCCCTGCCTCTTCGTCATCATTCAGTCTGCCTGCCTGGGTCGCTGTCCATCTGTCCTTCCCCACATTTGTCTGATGTTACGTGCTGCATGTCTGTCCGTGTGTCTGTCTGTCTGTCTGTGGTGTCTGTCTTGACGATTATCTGAACCGGTCCTGCGCCTCCCCGAGGTCTACTCAGCCTCAAATGAGTACTTGGTGCGGTGTATAAACATCGCCACTGGGGAGACAAAGGTGGCCGGGAAAGGTGCTGGCCACCCACCTCCTCGTGTGCCGTTCTCTCCTTCATAGGCGCTCGCTAGCAGCACTTGCCCCAACAGTCTGTTAAGGCTACACGGGAGATCTTTGTCTTTGGTGTCTGTCCTGCTATAACTGTCAGATTTGCTTACTACTTTCCCTTTCAAGTTCATCTCTTTCCTTTCTGAAAATCAACTCATCGTCATCTTAAGCCATGGCCTATCTACTGCTGGATGAAGGCCGTCACCATCCCTCAGGGGGCCACGGTCCTCACTGTCGCACGCATCGACGATCACAAATCCGCGCGTCGCTTCGTGTCCTCACCGAGACACCGGTGCTCATCCCGGTACGAAACAGATGCCTCGTCAAGGGAACGTGGAATTTCAACCGACGACTGACCAAACTGAGACCGGTTCGGCTTCCCTGAGTCTGCGGACTCGGTGACCTTGGATAATGAGTCGACGAAACATTAACCGAATGTGGGTTAAATTGTAACAAAGTCCGCCGCTGTTCGTGTTGCAGCACGCACACGCGAGCCCGCCGCGACAAGTCGGCCGAAATGTTTCATAAACAGCTCCGTGCAGCGTTCCCCAGTTGTATTAAAGTTGCACACCTAGACTCCGACTGTACACATGCAGCATTGTTACAGCGCACATTTGCAAACTCGGCTCTGGGCTGAACAATACCCGTACCCGTCGCAGGACGCCTATGAAATATCCCGTGTCTGAGAATGGCGTCTGGAAGTAGACATTGCAGAACTACTTCGGGGGTCCCTTCAATTGCCTCGTATCCACATTCCGTGGCGTCAGCGTGTCTCGTGAGAACAATGCCGCAAGGCAAAACAACGTTTTAGACCTCATAGCTGGAAGCGAGACAACTTGTGATGCGATTTGTTGTTGGAGGCAGTCATTGGTGACGAGGCTGACACCGTCAACTCTCTGCACTTGAGAGGGCGATTTTAATCACGGGCGGCTGATACCTGGATTCGAACCCAGGTTCTCAGCGTTGCGGCCCCAGTAGTGGTATCCCTGACACGGCCATTATTACCTCCTCCTACCCCCTCCCCCCGCACGAAGACACGTTCAGTTGTCTTGGTGTGGGCTCACACTCACCGGGAGGTTGAGAAATATGTTGAAAAATTCCACAAATATCTCATCTTCCAACAGAGCGGCCAGGGATGTGCGTTCTGCAATAACAAAACAACAATAATCATTAACTGTGCTCCTACACCTTATGGATATACTTGCACCTGTCACCCGAATGTGGAATTTCCACCACTGGATAAGAAAAGCCAACAAAGATTAATACTAGCAGGAGAGGGCGATTTCGCTGCTGCTCTGTGATCCTAATTCAGCAATTTCCAGGTATAGGTTTTCAGCATTGGAATGTTTGGTTCAATGCCAGCTCCACTGTGTGGGTTTAGCTGCGGGGAAGAACAATTCTGATAGCCCGTAGAAAACCGCTGCAGAACAGGCGGTGGAGCATATGAACGCCACAGAGAAAGCTTCCCAAGTCGGGAATCGAACCCATGGGCGTCTTGCTGCGAGTTGTAATTTCTCCCAATTATTTTCGCGGGGTATCTGTACATGTGTAGAGGACTATCTCAACACATGGATAACGTTGTAAAGTGAACGGGAATTTGTGCTCGGTAACATAACTCCTCGATTAAATATAGTACAAAGAGGAATTCGCTCTTTGCGTTAACGCGTCGATGCCCCTCCACGCCAACATGTGGGCGTCGCGGTGGCAGAGATGTTGACTCCCTCGCCTGGTACGCGGGAGGTCGTGGGTTCGACCCCGACCTTGGCGCCTGCTGCTGCTGTATATTTGGTGTTTGCGTGTTCCTCTTCCCGTAGAATCAACATTGCGCGTGGAGAGTGATTGGCTGTTGCTATACATTTCCACATGACAATAATCCACTTCGTGCGATCGCCAGGACGCTTCTGAAAGAGAGCTGTATACCTCAGTGGGCCTGACCTGCTAAAATAAAAAAAAAACGCTTTAAATATTGAAAATAAAAAAAAGTGTTACAGCACCACCGGTTACCCAACCGTCGCATGGCCCGAGCCGCAGCAACTGAGCCGTGCTCGAGTCGCCTAGCAACCATCAGTCAGTGTCCGGCTCCGATATCGACCCCCCAGCTCCCATCTGAGCCCCACACCGCAGCGCGCCTGGGTTCAACCCGTGCCCCGACCCTTCCACACGCGTCGCAGGTCGCCAAGCGCGCTGCGGCTGGCGGAGCGCGGCCACGTCGCACCTGGCCACGGGTGAACACGGCGCCCTGGAGGCCGGGGTTGATGGATCACGCGGGGATTGTCCACCGATTTCATTGTTCTGTTTGCCGATGTGAGAGACTACGGGACGGCGTCGTCTCGTCAATGGGAGGCACAGCAAGTAGGCTCGCTTAGTTTAAACACTCGTTGATCGTGGCCGATGGTCAAGGATAGTGACGGATTGGTAACCACGGAGTGAAGCGTGTCTTGGAGGACGACCCCGAGGAGATGGAGCGATAAACCCATCACGTGTAAAGGCGCTGGGTGGATGGCGACAGCTTGGAGAGGCCTTCCCCCAGCAGTGGATAGACCATGGCCGATGACGGTGATGAACATCGGTCCTGGTGGAGCGGTGGCGCGGTGGTTAGCGCGCACCGCCCCGGCAACTCGCCTCCCCCAGTTCGATGCTCCGACTGCGGCTGACATCGGCGTGCGGACGATGTCGTCTCAAACCGGTTCCTGAGCATCATTTTCCACCAACCGGCGCTGACCAGCGTGGTGAAGTATGGCCAAACGACCCACGTCGACCGACGGGACGTGTGCATAAGATCTTCATACAACAGTGGACGAACGACGTCGTTTCTCATCGCACGCTGCTGTTGTGATCGGGAAGAAGCATCGCACCGGGGGGTCTGCGGAACAAGCGGCATCCCTTCGACTCGGACAGAACTTGAATCGTACACAAGAGAGAGACACTCACCATTCTGTATCGCCTCTAGATCGCACAAGACAGGAGAGAGAGAGATACTCACCATCCTGCATCACGTCTCGATAGTAGCGGAACCCCACACCGAGAGGCGCAGGGACCCCAGAGCCTCCCCCCCTCCCTGTGTAAGGGGGTCGGCCCCCTCTCAAGGGGGTCAGAAGACAGAGAGGAGGAGTTCGAGTGGCGGTGACTGCGACAGCTTGAAGAGAAGGTGCAGGGCGGTGGGAGTTGAGTGTCAAGGAGTGTGAGAGAGAGAGAGCAGTGTGGGGAGTGGGGGGTCAGAGTGTGGAGTGTGGGGAGTGTGAGAGAGTGGGGAGTGTGAGGGAGTGTGTGAGAGTGTGTGAGAGTATGAGAGAGTGTGAGAGAGTGTGTGAGGGAGTGTGAGAGAGTGGGGAGTGTGAGGGAGTGTGTGAGAGTGTGTGAGAGTATGAGAGAGTGTGAGAGAGAGTGTGAGGGAGTGTGAGAGAGTGGGGAGTGTGAGGGAGTGTGTGAGAGTGTGTGAGAGTATGAGAGAGTGTGAGAGAGAGTGTGAGGGAGTGTGTGAGAGTGTGTGAGAGTATGAGAGAGTGTGTGAGAGTATGAGAGAGTGTGAGAGAGAGTGTGAGGGAGTGTGTGAAGAGTGTGTGAGAGTATGAGAGAGTGTGAGGGAGTGGGGTCACTGTGGGGCCGCCCCGGGGCCAAGACCCTCGGGGAGTGGGGGGGAGGGAGGGGGCGGTGAGGGGGCGGGGCAGTGGGGGGGGGAGCGAGGGGGCGGTGAGGGGAGAGTGGGGGAGGGGGCGGGGCAGTGGGGGGGCGCGCGCGGCTGTTGCGGTTCCCGTGCGCCGCGCAACGAACCCGGCGACCCGAGTTCGATTCCCGCCCACGGCCACCAACACCGGTGACGATGACCTGAAGTGGTCGTGGATTATTCAACATCGCCTTGCCAGGCACGCTGAGGAGAGGCTTGCGGAGCCACAATACGGTTTCAGGAAAGGGCGGTCGTGCACAGATGCCATATTTTCAGTCCGTCTGCTACAGCAGAGGTGTAGCGAATTCTAACAAGACCTACATCTCTGCTTTATTGACCTGGTCAAGGCCTATGATACCATCAGTAGGCATGGGCTCTTGGTTGTTCTTCGTGCTTTCGGAGTCCCTGACCCTCTGCCCACGATCATTAAGGACCTTCATGATACTCTTAGGTTTTTTCGGTAAAGTAAAAAAAGTTACCGAAAAAACCTAAGAGTATGAATCCTTGCAGTCACGAAAGCTTCAAATCTAGACCTTCATGATGGTGAGCAGGCCCGAGTAAAACTACGTGGCCGGGAGTCGGAGCCATTCCTTGTACACCTTGGGGTGCGACAGGGATGTCCTCTGGCTCCCACATTATTTAACATATATTTTGACCACGTAGTTCGTGAAGCCTTCAATAGCTGTACCGGAGGAATTCCCTTCTGGTACAGATACAATGGGAGGCTGATCGATGCCCGGGTGCGGTCAAGGGATGGCTCCCTATTGCTCAACCACGTTATGTATGCCGATGATCTGGTAATTGCTGCTCACTCAGAGGAGGAGTTGGAGGCGCTGCTGCTGAACCTGGAGCTTGCCACCAAGAGGTGGGGCCTTACCATCAGCCCCACCAAAACTAAGCACCTGCCTGGGTATGTTGTACCATCGGACACTCCACCCCCATAACTCCCAATCGGTGATGGGGCAGTTGTGGAGAGATTGGAGAGTTTCCCATACCTTGGCAGTGTGCTCATGACTGGCTCTGGTTTAACAGCAGAGGTCTCACTTCGAATCAGTCGAGCGGCATTATCTTTTCATCGGTTGCGTAATGCTGTGTGGAACCTACCTGGTCTATGACCCCGTACGAAGCTTCAGGTCTTCTCGGCCACAGTCATTCCCTCCCTTCTCTACGCTTGCGAAACGTGGACCCCCCTAATGAAACATCTTCGCCGGTTAGAAACATTTCGGCTGGCCTGCCTACGATCCATCCTGGGCTTAACCAGGCTGGATTGTGTGAGGAGCTCACAAATCCTTGAAAGATGTGGACAAAGTCCCATCGGTGAGCTCCTCCGGCAGGCAAGGCTGCGTTGGCTGGGTCATGTAGCCCGCATGCCCAGCCACCACATGCCTAAACAGCTTTTGTTCGGCCGGATCGAGGGGGCTAAATGGACGCTGCACGGGCTAGATAGAGCTAGAGAAGAGATGGAGTGATGCGGTACAGGAAGACGTGGAGCTGAGTGGACTTTCCGATGACTGGTACCAGCGGTGTCAAGATCGTCCTCTTTGGAGGAGGCTCGTGAAGGACGCCATTGGGCAGTTGGAGGTAGTCGCCCTCCAACAACAACGGAGGGCGGAGGAGCGACGCTCACAATAACGAGCGGAGCGCCGGGTGGCTAAAGCACAGCAAGTTGGCACAGTCGGGGTCACAGGTGGTGCATCAGCCAGTCGTCTCAGTCGACATGTGGAATCTGGGTCTGCCCCGTGACCTCCTGCCAGTGGGCGCTCGACACTTCACGTGGCCTCATGGTGCACATAGCCTGGCACAAGCGTCATGGTGACGTCACCGCCACTTAGTGGCGAATAGTTGTTGTTATCTGAAAGGGGAGCGGTGGTGTAGCGGTTAGCACGGTGCGCTATGAATCTGGCGACGCGGGTTCGTTTCCCGCTCACGACCAACACCAGTGACGATTATCTAAACCGGTCCTGGGCCTCCCCTAGGTTGACTCCGCCTCAAATGAGTACCTGGTGTGGTGTGTAAACATCGCCACTGGGGAGACAAAGGCGGTCGAGTGTGGTGCTGGCCACCCACCCCCTCGTGTACCGTTCCGGCCTTCTCGCTAACAGCACTTGCCCCTACAGTCTGTTACAAGTTATACGGGGGATCTTTGTCTTTGTATCTGTGTGCGTGTGGTTGTTACATGCCTGGTTGGCAGGCTGTGAGAATGTTTTTTGTAAACAAATGACTGTTCAGCAAATTGTTTACTGTCGCTGTGTTTGTCCAGCGGCGTTTGAGTGATGTCCCCTCGTATGCGTGTGTGGGGATTCTCCGGTACGCTCCAATTCCTTCCAGCACAAAACAACCCCACCCACTCGTCTCCCTCTCATTCATTCCGTTTCTTTCTCCGTCTCCCCCCTCCCTCTCATCACTCACTCCCAACCCGCGATGATCGGAATCTCATCATCACTTCTGACTTCTAGCATCATCACCCCATCACCAACACAATCCGAGTCACCATATCCACACCGCCCCCGACAGTAACGTTACCACCCTTCAATCTCCTCCCTCCCTTCTTCCCTCCCTCCCCCCAGACTCCCTCTCTTATCCACGTCTCTCCGTCCCTCCCTCTCCCCAACCCTCCCATCTCTCCCTCTCCCCAGCCCTCCCATCTCTCCTTCTCCTCCCCTCCCTCTCCTCCCCTCCCTCTCCTCCCCTTCTCTACCAGCCCTCCCCCGTCCCTCCCTCTCCTCCCTCCCTTTCCCTCCCTCCCTCTCCTCCCTTCCTCTACCAGCCCTCCCCCGTCCCTCCCTCTCCTCCCTCCCTTTCCTCCCCTCCCTCTCCTCTCATCCCTCTCCTCCCCTCCATCCCTCCCTCTCCCATCCCTCCCCTCCCTCCCTCTCCCGCGCGTGCGCGTGATGAGTGAGTGAGGCGGCGCTGGCCGTGGTGCTGAAAAACGCCTCTCTCTCTCTCTCTCCCAAACCTCTACCCATCGCCAGCGTTTATCGCTAATACAATCACCGTACAAAGCTCGTTTCAAATTCATAATTTGCCAAGACTGAATTTCTTAGTCCGTTACGTATTATTATTTTACATACATATTTTTAAACATAACATATCTGCGTTTTACCGGATATCGACGCGAGGGAGCCCATTTCACACAATAAGAAGTATTTAACAATCGCCTTGCGTGGGCCTCGAGGATATTAAACCTCCGTCTCGCCACCTCGCACCGGTGAGCGCGTCTCTCCGTGCCCAGTTTCGTTTGCATGTTGCCCGCCGTCTCTCGTGTGCTCATCGGAGTCCTCCCGCAGTGTAAATAAATATTGTGGTCGTGGTCGACAATCACCAACAATGCGGCCATTCGCGCGAGTCGGCG